ATAGCTTAATTGAACCTTTTCTCTTTCAGATGGTCATCTGGTTTATTATCCCAGCAACAAGAAGCCCTCAAACTGATCACAAGAATAATGCACTTGCATTGATTGTTTTGCTCCAATATGTTCCAAGATTATATTTGATTTTTCCATTAAGTTCTCAAATAATCAAAGCAACAGGAGTGGTTACGAAGACTGCTTGGGCGGGGGCTGCATATAACTTGCTGCTGTACATGTTAGCTAGCCATGTATGCAGTTTTGATTGGTTTTATCTTTCTATTTTTAATCTCTCTCTCTCTCTCTCTCTCTCTCTCTCTCTCAGTCTCATGCGCACACACACATAAACACACCACATCTGAATTCTTTGAAGTTTGAATCTTATTGACCAAGTCTAGTTTTCTACTATAGTGAATTAACAGTATATATTTCTATTTTATTATTGCAGGTTCTAGGGGCATCTTGGTATCTTCTATCTGTGGACCGATACACTACTTGTTGGAAATTCTTTTGCAAAAAGGAACAAAATCCTGAAAATTGCTTTGGTTACCTGGACTGCAGTTCTTTGAATGTTAAGCTGCGCAGGATATGGGCAAATAGTACAAGTGTGTTTAGCAGCTGTGATCCCAGTAATAAAGATATTAATTTCAAGTTTGGAATATTTGAAAATGCCGTAAAGAAACATGTTGTTTCTTCAAATTTCATTCCAAAATACCTTTATTGTTTATGGTGGGGATTGCAGCAATTAAGGTATGACTTGTATTTCCATGAGTACTGAAAATTGATTTAATAATTGGTGCATCTGATTAATTAATGTTTTGTTGAAGTAGCTCATCTTCTGATTTTCAAGCTGATGTTATCTGCAATGCTAGTGTACAAATTTTAAGGTTTTAGATGGAGGAGAGAAAATAGGTTGTAAATACTCTAAATAGTATGAAATTATATTCATATTCATATTAAATATGATAGATGTGTTTTATTATCTAAATCTCTAAATAACTATTTATATTAATAATCTAGTTTAGGTAATTGATGTATAGCTCTTTGACATGGTTCTTGGCCAATTGGTAAAGGATATGCTGAAGGAGTAGGTCCAGATATTGGACCAGTAACTGAAAGTGCTCACAATATGGAATGTCTATTCTGTGAAGCAATGTGAATGACCTTGGAAGGAGTTAGTAAGATGAGGTTGTGGTTGGCTAGCAATCAAGGTAAATAGCACATGATAGCAAATGGGGATTTAGGATGTAAACATGGGAGCGGGAGAAATGAACATTGTGGTTTGTGTTGAAAATCTCAATCGACTAGAGATATTACTAAGTTTTAGTATATTTGTGAGGTGCAAATCTGATCTTACAGATCGATTTTGTAGGTTTCAGATAGATCTATATCCACTTTCTAATATGGTATTAGAGTCTGTCCTAGCAAGGTTTATTGGATCTATTATACCATCCATTATCGGACTGTTATTGAACCACTCATATCCTCGGTGTGAGGGGATGTATTGGATATCATCAGGATCCTTGGTGTGAGGGGTGTGTTGAAAATCTCACATGAGTTAGAGAATTGACTAAATTGTAATATATAAGTGGGGTGTAAAACTCACCTTACATAATGATTTTGTATGGTTGAGTTTGGTTAATATTCACTTTCTAATAGTTTGCTTGGATTATACCTAGGAATAGAATATTTTTCTTCGACTAGCTTTAGGCTTTAGTCTTTCTTTTGTCACTATAAAATCTCATTGAGCTCTCCTTTTAGTTTAATAAACCCTTTGAAGCTGAATTCTATCATGAGTTTTTGCACACCACAACTCAATGTTAGGCCTAATAGGATTCATTTTCAGCCCAACCATTCTTTTTACTCATAATTCCACTCTAAACTTAAAGCTCAAAATAAGAGCATTAAAAATAAAGTAGAAGCTATTTGACAGTTTTCATTTTTTTAGCTTGAAAGATCCTTTAAAGCTAAAAGATCCTTTTTAAAAAAAAAAAAACTTTGATTTTATTTGAAACTAGTGTCTAATAAAGTCAAATTATATTAAAATTTATAAATATGGAATCCACACATAATCTTTTCCCATCCCCTTCCTCAACAAGCATGATTTCTCTATATATGTAAGTTGTGTTGAACTTAAATAGACTGTTTAAATTGTATGTGGCACTGCAGGGAGTTTTTTATGTCTTAATTTTAATATTTTAGAGATCAACGATATTGTTTGTTGTTGGTCATCTCTAAATTCTTTTGGCTTTATTGCAGTTCTTATGGGCAGAACCTAGAAACTAGCACATTTATTGGAGAAACATCATTTGCAATTGTCATTGCCATCTTAGGTCTTGTATTATTTTCCCATTTGATTGGGAACATGCAGGTATTTACATATAATCTGTTTTCAATGTATAAACAATTAATATCTAAATTATCAAGAATTTAAAATTTGAAACAAACTTCAATTGTTACCAATTTCTGGTAGCGTGGAGAAGTAAATTTCTTGAATTTGTTGGGATTTTGGCCAACTTGGTTTAAATCTGCTACAAAACACAAGGTCAAATAAGCTATTAGACTTGTTTAGAATAATTAGTAATCTACTATACAAATACAATGCAGTGCTTAGTTTTTTTTTTTTTTTTAATTTGATTCTGCATTAAGGTTGTTTCTTTGGCGTAGACATATTTGCAATCTATTACTATAAGGCTTGAGGAATGGAGGCTTAAGCGAAGAGACACAGAGGAGTGGATGAGGCATCGCCAACTCCCTGAAGATTTGAGAAGTCGTGTCAGACGATTTGTTCAATATAAATGGCTTGCTACTCGTGGAGTTGATGAGGAAACCATTCTATGTGCATTACCTGCTGATCTTCGTCGTGATATTCAACGCCACTTGTGCTTAGACCTTGTTAGAAGAGTATGATTTCTGCTTACTATTTTACATTTAAGAGATTCTTCTTTAATAAGGTCCTGATTGTTCACTTAAAACTGTTGGAAGTTCTCTACAAATCATTCTGTGCCCATGTCCACATTTTGAGGCATAATATAAATCATTGTTGATGGTTTCTTTCATTTCTATCACAAGATGGTATTTTATGATTATCTCTAGATGGAGCATTGTGATGCGTAAGTTTTCTCAAAATGTTATACTGTCTTGAAGATTTATACATTAGTGTTGAAAATATTATTTTATTATTTTTTATTTAAATTAGGTATTAAAGAAATTTTATTATCTTTTAAGAAATAAAATAAAAAGATATTAGATTATTATTTTGATTTAAACAATTATGATTAAGATATTATTATAATTTGATATTTTGTGATATTTTTACTCTATATATAAATAAAAAATTACCCATATGAGATATATTTTATATATAAAAAATACACATACACAAAACCTTAAAATTTTTCAACAATTAGGGACATGTTTAGTTTGATTTATCTTCGTGTGTCTAAGTTTGACATCAGTAAGCTTCTTATTGTATGATTGGTTAAATGAATAGAAGTTAGATTGAAAGATTGGTTCTCTTTGATGCCAATGGAAGTAGGTAGGAATGTTAGTAAATATAAACATTTTTTACTCTATTATAAGCATTTAACAAATTTCTTTCTCTGTTTCCAGGTTCCCTTCTTCTCACAGATGGATGATCAGCTTCTAGATGCAATATGTGAGCGGCTGGTATCGTCTCTGAGCACTCAAGATACCTATATTGTTCGTGAGGGTGACCCCGTGACTGAAATGCTTTTTATCATTAGAGGTAGACTGGATAGTTCTACTACAAATGGTGGCCGGACCGGTTTCTTCAACTCAATCATATTGAGACCTGGAGATTTTTGTGGCGAGGAACTACTTTCTTGGGCTTTACTCCCAAAATCAACCATTAATTTGCCGTCTTCAACCAGGACCGTTAAAGCTCTAAGTGAGGTTGAAGCTTTTGCTCTTCGGGCTGAAGACCTCAAGTTTGTTGCCAATCAATTTAGGCGCCTTCACAGTAAGAAGCTGCAGCACACTTTTCGATTTTATTCCCACCATTGGAGGACTTGGGCAGCCTGCTTTATCCAGGCTGCTTGGCGCCGATATAAGAAAAGGATATTTATGAAAGACCTGAGTTTGAGGGAAACCATTCCTTTGGATGAGACAGTAGCTAGTGAGAGAGAAAATGAGGACTATTCTACCGGTTCAAATTCAACTCAGGCTAAATTAAACCTCGGGGCTACAATTCTTGCTTCGAGATTTGCTGCTAACACACGAAGAGGAGCCTTGAAGATTAAAGATGACATGCCCAAGTTACCCAAGCCCGAAGAACCTGACTTTTCTACTGAAGCCGATGATGATTAGTTATACTTCCTCAGTGGCATTTGTTTTCAGATTCAGTTGCATCCTACATATTGTAGTGTCGATAATGAATCTGTGGGTCACAAATCCGGTGTATCCCTCTGCATAAAGACCCAAGCTGGTAGTTGATGATGTATTTAATGGGTAAGATACAAAGGGGGATATAAAGTTATGTCCAGCAAATGTTTGTAATGTATACTCAGTTGCAACCTGTTATATAATTTTTGCAATTTTCATCTGAGTAGGTGGATTACTATTGTCCACAGTATGCATCAAACCCTGTTTCTACGTTGATAAAAGGTGGAAAAAAGGCAAAGTGAAAACGTTTTGTTTTTCTTGCAATTTGAATGCGTCTCAGAGACCTTAAATTGAACATCAATGGCCTTCACTTCAAGGTTGGGTATTACATACTTATCTTATGACGTTGTGTAATTGAACGCCAAGGACAACGTTAATTAATTGCTACAAATGATAAACAATTAACACACAAATCACCAAAACCGGATTAAATTTCTGAACAATCTTTTCAACTACAAACAAAGCAAATGGCTGCTCAATAGCATTATTTACAGGCCGATATAAAATGTAATGTTACACTGTCGTACGATGGGAGGCTGCTTTTGGCTTACATTTAGCATTTCCTCTGGGGAGAATTATGTGGCTGCATTTTTCTAGTTTAACGGTCAATATTTATCAAAATCATAGAACTCTATGTTCTTGTACTTTTGGGATATAATCTCAGCTTGAACTTTTCTTGCCGTATCTGTTGCACAACCAACAAGAATAAGAACAGATGTTCCTGCAAATCCCCGAAATGCAGTCAAGTGAGTGATCTGTTCTACAACCGCTGGACCAGCTGCCAAGATAGCCAAAAATGTTGAACCCAGAACTGATATTCTACCAAGAACCTGCATCAAGGGTAAAAGCCAATGGTTCAATTGTTTTTAAGTTCAAAGATGGGAGATTCATTGAATTTACAAAAGAAATCCTCAAACTAAGTTTCACTCATTCGCAAAAAGACATGACAGTCCGTACATGAAAGCTGATGGCATACTAGCGTATATTTGTATATAAATATAGTTTGAAGAGAAAAAATGTCAGGGATATAATCAGAAGGAAATCATGGAATGGCAAACTATAAAAGGAAGAAATTACTGTTTTGATAAATGTAGCTGTACTTCTGCCTGGTCTGACAAGTGGAATTGAAGCACCTTGACGTTTCAGTTGTTCACTCACATCATCAGGGTCCAGTTGAAGGAAAGTGTAATAGTAGTTGAAGAAGGCTATCAAAAGTATGTTAAATGGAAGGTAGAAGGAACCTACAACAAATATCCAGCTAAGTAAAAAGCATCAATTTACAAAGAAACAACTTTGAAGGAAAATCAAGCATAATTGAAATTCATTTCATCAATGTATGTTAACAACAATGGCCGTGTATGCATTTATATTTGTCAAATACACAAGATCAACATGGAATGTCAAGGCCAACCATTTTAGGCAACAGTCTTAATATTAATCTAGTGCAGCGATAGGAGACCGGTGATTAAGAGAGTATGCGGCTAATAGGGGGAAACAGCTGTAACTGAATAGCTTACAATTAAGAGCAAAAGGGGTGATAATTAGGCAGTTATTAACTGACTCAGAAGTAGTTAGAACAGGAGAGATCTCTCGGAATACCGCATTGCATTTCATGGTCACCCTGAACAATAGACACTTTAATAAAATAAAGGCTCGTTGCATTATTTATTCTTTTTTTCAAAATCTTTTCATTCTTTCGTTTGAAACCTATCATGCAGAAACAAACAACCACTTACCTCCTGGATTTAATGCCACTGCAGCCTTCTTTAAAGCAGCTAAACCAGTGAAGCGTGCTAAAGTACCAGGAAGAGCTAATGATGACGTAGAAAAGATGATAGGCATTACTCCAGAACTATTTACCTGACATAGAAGATTTACATACTCAAATTTGATGTTCAGTGTAACAAATTTCATGAATAGTTCAAAAACATGAGATAATTAAAAGGAAGAGATAACTTTAACAACAGATAAAACTAGAAGTTGGTGAAATCGAGAGAGGACCTTAAAGGGTAGGTAAGCAGACTTTTCAAGTCCAGTGCTTCTGGTGGTGAATCTAGAAGCATAGTTAATAGGGATTTTTCTCTCTGCTTCCTGAAAAAGCCATTGTTTGAGATCAGCTCTCTTTGCGGGCTCAAATATATATTTATTATAACAATTAGAATGAGATTTACCTGAACATAAACAATACCAACTACCAACAAAAGGAAGGACACAATAATGGTAGCAAGTCCAACGTAGTTGGCATCATTAAATGCTTGTGCAATTGTCCTACCAAAAGAAGCTGGCAAGTAGGATATAATGTTTGTGAATATCAAAAGAGAGGTGCCATTCCCTAGTTTTAGGTCGGTAATTCGTTCCCCGATGTATGTTGTAAACACAGAGCCAAGAGTCAATAAGATAACAGAAGAAAGAACCCACTCTACAGAAAAGTCATTTACATAGGGACGTAGGTAAAGAACTTGGCCAATTGCCTGTAGTGAAAAAGAGAAAAAAGCGCAAAAATTCAGAGAAAAATCAGTTAGTAATATGCACAGTGTAGGATAAGAGAATAGTTATTAAACAGCATGGATTTTCAGGAAAGAATCTCCTTCCAACATACACAGTTACATTCCTTTTTCATTTTGCATATAGACAGTGTACAACATAAGTATTTTTTTCTTTTTTTGCAAAACCAATTGTCCCGAACAAAACTTCACAAATTGCTGACCTGTACAATGGCAAATCCAACTGAAGCATATCGAGTGTACTGCAGAACTTTCTTTCTTCCAGCCTCACCTTCTCTCTTTTGAAGATCTTGCAATTTGGGATATATTTGTGCAAGAAGCTGGAAAACAATCTGCGCATTGATGAAGGGAACAATACCAAGGGAGCATACTCCAAGTCTACCAATACCACCACCAGAAAACGAGTCCAAAGTGCTTAATAAACTGTTTTGATCCAAATTTCCAACAAAAGCCTCCCTATTAACTCCACCTAGGGGTATGTAAACTCCGAGCCGTGACAAGGCAAGAAATCCTAAAAGTTTGAGAAACTTCCCAGGCAGTGGACCTTTAAAAAAGTCCCCAAAATCTATTGAACTATCCTCTATTGCAGCTGCAATGCCGAAATGCAATAATCAATTGAACAATCGTCTATTGCTAGGAGATACAAAACGCATAATTCAGGTTCAATAAGATATAGAGAAAAATGTCACCTGCCACCCCTTGTGAAGCGTTAGGTTTTCCCTTTTCTGCACTTGAAGTACTCTCAAATGTTTGTGTAAACAAGCACACCAGATTGTCCCAGGTAGAATTGAGAGCAGAAGGTAAATCTGAGTTAATACCCAAGGGATCAAAATTTGCTACATCACTGCTGCATAGTTTGAAATAACATGTGTAGGACAAAATAATTACAACCAAAAACAAGGAGGAAGAAAATTAAATGATTGTAGATATCTCTAAAATTTGAGTAGAAAACACAACTGAATTGACCAATGATCGCATTCAAAAGCACTACAGTATTTGCTCCAAGAACAGCAAATGCCAAATTCATTAAGTGGAGTGGAAAGTTCACATATCCTAGTGATCCCCCGCGGACTTTCTCCACTAAAAAACTTACATTAACGATAAAACATTACAGATCAAGAAATAAGTTTGCTTCATGTAGTTAATGCCAAAAAAAGTAGTCCTTTCACATTGTGTAAGTGCGTCTTTTGAAGAGTTCCCATTTCCCGTTCAAGTGGAAAAAAAAAAAAAAACATTGGATTGAAAAAATCGGTGAAGGGATTCAAACCCATAACCAGTGCTTGAGCATAAAAACAAATAAAAATGAAAAGTGGGTAGAGGCAGTTGTGTACCTGGTAGAGAGATGCCGAGTATTCCATGAATGGGTGGGTTTTCTTTGGACAGAGAAACTGGCTTGACAAATTGGTGTTTTGAACTTTTGAGAGGGTTTTGCTTTGAGACGATTAAGCCAGAAACCGAGGGGAGAAGAAGAAGAAGCTTCCTTGACAGTTATCAACATTATTATCCACAAACTCTCTTCACTTGCCCACTCTCTTCACTAGCGGAATCTCGTAACAAAAATAAAGATATCGACCCACTTATTCAAAATAAAATATCTTATTTAAAAGTTAATACACTTAGATACTTTTTTTTTTTTTGTATGTCATTTTTTAATTAAAATTTAATTTTAAAGAAGAATCGTAGAGAAAATAGTGGATGAAGAAAAGACTATCCTATCGTAAACCATAGTCCCTACTTAAAAACAAATAGAATCAATTTTTTAAATAATATATTCAAAACAAAAAATTATCTAAATAGGATTTCTATAAATATATTTAATTGTTTATTGTTTATACACAAAATTCAATAATAAAAAATAAATTTATATGATATAATACAAATATTGTATTCTCTTTCTTCATCTTTTTTTTTCTTTTTTTATTTATTTATAATTCTATTTGTTTTTTTTTCTGTCACTAACCTTATTTTTCTAATTAAAATTTAATAAAATAAGTTTTTTTCAAATAAAAATATCAAATATTTATGAGTGAAATATATTTTTATTTAATAATATAGTATAATTACAACTAGCTTGAGTTATGAAATATTAGATAATTTAAAAAAAATATTTATTAAAAAGTTAATTAAAATAAATATTTAATTTTTTTAATAATTATAACATAACAATTTGTAATACTCACATTTATAATATAATATTTTTAAAATATATTAAATTATAATATTTTTATATAATTTTAATATTTTTATTTTTTAAAATAATAAAAAACTTATTTTATCAAATTTTAATTTAATATTTTTTATTATAAGAATAAGATGAGTGACAGAAGAATCAAATATAGAAGAAAAAATAAGTACTAAGATAAAAAAAGAGAGAATAATAAGAAGTAAATGAAAAGAAAGAGAAAAGTAAAAAAATAAACTAGAGAAGAGAACAAAATACTTGTATTAATGAGAGGAATTTATTTTTCATTATTGAATTTTGAATATGAAGAATAAACTGATATTATTTTTTATTTTAAATATATATATTTTTTTTTTCACAAAAATACTCCATAAGACTTTAGAATAAATGTAATTAATTATTCAAGTAGACAAGGGAGCACAATATAAAAATTACCACATCTTAATTAATTATATATGTTAAATGATAAGCAAGGAGATAAAAAAATATTATTCAGATTTTGATAAATCATTTTTTTTTTGTTATCAATTATTCTAATTTTTATTTAAAGAAATATAATATGATTTTTCATTTAATTTATAATTTTTTTTCTTATAACAATGTTAACCTCTTATATTTAAAAATATTATATTATATTACATTATCATCTCATATTTTGATTGTTCTAAACGTGTATTCTATTTAAGAAATAAGTTTTTACCATGTTGGTTTTTCTCTAGATTCAAATCATCCCAACACAACACTGTACAACATAGGAATATGAGTAGGACTCGTACAAATAAAAATAATACTTGTAATTTATAATTAAATAGTATTTATACAAAAAATCTCTAATTACATAACACATCATAAATTTTTTTCTATTCTTTGAATTTCATAATCTTCTTTGTGTATTTATAATTGTATACCTATTTACCATCTTACTAGACAATTGTCAACAAAAAGAATGAAATTTAAGATGTGTGTATATTAATTAGATGGTGATGAGAAAACCGAGTAAAATTGAAGCACATAAAATTGAGGTGGCTTGGGATATGGATATTGTACTTGGGTTTGCTGAAGATTTTTTCTTTTTCTTCTTTTCTTTCTTCTCCTTTTTCTTCTTTTTCTTCTCCTCTTTATCTTTATCTGAATCTAAAAGCTTTCTATGGTGATGAAAAAGGGTGTGTTCTGCCACAAGTCTCTTCTCTGTGATAGGAAAAAGTTGGTGGCTACCATTTCTTCTTGCTTTTGTGTTCAGAACTCCCTCATGAGATGAAGTTGGGTGGCATTGGGACATTAAAAATAATGTGACGAAGAAGACACAAAGCATGAATCGTGTTCTTGTCATGTTGAGTCTTCCAAGGAACCAATATGGTGGGTGTATTGAGGAAGGTCCCTTCACGTATAAATTGGAGAACTTCATCATCCAAATAAGTTTGACTCTACCACATGTATGATTGCTCCTTTGACTTAGGACACTCCTTGGGAATTAAAATTATGTCCTTTAATTAATTAGTATTAGGGCTATTATTAGTTTGTTTAAGTTTTGTTAATTGAAAGTCGATTAATATTTTTGTTCACATGAACTTTACCATGTGTTAAAATATTTTACCACAAATATTTTTTTAATTAAATATTACTCAAGTGTTATGAATAATCAACAAAGAACTCACATAATGTATTTTTAAACAAAAATCTTAATTATATTATAACTACGTATTTTTGTTATTTGTTTGGTTGTACTTTTAAACCTTTTTTTTCTTGAAGTCTATTTTTAACATATACAAATGAATAAAATTTTGAATTTACTCTATTTGCTAACACTTCGTAAATCACTCCTATTGTTCTATATAAGATTTGTGAAATAATATATGTGACTCCTATTGTTCTATATAAGATTTGTGAAATAATATATGTGATTTTTGGAAAGAGTTTCCTTAGATGAAAAAGATATATTTAAAACTTACCCTATATCTTATTAATTAATTTTTATTCTATAAAATAGTCTAATATATATTTAAATCATATTAAATAACATAACATATATAAAAAGATACTTTCAACACATCCTTTTCAATAACGTTTATCGGATAAGATAAATAGTATTTTAAACCATAACGAAAACACAACATTTTACCTACGATTTCAACATATTCTCTCTAACAAAATCTATTCAGAGAAGACAAACAATACTTTAAAAAAAAAAACAACTCTTAACTTAAGATAATAACTGAAAAAATTAACTCTAATACCATATTAAAATTTTAATATAAAACTAATTGATAATATATAAAATAGTTTAATATATATTTAAACCATATAAAATAATATTTTTAAGATATTTCTAGTATACAGTAGTATAATACGATAACATTACACTGTATCCAAATTTTTTTTTTAATTCTTACGAAGACAGACGTACATAACCTACAGACCCATAATTACGTGCCAAGGATCTTTAAGATTCAAACTGCAAATCTTAGGGAGAAGGACGAGGTCAAGAAATTTCAATCCTTCTATTAAAATAAGGATGAATGATTATTTTATTTTTCTATTCTATAAAATAATCCTCCCTTAAGTTAAACAATCTTTTTATTTTTTTTAATTTTAAATTTTTGTCTCACTCTTATCTTAAGTATTAATTTAGTTTCATTATTTTAAAATTGATTCAGTATTATTCATTTCCTTAAAATATTAAATTATCTAACGTCATGACTCACAGAGCAGAGGGAAGGGGCCCCAGTCACGGCCCCACCCCAAATCAATTTTTTCATATATATAATAATTATTTTTAAAAATAAAATAAAAATTATTTGATAAATATAAATAAAATTTAATATTTTTTTAATATTTTATTTATAATAAATATATATTTATTTTTTTCATCATTTTTACTTCTACCTCTTTTTTTATATTTTTATTTCTCTTTTTTCATTTTTTTTATTTTTCATCAATTTTTTTTATCAAACATCTATTTTTATCTTTGTCATATTTTTATTTATTATTCATTCATTTTCATAATATTTTCGTTCACGATTTTACCTTTTAACATAACAATTATAAACTTTTCTTTTCATCTAAAATTTCTGAATCTTTTCGTTCCGTCCTGATTAGCATATTTGTTAATGTGATATTAGTATAATATTAATTATTTTATTTAGGAATTAAGGTATTTTATTTTATATCTATTATAACATTATAAAATTTAATTTTTATTTTGAATTTAAATCCATCAAGATTTTATTATTTTAAAACATCTGATTGGAAGAAATATAATATATATAAATTATTTTTAATTTTAACTTCTAAAGTAAAAAATTAATATGTATCACTTTTTGTCACATAAACATATAAAATTGCATCGGTTAGTATGATTACATCATGTCACATTTACTTTTTTTATATAAACAAATTTACAACACTAAAGGAAAAGACAAAATTATTTCACTTAGAAAATAATAAGATCAAACTAATGTTAAAAATAATAAAAGAATGAAATTGAAAAAAAAAGTATAAAAATAGTGTGGAGAATTATTTTGCAAGCTAAAACACTTACCAACTTTCTAATTTTATTCTCCAAAGCAGTTATTTAATTAAAATTACTTTGAAATAATTATTGAATATAATAAAAAACTAAAACAAAATCAACCAGACCAAGCTTTTTACCATATTTTGGGATCGAGGTGGACACAAAAAAAAAAAAAAAAAAAAAAGACGTAGTACTGAACAAACACTATTAGTATATTTGGTGTGCATAAATCTGCGGCGACCCGTGGTAGACCTAAGTGAGTGATCGCAGTGTTTGGAACTACACATTTGCCTTTGCCTTTTACCTCACCTTTTCATTTTTATTGGAACACTTCCATGGCTTCTGATCAAATCACGATGTCGATGCCTGAGGAGAGAGGCGCCGGAGGCAAGCTCCGAAAACCGCCGCCGAGAAAGCCGCCTCCTAGCCCTTACGCACGTCCGGTCGATACCAGGCGCCACCGTTGGATTTCGAAGCTTGTGAATCCCGCTTACCGCCTCATCGCCGGCGGAGCCACTCGTCTTCTCCCTTCCCTATTCTCCGCCGCGACTCCTCCCTCTCCTCTTCCTTCCCCTACCTCTTGCGCTGAAGATCAAGGTTACATTGTTTTTTGTTTTTTCTCTGTTGTTTTCGTCGTTTAACCTTTCGCTCTGTTTTGCTGTTTGTTTTAAATTCTTGATTGATTTGTTTCTGATGTCTGTGTTAGCAAATTCACGTTTGGCTTGTGGCAACATACCTAACCGTTGTTTGAATATATGGTTTATGTTTATTTGCCAATAGTTTAAAGTGAATCGATGAGTAATCATCGTTGGAAGCATGGGCATTCACAGTGTAGTGATTAGTAAGAAAATAAAATGTAAGTGCTTATATATGCTACAGATTTGCTGCGTATATATGTTACAGTTCCTAGAATCTGCAAATTCTGCTAACCTTTTTCTGGGCACTGTAGTTCTTTATCTGCATTGTTGAGCCCTTAAACACCATATCAGTTTTATTTGTAGTGGCAAAAAGTGTACTAAAAATACTTAAATCACTTAAAAAGCCTAGTTGGCAATAGTCTCAGGGAGCAGTTCGCTCCAGAATAGCTATAGTGGGATAACACATAGTCGGATGCTGAAAAATATGGAAAAATTCCTATTATTAAAAACATATTCATAATGAAGAAACAAACAGAAACGAAAGAGAGATGGTTCTTTCAACTTGAGAAGAAATATGAGAGGAAAAGATACTTGAGAGAGCTCAAATTTGTCTCTCTTTTGATTCATGCATATATAGAAATGAATATCTCAACAGAGGTACTAAGAGAGTGAAAAGAAAACTGTAATAAAGTTCACCTTTAGGACCCTAGATAACAGATAGGTAACACAAAACAGCTTTTTAATATAACCTATTCTAATAGAACTCTTTGAAGATTGGCCGGGAAACTCACTGGAAACTTGTGGGTTAGCTCCAGAAAATGAAGAACCAACCCATGGATGTCAGAAAACTCACCAGAAGGTCGTTTGTGAGCAGCTGTAACAAGGCAGAAGCAGAACAGACAAAGAAGTCGCAGGTGCTAGGGCAAGGGAAATAGATAGTGATGAGAAGCAAGCAAGAATGTACACAAAATGCTGTGATTTTTTAGGTTGGGAGTTCTACAAGTTTGCCCCCTACAAAAACTCCAGAAACGACACTGGTTTTTGGAACAAACATAACTTCCAGCTTTTTCTTGTTTTAGTTGCTTTGATTTTGGCGGCAATATGTCATGCACCACAGCTGTGACAGCCAGTCACAATGCGACTGCCCTTGGAGGAGATGGAGGGTGTCTCTCCTCTACAATCTAGCACAACTGCAGGGCTATAATGCAAAGTTGATAACCATTCATAAAGCAAGTTGTAAGATGTTTGAATTAATGAGAGAATTGAAATGTTTGATGTCAATCTCTATTGTTTTCACCAAAAGGATTGTTGTGTTAAACATAAGGGATTGTTTGGCTCATAAGAGAGAGGTGAGAGGGGTTTTATAAATTAATAATTTTAAATTTCAAAACATTGATAGTGATGTTTTAGCATTTATAGTTGGATTGTTTCAAATCCCATTCCCTTCCCCTCCAGATCTCCCAATATTGGAGGAGAGCAAATATGATATTAGCTGGGGAGGGGTTTTGCTCTGGTCCATTCCCCTCCTAAAAATACCAAACAACATTAGTTTAAAAAATCCCTCCCTCCCCTGTCCTGTCTTCTATTTCCTTCAACCAAATACTATGTTAAGTATCTCAAGCTGCTAAGCTACTTAAAGTCATACTTTCTCATTTCTGCCAAACATTTCTTTTTATTGTAGTGGCATTTATTGGAACTCAATATTATTGTTCCTAATGTTGGTTACATTGTCATTATTCTTAATCTTGTTTACTTCATGTTTAGTAAATGTTTAAAGTTCAGGAGATAGGTAAACGAGAATCTATTATCTACTTCATCTGTTCAACATGTTAATGAAAAAGTAAAATCTGGTGTTGGAATTTTAGCAACAGGAAGGACTTTGTTTTGAGCATTTAAAATGCTTGGAAAAGTACTTGATGGAATAAGGGTGTCAAAGAGGTGGCATAGGTTGTATATTTCTTTCTAGATGGCCTTTGGATAATTTAAGATCGTGATTTAGGGTTAGGAGTATGATAAGACTTACGTTTTTATCAATCTGAAGATTGTGGACTATGTGTTCCTTTTTAGTTAGTTGTTTTACAAGAGTGTTAAATCCATAGAAAATTAACTTTATGATTTGCTATGGTTAATTTTGTTTTAGTATTTTTGCAGTTCCCTGTATAGGTGTAAAGGCTTTCTGCTTTCATTATAAAATCAGAGAACAGTGACTAATGGTCATGTTGAAAGTCCCACATCGCCTACCTCATATCATTTGGTATGGTTTAAATACATGTTAGGCTACTCCACATATTGCCAATTGGTTTTATGTTGGAACCTTAACATGGTATCAGAGCCAAAGCCTAACATCTTTCCGGTTATTGTCATGGGCCAAAAGTTGCCCTTTAGTTGGGTCAAAAGTACCCTTTGCCTGGTCCGGCAGGCTTCGTTGGAGGGGGTGTGTTGAAAGTCCCACATCGCCTACCTCATATCATTTGGTATGGTTTAAATACATGTTAGGCTACTCCACATATTGCCAATTGGTTTTATGTTGGAACCTTAACAGGTCACAATTTTCCTCCCCTGTATTCTGTAATTTTTTCTTTTCTTCCTGTCATAACATGATATTTTAGCGTTGAAAGGGACTTAGAATATCTTGAAAGAGACTGTTCTCTAGTTCCCCTGAAGCCTTCTAAATTTTCAATTTCCCACGCTTATTATCCTTCATTTATTTATGTTCTCTCTTCAATGTGGTCAGTTTTAATCATCTGATGCATGATAAGTGGTGAATATTTATTTCGTACCCCTTGTGCTTTCAGCTTGTGGACATAATGAGCCCTTTTAATGGTTGAATTAATCCTGCTGCCTATTATTTTTAATCTGTTTCATATATAATATATTGTCCTGATTAATCTGGAATTTGGTGATTCAGTCAACTTTCTGATAAACTATTTTGCTGACAATAGATATATGGGAAACTGGTGACGGTCATGAGGATGGTTCACGCAAAAGTGATATTCATGTAAGATCTGTTTTTGCTGCACTGAAAAAAAATGCTTCCAATATTTAAGAGATTTACCAAACTAAACTATATACCTTACTTGCTTAGATATTTTTTAAATCCTAAAATTATAGAAAGCCGAAGAAGTTGAAGCTACTACATTAAAAGTTGTAAAACCCTAAATAACTTTTGGTCTTTGTAAATAATAAAAAGGAACTGAAACCAAGTTCATACCCTTCTTTACCATTTTTAATCTATGTGCACTTTAGGCTTTGTGTGAGCATGCACCTGTTCACTTGCACCAAATAAGTAGTCTTTCTTTTACGTAATGTTTGTTTAAGGAAAAAGTGGGAGGAAAAAGAGAGAAAAATATAAATAACAATGCATTTTCTTTTACTTGGTTGAAGTGGAAAAGAAATGAAAAGTTGAGTTTACTGCCTAATTTTTTGTACACCCTTTTATTCATTCTTCTCATTTTACTGTTCATAATATTGGATTTGTATCTGAAATCTTCATCTTGCAATTGCCCTTTGCCTTCCACATTTATTTTCTGCATATTGCTTAGCTGCATTCTCAAACCTATTTTTTATTCTGTGTAATCTAGGGGAGTAGGATTTTTTTCATTTTATTCCTCTTTTCTCACCTCCATATATTTATTGTTGACTATGCATTATTTTGAAGCTTTTGGCATACAAATCATCTGAAATGGCTATTGCTGATGGCATTAGTGGTAAACTGACAAGCAGTTCAGACTTGGTTATGTCCAGACAAGATGATAAAGTAGAGAAATCTGATCAAAATAGGCTTTCAGATATTGAGCAACTGGTCAAAGGGAAGAAATTCTCTAGGTATAGTTTAATTTATTATTAGAGTTTCTCCTTCCTTGCTTGAATGACTAATCCCTTGATTCTACTGTGACAGTTATTCATGTTGTAGATCAAATTATTCACCCCAAAATCTTGGAGCTTTATAGTCATCATTCTTCAACAGTAATTACAGTCTTTTTGTTTGGCTTTTGAAGTAAAAATGTTTTATTGTCATCATTTTTTTAGTTATCACCAAAACATGCCACATTTAGATATTGTTTACATGCATGGGTAGGATATTATCAAACATCTCTCGTATGTGGTGCAACTAGGGATAATTAAGCATTTTGGTCCAATGAGTTAGATTCAAATTTGTTACTAGGCAATATCAATATTGTTGGGAATAGCAATTAAAGAAAATATGTCCATGAAGGAAACACTTCTAAATAAAAGGATACCTTGGATTGTGTTAATTGTGACTACTGAGGTCCTTCGAAAGTTCCATCACTAGTGGGTCATGATATTTTCTTTCTATCATTGATGTTTTACTTGAGAATATCTTGTGTATGCACAATGAAGTAAAAAAATGGAGCTTTCTATCACTTCAAGCATGAATGATGCTCATACTTAACTAAATCGGTAGGAGGGTGAAGTGGTCGTGGATGGACAATGGGTTGGAGTTTTGCTCTACAGAGATAAAGGCATTTCAAGGCAACACACGGTTTGTCATATTTTGCAGTAGAATGGAGTTGAGAGGATGAATCAGACCTTGTTGGAGAGGGCATGATGCATGTTGTCTCATTCTGGGTTGGACAGGAGATTCTGGGCTAAGGTATTAAGCACAACCTGCTTTCTAGCAAACCGGTTTCTGTCTAATACCATTAATTTCAAGATCCCAGTTGAGATATGGTCTAACAAGCCAGCTAACTCAACCCTGAAAGTGGTTTACAGTCCAGCCTACTATCATGTTAATGAAGGCAAGCTTGAGTCCACCCTCATCCTCACCACCACCCAAGCCATAACACGAGTTTGCATTCAATATCAAGTGGCTTCCCATTCCCATTGCAGGAAAGCATAAAAAAATGCTTTCAAGAAAGGCAGATGAGATCATGGTCATGAAGGTGAACCTAGAATCGAGCTTCCACAATTCCAACCTTAAGGACAAGGTTGATTTTTAGGAGGGGTGTATTGTTAGGATTTCATTTGGAAAAGTTTATTAAGATAGTTTGAATATCAATGTGTTAGTTAGTTAGAGGGGATTAATTATATATATATATATATATATATATATATATATATATATATATATATATATATAGTGGAACGAGAGATTCAGATTCTTTGTGATTGTAAATTGAGTATTGACTCTTTGTGAAAGGATAAATCTTTTGTGAAGGGGAATTCCTTGGTGGACAGAGTGCTCTCCTATCTCTTGTTTTCATCCTATTCAATAAAATTTTTTTTTTTTTAAATTCTGGGTTCCTAACAGAAGTGGATGTTTAAGTTTTCATTTTTTAATTGAGTAGAGACCATAGAGTATTGTAAAATGTTTATAAATATTGATAAGCATCAATTGGAAGGTTACATGCTAATCTTTTATTTTCCCCATTTTAGTTTTGTTTTCAAACAAAAAATATTTAATTAAAAAAAATGAAAAATTTTACCTTCTCATTCGTTTCCTTCCAAGCTTTCCCTGAGTGAATAAAATGTTTTATTTTTTGTTATTTATTGACTATGAATGTACCTTGCCTAATAATATTTAATCTCTTTCTTTATGTAGAGATGAATTTGATCATTTAGTGGCTGTATTAAATTCGAGAGTGATGGACCTTTCTAATCTTGAAAAAGGAAAGGAAAGTACAAACATGACACAGGGGCTTCCAAACGTTTCAAACGGACAAAGGAATGAAGAGCCAATTGGAGCTATATGGGGAACCTCAAAACCTCTTGGTCTTTCAAAAGTGAGTATTACAACTTGTTTGAATCATTCACATTCACTTCTAGATTATGATCAAGCTCTTTGCCTATACTTGAAATCTGAGTGGGGATAAATTGTGTCTTGACATTCCACATCAGGTTTTATATATTGAAGTCAACATTGATTACAAAGATATATTACTAATCAAATAAGATAAGAAACCCTATGACTGTTTCTATTGGTTCCTAATAGAGATGGCAAAATAATTTGTGCCTGCAGGTGTGTATATATGGGGTAACATCTGCAATGGAAACAAAATGGGTATCATGAATATTTTCATTAACCCCCATGTTACTGTGGCAGATTTGATAGTATCCATACCGCAGATGTATGCTACCTGTCAATTGTTAATGATTTTTAAGATTTTTTTTTTAGAATCAAGTGACCAATGTAAAGTAATTGATGATGAAAACATTAACAATTGAAGAATTTTGTAGAGTTTGATTTTATAGATTTATGTTTTTATTTTAAATTTTATTTGAACTTATATTTTGCGGTGCAAATTATTTTAATTTGTTTGTTTGAATGCCTAATTTTATTTGGACTAATATTTTATGATACAATTTTATTTGGATTATAGATAAAAAAAATTAATTGAGTTTATGTTTTAAAGAATAATTTTAAATAATATTAATTAAAAAAAAAAAGTATCTATGGATAGCCTTGGATATAAAATAATTTGCAGGTATTCTTCAAGTGGGGTACACAACGAGTAATAAGGAAAATTTTTCTAGGGAGGGAAGGTAGGGATAGCTACTACTTGTGGCTGCCCAGACCCTTGGCCATCCCAAAGTCCTATCATACACACACAATTTGCCGCCTAATATACAGATGATGTTATATCTATTTTTTAGGACTGTTTAGCACATTTATAAAATGTTAAACTAAATTTGTTAAGGAATGATCCACTTTTACCTTTTCTCTGCTTTCTCATTGGTTCTGGTGTCATTTAACATGTGGTATACTTGCTACTTATTTAAAGTTAAGAGAGTAAAGAGAATGAAAAGAAGATTTCTAATTTTGTGGGATGCTAACTCCACTCTATGATCTCATATATATATATAGGATTACAACATTTAAAACAACAACCACTAACTACTAACAACCACCAACCACCAACTACTAACTACTAACCACTAACCACTAACTAATAATAATTCTAACACTCCCCCTCAAGCTGGAGCATACAAATTGTATGTACCAAGCTTGGAACAAATAAATTCAATTCGAGGTCCTCTTAAAGACTTTGTCAACACATCTGTAAGTTGATCATTGGACCCGACAAATTCAGTGCAAATTTCTTTAGACAACAATTTTTCACGAATAAAATGACAATCAAGTTCTATATGTTTGGTCCTTTCATGGAACACCGGATTAGAGGCAATGTGGAGAGCTGCTTGATTGTCACAATACATCTTCATCTGTTGGATCTCACAAAATTTCAGTTCTTGAAGTAATTGTTTCACCCACACTAGTTCACAAGTGAGAGATGCCATTGCTATATATTCAGCTTCAGCACTAGTCCGGGCCACTACATTTTGTTTCTTACTTTTCCAAGAAATAATATTGCCTCCAATGAGAACACAATATCCTGTAGTGGAGCGTCTATCCATAGGGGATCCAGCCCAATCAGCATCACAATACCCAAATATTTGGGTACCCCCTTTATCTTCATACAACAGACCTTGTCCTGGAGCTTTTTTGAGATATTTTAGGATGTGAACGACAGCATTCCAATGATCAGTACGCGGATTTTGCATAAATTGACTCACAACTCCAACGGCAAAAGATAGGTCAGGTCTGGTAATGGTGAGATAAATGAGTTTCCCAACAAGTCTTCTATATCTCTCAGGATCAGAGAGCGGTTCACCTTGATCCGCCATTAATTTCTGATTTGGATCCATAGGGCTGTTGACTGGTCTACAATCAATCATGCCTGTTTCTTTCAAGATATCTAAAGCATACTTTCTTTGGGAGACTACGATGCCTTCTTTTGATTGAGTCACTTCAATCCCTAGAAAGTATTTGAGACAACCAAGATCCTTAGTTTGGAAGTGATTGCATAAATGTTTCTTTAGCAAAGAAATTTTATAAACATCATTCCCTGTAATGACTATATCATCTACATATACAATTAAATAAACACATTTTCCTGAAGCAATATAATAAAAAACAGAATGATCTGCTTCACTTCGTTTTAATCCAAAACTTTGAACAATGTGACTAAACTTTCCAAACCAAGCACGTGGAGATTGTTTGAGACCATAGAGAGAACGATGTAACTTACAAACCAAACTAGACTTCCCCTGAGCAACAAAACCAGGAGGTTGCTCCATATAAATTTCCTCCTCAAGATCACCATGCAAGAACGCATTCTTGATATCTAACTGATGAAGAGGCCAATGACGGATAGCTGCCATAGCAAAGAAAAGTCGAACAGTAGTCATTTTGGCCACAGGAGAAAAAGTATCACTGTAGTCAAGGCCATAGATCTGAGTATAGCCTTTTGCTACTAATCTAGCTTTGAGTCGATCAACTTCACCTTTTGGTCCAACTTTAATGGCATAGACCCAACGACAACCAACAGTCTTCTTCCCATGTGGAAGAGGAATTAAGTTCCATGTACCATTGTGCTCAAGAGCCTGCATTTCATCAATCATGGCTTGTCGCCATCCAGGATGATCAAGTGCCTCTTTTACATTCTTTGGAATAGTAATAGCGGATACAGAAGAAACAAAAGAAAAATAGGAAGGAGACAATCTATGGTAGCTAAGAAAATTGTAAATGGGATGTGGATTACGAGTAGAGCGAGTACCTTTGCGAATGGCAATGGGCCAACTTGAGTCACCATTATCAGGAATCGTGGTATCAGGGGATGATTGAGAAGGATCTGCTGAGGAAGACTCATCTTGGGACATGAGACTGATCATTTGGCTCCTGTGTTGATAGGTAATAAGAGGCAGTGATGAGGATTCCGGTGTATTTTGTGTGAAATTTTGGGTGTCAGGAGGAGGTACAAATGACTCCACTAAGGGTATAGGTAGGACATTTTGGACTGAACTAATATCCTGCATAGAAGAAGGGAGTTGACTCAAAAAAAGTGACATTAGCAGACATGTAGTACCTCTTGGTTTCAGGAGAATAACATCGATATCCTTTTTGAAGACGAGAATATCCCAAGAAGACACATTTGATGGCTCTAGCTGATAGTTTATCTAAACCTGGAGACATATCATGAACAAAACATATACAACCAAATACACGAGGAGAAACATGAAAGAGTGGGTCCTTTGGCAATAGAATAGAGTGTGGAACTTTATTGTTAAGAGAAGAAGATGGCATTCTGTTAATGAGAAAACATGCAGTAAGAATAACATCTCCCCAATGATGAATGAGCATATTTCCACCAAGTAATAAGGTACGAGTAGTTTCAACCAAATGTCTATTTTTTCGTTCTGCTATACCATTTTGTTGTGGTGTGTGAGGACAAGTAGACTGGTGTAAAATGCCTTGGGAGCTTAAGAGAGTGGAGAAATCAGTAGAAAAGTATTATTTAGCATTATCACTTCGTAAAACTTTGATTACTTTTCCAAATTGATTTTTGATTTTGTTAAGGAAAGACTTAAAGATAGGTAATAATTCAGAACGGTCTTTCATTAGATAAATCCAAGTACACCTAGAAAACTCATCAATGAAGGTAACAAAATATCTATAGCCAAAGGATGAGACACGACTAGGACCCCAAATATCAGAATGAACAAGAGAAAAGACAGAGTCACATCTAGATTCAGAACGTTTAGGAAAAGAGGACCTAGTATGTTTCCCTAGTTGACATGATTCACATTAAAAATCTTGAAGAGTCTGAAGTTCAGGAACCATTTTTTTTAATCTTGATAAGTGAGGGTGCCCTAACCGTTCGTGTAATAGTTTTGGAGACAAGGATGCAACACAAGATACGAGATGATTTAGTCCCAAGGTAGTATAAGCCTCCGGATTCATGTCCTTCGCCAATCTGTCGACCCGTACCACGTTCCTGTATAACAAAAGAGTTGACATTAAAGGTTACTGAACAATTCAATAATTTGGTTAATTGACTTAGAGAAATGAGACTAAAGGGACATGAAGAAACAAAAAGAACAGATTTTAAGTTTAAAGACGGAGAAATGGAGACTTGACCAGTTCCTTTAGAGGCTACTTTAGATCCGTTGGCTAAGGTTATGAGATGAGGAGTTTTAGGAAATGAGAGAGAAGAGAACAAAGAGGCATTACCGGACATGTGATTAGAAGCACCTGAGTCAATAATCCATGGATTTTGACTTTCCACAGATTGTGAAATGCAAGCTGTTGATGAATTTGGGGTTGTTGATGACTGTGCTAGATGATCGGATTTCAACCTCAAATATTCCCGATATTCTTCGTGAGAGAACTTGGGTTCAACCATTCCAGATTTGGAAAAATTGACAGCTTTATCGGGAAAACCGTGCAAAGAGTAGCAATTTTCCACCGTATGACCCATTCTCTTGCAATGAGTGCACCGAGGACGTCCTCTACCTCCACGTCCTCCTCTAGTGTCGCGACTTCCTCTTCCACGGGTAGAAATCATAGCAGAAGATTCAACAAGTTCTTGATTATTTTTTCCTTTGAGAGTTGGAACACGAAGCGTCTTGTAGTCAAACTTTCCATAGAAGGAACTTCTTGTCCAGTTAAAATTTGATCTCTAACATGATCAAATTCTGAATTCATAGCTCTGAGAGTCATAACCATATAGAATTTATCCAACTTTTGCTTTATCTCCTCTAACGAAACCACCTCTAGGAACATCTTTAATTCTTCAACTCGCTGATTGAGCTTCAGCAATAAAGGTCATCATATCTTTATCCACTTGCTTGAGAGAGGCTAATCGATTAGTGGAATCATAGAGGCGTTGGATATCATTTGCGAAGATATTCTGAGCTTTTTTCCAGAAAGAGTTACATGTTTTGAAGGATCTGAGAGTGTTCAAAATATTTGGTTCTACTGATTGCCACAGTAGAGCACAGAGTTGATAATCAAGCTTTTTCCATTGTTGAGCCTGATCTTCTGGTATCTTACTTCCGTCTTCTTCTAGATGATCGTGAAACCCTTGTCCAAGGAACCAAAGTTCCACTGAAGAGGACCAAGACATGTAATTTTTTCCATTTTATTTCTCAGCCGTTATCTTGGGAGTTCCGGAAAAGGAGGTTGTGGGCCCTGACGACATGTTTTAAATAATGTAGATGTAAGATGGAGACAATGAAACCTGTAAGAAAGAGAACACCCAAGATAGCCTGAAGGTTACTGGAAGGTGGTCGGAAAAGTCGTCGAACGACATCAAAAAAAGGTGACTGGACAGGGGACTGACGGTTGCCGAAAAGTGACCAGAAAGTGGCCGGAAAATGGCCGGACGGTGGCCGGAAAATGGTTGGACGGTGACCGGAAAAATGGCCGGACGGTGACCGGAAAATGACCGGGACGGTGGCCGGAAAATGAGCAAGACGGTGGCCGGAAAATGGCCGGATGCTGGCCAGACGGTGGCCGGACAGGCAGAGCAGGACCAACCTGCTCTGATACCAAGTTAAGAGAGTAAAGAGAATGAAAAGAAGATTTCTAATTTTGTGGGATGCTAACTCCACTCTATGATCTCATATATATATATAGGATTACAACATTTAAAACAACAACCACTAACTACTAACAACCACCAACCACCAACTACTAACCACTAACCACTAACTAATAATAATTCTAACATTTAAGAATGTTTATTTATCACTTGTTAGAAATGTTATTTAAAATCATTCATGAGGGTTACACTCATTATATTCTTCATCTCCGTCACCATTGTTGTATCTTTCTGAAACTGATCTAGGATGGGGAAAAGTATCAGTAAAATAATTCCTATTTCATTGCTCTCGTTCTGATCCAATCCTAATATTATTTGGGGCAAATTATAATTTTTTCCTCAAGATTTGCAAGCATTGTTTTTTTTTTTTTTAATCTGGAAAACTATATGTTGACAACCCATTTTAAGCAACTAACTGTTAGACAACTCTTAGATGAGAAAGGAATAGAAAAAAAAAAGAGAACATAGGTAATTTTATTATTATTGTATTCATAGGAGTGGTTGTCTAACTGTTGTTTTTTACTGATACTTAAATATTGAATCATCTTAGGATGTATTTGCATTGTAGTTCATGCCTTTGTTTTGGGTCAGGCATAATATTACTTTACTGAAATATTTAAACTAACAAATTTCTAGGTTCGGGAAGGACTTGATGCTTCACCAATAGAGATTGCACGAGCATATATGGATTCTCGGGCATTAGAAGCAGGTCCCAGTTCTAAGAACATGATTCATGCTGTTGAAAGCACGGTGTTGCATGGTGTTGAAGCTGCAATAAAACCATATGATCCAACACCATCAAAGAAGTCGACGACATGTTGGCCAGGTGCTGTGGTGCAGGATGCTTATACAACACCACAAAGTCAGAGGAGCAGATATGGACTTCATAATTTCCCCCGTACTCCTTATTCTAAAACTCTTTTAACAAAGTCCAAGTCCAAGGTATATTTTGTTTTTGTTTCTTGTCTTGTGCTTTAATCCTTCAAGTTGAGTCCATACATATAATGTTTTTTTCCACCAGATGATTCACTTGCAAGGAGATAACAACCACATTTCATCAACTCCCATCCTTCAATCAAAGACCGCAATGTATCTGCAGGTACCTTTCAGTGTTATGATCCTATTTCACTTGTAGATTACTGACTGAAAGTGTAAATAACTCGTTGATCCTTTCATATCCTGTGATGATATTTTTTTTATATCTTGCTATCTTTGCACCTGTTCTTGTTCAATACTTAGGATATTTTGGATATAAACATTCATTAGTTCAAATAGTGAATGGTTACGAGACTTCTTTTATTTCTTTATTCACATTTTAGCATCTGTTTTTAACTTAAAACAGAACTTTTGATTGTACTAGCCAAAAATCTAAATCTTTGCTAATGTGCCTTTTATATTTCAAATTTTGTATGGCAGTAGTAATAATGCATTATTCTTATGCATTGCATTATTTTAGAGGCTTTAATTGCTTGCCAAATTATTTGGTTATCTTTGATCTCTTATAAAACTTAAGAATATGGCTGTCTAGTGTGTACGCTGATATTGAAAATTGGAACAATCACATATCAAAAGTTAAAGGTCTTGGAAACCTGGAAGATCTCATCATCATCATGAAGTTGGATTTGCTGTGTTATTTGCTTATTTTACCGAGTTTTAGGAGAATTTGTTTGACAATAAATTTCTGAATCTGTGTGTTTATTTTATTTGTTAAATTTCCTTCATTTGAATTATATCTCTTACTTTAATGGCTTTATGGGGTTTACATTTTTTTATTTTTTAAACTATAAATTTTGTTTTTCTTTCTTTTGCTTGTAAATTGGCTTCTAACGTAATTATGTTAAACACAGGATAAATCTAAAACTGTAGCATCAGAAAGTGTATATGGATCTGTTGGACCTATTCGTCGGACTAGGCATAAGGTTGGTGCACAATCGTCTTCAAGAAGACCAGTTTATTCATCCCTGAATGGTCCTTCACTGAGAGAAAGTTCTGGTGTTGTTGAAGGTTTCACTCCTGTTGCAAAGTGCACGGAAACTATTGGGACAGGCTCCACTCATAAACCACTGGGCTTTCCGGTGGGTGCTCCAACCGTACACATGCATTCCAGTTTGATGGCTAAGAAAATATTAGACCATATCGATAGAAACGTTCCCACACCTAAAGAGAAATCTGCTGAGCTCAAGCTGGCAACAAAATGGAAGAACTCTGAATCTGATTTTAGTACTATCTCTTCAAATGAAGATAATGACTTGCATAAATTGAATGATGTTAGCCCTCATATATATGATGGGCTTGAAAGAAAGAAATCTACTCTATTAATTGAAGGCAAGGGAAACTACCGTGTTGATATGCAATTGAAGGACAGTACAAATAAATCTATCAATGTCAGAAATGAAGAAACTTTGGCGCCTGATGTAAATTCTTATAATAGCAGCAACCCTAGACATGACAATGATGTAAGCATTACTCAAAATTTTGATGCTTCTCAAATTTTATCTATGAAGTCTTCCAAATGGGTATTCTAATTATTTAGTAGTGGCTGTAAAAGCTTCACGTGTTTTTCCTGTTTGACTATCTAAAATTGTGTTGATAATCTTATTGAAAGATGATAGAAACTCTTGAATAACTAGAGTGTAAGTGAGAAGGGTAAGTGGGGTCAATGCTGAGGGTGGCATGGGTTTGAAATGTGAGAGAAATGATGTATATGATTTGTTAGTGGAGTGATGTGAGGGCTGGCTCAAAAACCGTGGGATTTTCTTTATCATCAGGTTTTTAGTGTGATTAAGGATTTCCCTCGTTTAAGCAGTTAGGACTTAGTTGCTTCTATTAATAATACAACTTCATATCACATAGGCGATGCAAAAAGTTAATTTTCTAGTAATCAATTTATTGATTGTTCTAAACCTATGTAATTTATTATATACTCATCATTATACATTAATCATTGCTTGCTAATAATAATATGAGAACCAAGTGTACTGATGTACTAACTTTACAGGATGCTCCGACAATAACTCTCCCAAGTGGAGGTCAGCCTTATGGGGTAAATCAAGAAAAGAAGCCTCCTACTAACCCTGCAACCATCAAACCAGTTCTACCTCCTATTTCTATCAAGAAGCCTGAGTCAAGATGGACAGTAGCATCCGATAATAGCTCTGGATTTACCTTTCCTGTTTCAACATCCTCTTCTGTATTCTCTGAGCCACCGACTCCGTCCATCATGCCTTTGTTTTCTGCTGGGGATCAGCAGCAGTCGAAAGGATCTACCGAACTGTCGTATACATTTGGTTTGAAGAAGGCTAGTCCGGCGCTGGTTTTTTCCTTCCCCTCTACAAGCAATACTGCTGTTAAGAATGAAACTGGAGATATAAACTTTAACTTTGGTTCAACTAATAAGCCAAGGTTATCATTTTTCTTTGGAAAAAATGCTGTCTGCTGTTAAATATAATGACAAAACAATGTTCCTAAGTTGTACAACTTTTTTCCCCTTCTGATGATTGTATTTTTACCCTAAAAACGCTGATTGTAGCATACTTTCGATTTCCTTTTGTTCTTGATGAGAAAATGAGTAAAATGGAAGTCTTGTTCTAATGGAAATTGTGTGGTTTATGTGATCTTTTCTCTGCCCCTCTTGTGCTTTTGTCTGTCCTTACTTCACTATCAACATGGTGGAATGTTAAGAAAATTTGGCTTTCTATCTGATTTCTATATATTTTTAGAGGTTTGTTTTCACAGGTCATATAACTTGGATCAGGACGCAATTCTTATCAACGGTCTTGAATTTTTCATTTTCTTTTGTCATTTATTTTGAAGTGTGTTTTAAGTTGTATATCTCTCTTCGTAATGAAAATCTGGCTTTACTGCAGTAGCATTTTTCTTCATAATATGACCGCAGTAATTAACATTTGTTCTTAACAAACTGCATATTCTATTTCTTGAAGAAGAAAAGACTGCTAAAGCCAATCTAATTTAATCTTGATTCAATAACCTTATATCGAATTCTTGCTTTAGATGTGCAATGAGTCCGTGATTTAGTATTTTATCGTCTATAAACTAAAATCAAATTATAAAAAATATGATATCTCTTCGTAGTATTAGAGGATCTAAGAATAAGATTTAATTTATTGGAAGAAATAAATCGATCTAAAATATAATATCTTCACTTTTATTAATTAAATTATTATTCTTATTATAGGAAATATGATAAAAGGGAATTTCAATAATGGGAATGTGATAAACATTCTGAGATAAAGTTGTAAATAGGATAAAATTATAAAAGAAATAAAATAACGAAAATGTCATTAGCTGATTGCATTGGTCAACGGAAGAACATATTTAAAACATTTCTTCTGAACATATTAAAACATTTAAAACGTATTTAAGACAAAATTTTAATCCACTCTCCTCTTAAGAACATATTAAAATAATTGTTTAATTGATTAAAATATTTTTCATGTTAATTGTTTAATTGATTAAAATATTTTTTCATGTTTAACTCAATATTTTTAAGAACATTTTTACATATTAAAAATGGATTTCAATCTTTTGCATAAACTCTGAATTTAATTTTAACACTTTTAAATAAAAAATTACTCTATACTATGATTAAAATGGATCATTTACCATCATAACACAAAATTAAATATAATTACAATTAATTTTTGCCAACCTCATATATAATCCATTATAATCAATATTGAAATCATTACATCTTATCACTATCAACTCTTTAGCAAAAAAACATATATGATATCTTTATAATGTAAATTTATTGTTTCAAATAAACATTCAATGTTGCTGTCATTTTCTAAAAATCTTATTATTTATCTGTATTTTTAAATATGAGAAAGCATTTTTTTATATTTTTTTGTTAGAAAATATCCTCAATTAGATTGACATCTTACATGAAAAAACAAAATATATAGAAATAATTTATCGTAAATTAAGTATTGTCCTAAATGTTTTAAAAGGATAAATTAGTTTATTTGGTGTAACAATCTACTAATTTGTTCAATGATTGATGTTATGTGATTTAACATAAATATTATTTTTTAAGCATGTAATGAGTGGGAATATTTTATTTCAAATTGTATTAGCTAGGCTATGATTTTTACAAAAATATTTTAATATATTATATTTTATGTTTGTCAAGCGAATGAGTTTAAGTCTAGTTTCCTATTATTATATATCTTTTTCTTTTCTTTATTTTTTTTATGTTATTTTAATGGGTTACAAATGATTAATATGATTTGAAGTGTCAACTTAAAGTGATACTTTTTGCCTAACTACTTTTTAATAAATAAAAAAACAATTCTAAACCAACAAGATAACGAAAGCAAAGCAACCCACTTTTACAAAGTAAATCAAAACATTCGAAAGATGAATAATAGAATTTAGGATAAATAGTTAATTTAGTCACTTTATTTTTTTAATATTTTAATGTGGTCCCAAAATTTTAAAAATTTTAAATTTAGACATGAATATTGAAATTGATATTAATTTTGAATTACTATTATATTTTAATTTTGTTATATTATATGTTTAATTGTAGTATCATTTCGATGTAATTAGGTGATTGGTTATAATTACGTGATGCAAATGAATAGGGACTGCAAATGTGTTTAGGGCATGAACAATTGAGAGTTTGTGCAGATGGATTAGAAAAAATGAGTATCTTTAATATTGTCGTGAAATTACGAGTTCCATTTGTGACGAAGGAGGAGGGTGATTTCTTTTTTGGTTTGCCACTACGACAACGAGGATAGCTTATCATCGCTTATCATCGCTCCTCTCTTTTCATTGTCGTTCCTTCGTCATCGCAATGGGTCACATGTAGTCCCTCCCATGTGTTTGACTCCATCGTCGTCTCGCAAGTCCCCCTTCCCTCATTGTCGGAAACAACTAGCTCTCTGTCATCGTCACAAACCCTAAACGGAACCAACCTTCTTCTCCTTCGTCACAGTCAACCTCACACACAACGGCAATTAGAACCCTAAATCCCCACTATCGTCACAAATAGTACTCCCATCTCCCCTATTGTTGCAGATTCTCTCACCTTCCCTCACCCCATTTGTACAAATTTTTAATTGTTCAAACCCTAAACATATCTGCGACCCGAATTCTTTTCTTCCTACAATTTTAACTGTGATATGATAAATCTGTCATGTAACTAACTATAACTAATCACATCAAAACTGATATTCCAACTAGACATTTAATATAACAAAGTGAAAACATACATAATAGTAGTCCAAAACTGATATCAATTTTAATATTCTTATTTAAATTAAAATTTTTTAAAATTTTGAGCCTATATTAAAATATTGAAACATTTTAATAAATAAAGGATTAAATTATCTCATTAACCTAGAATTTACTAAAAAAAATTATAAGAACCAAAACAATTTTATTATTTTGATTTTGTTCACTTCAATCACTCTCCTATAATTGCATCAACCAATGATGGTGTGAACTAACAGATCCAGGGAGTTCCTGTGTCGGAGTGGCAAATGGCGCAGGGCGGGTTGTCTGAATCTTTGTGCATAGCCACTCTGTTGTTCTTCACCGGATTTGCAACATCTTCTTCCACGGACTCTCCGTTGCTCCAACAACAAAAGGACAAGGTTGGTACGCTCCCTGGTCAATCCTTCGACGTCGGCTTTGCACATTACGCTGGGTATATCACCGTCGAGGAGAATTCTGGAAGAACACTCTTTTACTGGTTCATCGAGGCACTTGAAGATCCTCTTTCCAAACCCCTTGTTTTATGGCTCAATGGAGGCGCGTTCAACTACTCTTCACTAACTAATCATCTTTGTTTGAGTTTTTCTGCTGGTGGATATAACATTGTTACCATTAGGGTCGATTGACATGAAATCAAACATTTGGTGTGTCCGCACGCAGGACCTGGATGTTCATCCATTGCTTTCGGACAGTCAGAGGAAATTGGGCCCTTTCATGTAAATTCGGATGGCAAGACTCTTCATCTCAATCCCTATTCTTGGAACCAAGGTGAGGTGACTCAACCTTTTCAAACGTCCCTTTCCACTATTAGGACCTGGATGGAAGATGTTGTCGAGTTTCTAGAAAGAAAAATATGAAAAAAAATGAAATCAAACTTTTTCATGAGAATTTTTTTTTGAAAAGATATATAAAAAAATTCATTTGAAAAGTTGAAGTACAATTAAAAAAAAAAAAGTTTTTTGAGAACAGTTTTATGTAACCATTTTTTTTTTCTTTTCGTAGTTGCCAACATTCTTTTTCTTGACACTCCTGTTGGGGTTGGATTTTCATATTCAAATAACGAATCCGACGTGCTGAACAATGGCGATAAAAGGACAGGTAGTACACTTTTCATTCAGCGTATTTTTCAGCTTCACATTTGACACGTATGTATCGACACATATTAAGTGATAGCAATGATCTTTACCATTCAGTCTTACATTGATGGTTAATGATGGTTTTACTTAAATCTAATTTAACCATATAAAGGAAGACTGAATGGTCAAGATTAGCTCCCCAAAAGCTCTAACCTTGTATTGATTCATGTAATTTGTGTCATTTAAATTAATAAAACTTTATGTGCAGCTGAGGACAATTTAGTATTTCTTTTGAAGTGGTTTGAGCGTTTTCCTCAATATAGAAGAAGTGATTTTTTCATTAGTGGTGAGAGCTATGCAGGTAAGCAACGTTGCTCAGCATAAAATTTGTGCTCGACTTGAAACTAATTGATATTTTGTTCATTAGATTTTCATGTTTCAAAAGTCACTGTTTGCTAGTATTAGTATGTCTTCAACTGAAATAGTTTTGGCACTTCAATACTGGTCTGTTTATTATAAATGTTCGAGTTCTTTGATTATGGTCTGATAGATTTTAAAATGTTATAATTCATATTGTTCAATCATTAATCCCGTGTATCAGGGCACTATGTTCCTCAACTTTGCCAAGTTATTGTTGAGTACAACTCAGCTACTAAAGGAAATGCAATAAATCTGAAAGGTTTCATGGTATGGGTTCCAATTTTGTGTAAGAAGAAATCTTTGATTTGTGTCTCTTCTCATCATTAATTTAATCTATATCTCTGCTGCAGGTAGGAAATGCTCTGACAGATGATTTTCATGATCAATTGGGGATGTTCGAATTTATGTGGTCAAGTGGTTTGATTTCGGATCAAACATACAAGCTTTTGAACCTACTTTGTGATAATCAGTCAGTTGAGCATCCTTCACATTCATGTGAACAAGTTTGGGAAATTGCTTATAAAGAACTGGGAAATATAGACCTATACAGTCTCTTTACTCCAAAGTGCCATGCCAATATTAGTCAGTTAAGTCAGCTAGCGAGAAGAAAGCATGTGAGTGTGATCATATTTTGAATTTTATGATACAGACAGGTTTGCAGTACATATCATTATTGTTCATGTGTTATGTCATGCTACAGAGAATAGGTAGACTTGGTCTCAGTGCAGAGTATGACCCATGCACTGAAACACACTCCATTGTATACTTCAATCAACGTGAGGTCCAAACAGTTCTTAATGTTGATCGAGATCATAAGCCTGCTAGATGGGAGACTTGCAGGTAATGATCATAAGAGAAGCACTTGAAAATTTTCTATATGCATCCACAGTGTTTGATGCGATTATACAAGGTTTCCACTTAAATTAGAAAATAGAGGGAAAAACATCTAGGTGCAAGCTCCAAATACTGTTTATGTTAACTGGGGTAGAAACAATGTTTAGAATGTCACAGGTGAAATTTTCTCTCTCTCTCTCTCTGTCTCTCTCTCTCTTGTGACTACATTCACCCCATATTACACTAGTGATTCCTTACCCCTCCACCACGCCCGACATACCTTGTATTCACCTACTCTTCCATATTCATGTTTTCTTCATCAATTCATTGCTGCCAAGTGTCGATCCTGTTTGAGACACAATGCCACATTTCTCTTGCATAACTTTCCCCTATCACACTATATAGACAAAGAATATGTAGTTGTTACAATGAAATAAAGGAAAGCAAAATTGTTTACGCAAACAAATATATTTGGATTTATATATTATTTCTTTTTATTGTGTGAATATACAACTTTCAACCTCCTGTTATAAAGACAGAGGATGTATAGTTGTTACAATGAAATAAAGGAAATAAAAACTATTTATGCTAGCAAATATATTTGGATTTGCTGGCACAAAATGGATTTGTTGGCTGATATTACTTAATACAATCATAAATAAAAAACTTTCTTATTTTCCTTCAATTCTTTAATATTTGTTTCCTAATATTATTTGATACACTAAAACAAAAACTTTTCTTCTTTCCTTCATTACTCCCCCTCAAGCTGGAAAGGGATTGGTTGATCCAATCTTGGACAAGCATAACTTTTGATATAAGAGACCCACAAATTTAGGATCCATCACCCACTTTATCTTAGAGTCTAAGTCAATTACCAAGATGAACAATCGATTCTTTATCATTTGATAAATTATTTTAGGTCTAATTCAATTTTAATAAAATCATATTGGAAGGTGAGGATTACCCAAATTATATACTTTATGTGGATATTATTTGTAGTTGCCATGGGACTTGGGTTTTTCCCAAGGCACTCCATCACATCCAACACTATTAATGCTCAGTACGTGCATATCATGGTGAGTAACCCTTTTTAAAGGATCTAGGATAAGCTAATAAGCCATCTTACAAAATAGTTTAAGGATAACTCAATCCAACAAAATGGACTGGTAGTTAAGGATTGTCACTACTTAGGCACTATCTCTTGTGATGTGAGACTTGGGTTTTTCCCAATAAATAGTGTACAAGACTTCACTCTCACATTGGAAATATGAGATTCTAGTGTGGGTTTTATATGGCTTTGGACTACCATAGCTTGCTTTTTTGATGGGGTTTTCCCAAGCTTCTCATCTGTGTCCAAGTCACTTTAACTACATTTTTTATCATCTTTTTCTCAATCTGATAGGAATGGGCCTGGGCCTGTTATTGATGAGGGAATTTTTCATTAATTTTTGAGAATAGAATTTACAAATAGGAGCTACAGCTTTGGAGGGGTATACCTGCTATACTGCAGTGTACTCACATAGGATATTACATAGCAAATTAAATACAAAAACAATTACAGTATCTTATTGTTGCATTTCTTCTATTTCTTCGCTGTACTATTCCATTGTTGCTGCTGTTTCCTATCATTTGGTCCGACCTGCCAGATACTTCGAGGAGGAACTAGTAATCTCTACTTGTCCATGACTACCAGGATGTCCGACAGAGTAGATGCTTTGGAAGGAAGGATGTTGATGTTGGAAGAATCCTTCCGGCTGAGAATGGAAGAGTCTCAGAGGGTGATGATGGAGGAATTCGCCAGGGTGCAAAATCAACCTGCACTAGAAGGTGCGTCATCGGTGTCGGAAGATGTGAATTCGGAGTTCAAAATGGTTGTTAATAAAGTAGAGCTTCCACCTTTTGAGGGAAGTGACCCGGTTGGGTGGATCACCAGGGCTGAAACGTATTTTGAGGTGCATGGTTCGTCGGAGGAGGTGAAACTCAGGTTAGCTACGATTTGTATGGAAGGAATCACCATTCATTGGTTCAATTTGTGGAGAGAAAGAGGATGATCTCACTGGCTCAAATTAAAGAGAGTCATGATTGAGAGATATGGTGGCAAACGTTGTGACAATCCCTACGAAGAATTGAAAGATCTGCAACAAGTAGGAGAAGTAGAAGAGTATATTGTAGATTTCGAATACCTCGCTTCACAGGTACGTCGTCTTCCTGAGGAGCAATATTTAGGGTATCTTTTGGGAGGCTTGAGATCAGAAATTAGATTAAGGGTTCGAACCCTAAATCCTCAAACTAGACTTCAAGCCATGAAAATGGCACGGGATGTTGAGACGGAGCTTAGAGGATTCCCAACCTAGAGAAACAATACTCGTGGGAGACGATGGGTGAAGGAGATGGATCCCATGCTGGATAAAAGTAAATCTGGGCCTAGGTTCTTCTCGGGTCAGCGAACCGGAAATGGGTATAGTTACAACTCGAGCCCAAATAGGAGTGGAGGAGTTTCTGGGCCTGCTCAGTCAACCCAATCGGCCCAGTCTGGGACGAATTCTTAGGGAACAACTCAAATTCCCTGTGTCAGTTCAACTGTGAAGGTGGGCAGTTGAACAAAGGGGTTCATCCTCTTCCCTATTAAGAATTGATGGACCGAAGGGTTAAGGGATTGTGTTTTCGATGTGGAGAAAAATTTCACCCACTCCATCAATGTCCAAAAAAGCAACTTCGATTGGTGATACTAGGGGATGATGAGAAGGTGAATGAAGAAGGAGAAATCATCGTCGTGGAGGTTCAGGAAGAAAAGAGGAGGTGGCCATTGAGTGTAATGCTTTGGGAATGTTTGAGGAAATGGAGAGGAGACAACTTGTTATGATGAAGATAAGAGGGAGATTGAATGGGATCTCTATCCAAGTGTTGGTGGATAGTGGTGCAAGTCATTGTTTTATTGATTCTAAAGTGGTGGCAACATTAGGATTAACAGTGACTCCAACAACAACTTTGGGGGTGAAGTTTGGAGATGGTCACAAGACTACGACCATGGGTAAGTGTGAGGGCTTGAAGGTAATGTTGGGTGATTTTACTAGAATTACTGCTTATGTTTTGGGATTGGGTGATTTGGATGTAATTTGGGGGCTACATGGATGAGACAGTTTGGTAAGGTGACTTTTGATTGAAAAAATATGGTATTAAGCTTTCCTTGGAAGGGGATATTGAAGGAGTTACAAGGGATCAAATCCTTGTCGGAGTCTGCCGGTTCGTCCCTACACAATTTGTTGAAAGAAGAAGGGCTTGAATCTGAGGAGAGCAAGAAACATGAGTTGAATGAGCAACAACAAGGAGAGCTTGATCAATTGTTGAAGAGTTTTCTGGGGGTATTCAGAGAACTTGATGGGTTACCTCCAAAAAAGGATACGGTTCATGCCATTGAGTTGAAGAATGATGTGACACCCATTAGTGTGAGACCATATAGATATCCTTTTCATCACAAGGATGAAATTGAGAGACAGGTTCAAGCTATGCTACAATAGGGACTCATTAGACATAGCTCTTGTCCTTTTTCAAGTCCGGTAATCCTAGTCAAGAAAAAGGATGATACTTGGAGGATATGTGTCGACTACCGAGAACTTAAAAAGTTACTATTCCGGATAAGTATCCTATACTGGTAGTGGAGGAGTTGTTAGATGGATTGGAGGGAGCTAAGTATTTTTCTAAGATCGATCTCAAGTCCGGATACCATCAAATAAGAATGAAGGAGGAGGATGTGCATAAGACCGCTTTCCGGACACATGAAGGCCATTACGAATTCTTGGTGATGCCATTTGGGCTAACCAATGCCCCAGCTACGTTTCAAGCAACCATGAACCAAGTGTTCAAACCACTCTTAAGAAGATTTGTTTTGGTGTTTTTTGATGACATACTTATATATAATAGGGAGTGGGAAGAGCATGTACAACACTTGCAATAAGTCCTTGAGGTACTTCAAGATAAGGGGTTTGTGGCTAATAAAAAGAAGTGTGCATTTGGTCACAAACAAGTGGAGTATCTTGGACATAATTTCAGAAAAAGGAGTAGTCGTGGACCCTACTAAGGTGAAGTGTGTGATGGAATGGCCAATTCTCAAAATTGTGAAGGGGGTGAGAGGCTTCTTGGGATTAACTGGGTATTACAGAAAATTTGTCAAGGACTATGGAGAAATTGCAAAACCTTTGACGGAACTTACTAAAAAGGAAGGTTTTAAATGAGGAATAGAAGCTACCCAAGCTTTTGAAGAATTGAAGAGAGTGATGACTACTGCACCGGTGTTAGCTCTTCCGAATTTTGGTCAACCATTTGAGATTGAATGTGATGCTTCGGGGAAGGGGGTAGGTGCTGTCTTGATGCAAGGCAGACGACCCATTGCTTATTTTAGTAAGGCCCTGTCTAAGAACAACTTGGCTAAGTCGGCTTACGAAAAAGAATTGATGGCATTGGTTTTAGTGGTGCGACACTGGAGACCGTATTTATTGGGATGAAATTTTGTAGTTCATTCTGATCAAAAGAGCCTTCGACATTTATTGCAGCAGAAAATTACTACTATGGACCAACAAAATTGGTTAGCTAAGCTATTGGCCTACCAATTTGAGGTGGTGTATAAACCCGGGTTGGAAAATAAAGCGGCCGATTCGTTGTCCCGAGTGTTCGAAGAAGGTGAATTGATGAACATTACCTCTTTTCCAATCTGGCTACAAATGACCGAAGTGCAGAAAGAAGTAAAGGAAAATGAGGAGTTGAAAAAGATTATTGAAGAACTGTCCATGGATCCTAATACCCATCCGGGGTTCGTTTTGCAGCAGGGAATTTTATTATATAAAAACAGGTTGGTTTTGGCATCCAACTCCATCTATATACTGTTGTTATTGCAAGAATTCCATTCATCACCCTTGGGAGGGCATTCTGGATTCCACATAACATATAGAAAAATGGCTGAAAATGTATATTGGGTGGGCATGAAGAAAGCCGTGTAGACTTTTATGTGAAGTTGTGATACTTGTCAACGTTAGAAATATGCTGCAACTTCTTTGGCAGGCCTGCTGCAACCGCTCCCCATTCCGAAGCGAATTTAGGAAGATATTTCTTTGGATTTTATCACCGGTCTTCCTAAATCTAAGGGGTTTGAAGCCATTTTTGTTGTAGTGGACAAATTGTCAAAATTTGCGCACTTTATACCTCTGAAACATCCTTATACGACTAAAACTATAACTGAGGTGTTCACAAAAGAGATTGTTCAGTTGCATGGGGTGTCATAGTCTATTGTGAGTGACCGAGATCCCTTATTTGTTAGCCTATTTTGGAAGGAGTTGTTTAAGATGCAAGGAACAGTGTTGAAGATGAGTTCCTGGTATCATCCGGAAATGGATGGGCAAACAGATGTGGTGAACAGGTGTTTGGAGGCTTATTTACGTTGCTTCGCATCAGAGCACCCCAAAAATTGGTCATATTGGGTATCTTGGGCTGAATTATGGTATAATTCATCATACCATGTGTCCATTGGAACCACACCTTTTGAGGTAGTATATGGGCGCAAACCTCCTATGTTAATTCATTTTTCACAAGGGGAAACTCGAGTTGAGGCCATGGCTGCAGAATTAGTGGACAGAGATGAAGCTCTGCAGCAACTTAAGTATCACCTGCTTAGAGCTCAGCAACAAATGAAGAAGTATGCCGATAAGAAGAGACGAGAAGTGACTTTTGAAGCAGGGGAATGGGTTTTCTTAAAGTTGAGACCCCATAGGCAGCACACGAGAAGTGACTTTTGAAGCAAGGGAATGGGTTTTCTTAAAGTTGAGACCCCATAGGCAGCACATGGTGGTGAGGAGGATTAATTAGAAACTTGCATTGAGGTATTTTCGGCCATATCCGATACTGCAGAAAATTGGAGTTCTTTCATACAGGGTTAAGTTGCCGGAATCAGCAAAAATTCATGTTGTTTTTCATGTTTCTCAGCTGAAGAAGGCAGTGGGGAATTATAATGTAGAACCTGAGCTTCCGGAGGGGTTGGAAATAGAAGAAAGTGAGTTGGAAGAACCTGAAGAAATCCTTGCTGTTAGAAGTATTCGGGAGGTTGATGATTTGGTGAAACAGTTCCTAATTAAATGGAAGGAACGAAGCATGGAGGATACTTCTTGGATGGATGAGGATGCTTTGAAGAGTCAGTTTCCTTTTTTCAGCCTTGAGGACAAGGCTACTGTTGCAGGGGAAGGTATTGATAGGAATGGGCTTGGGCCTGTTATTGATGAGGGAATTTTTTATTCATTTTTTAGAATAGAATTTACAAATAGGAGCTACAATTCTGGGGTTGTATACCTGCTATACTGCAGTGTACTCATAGGATATTACATAGCAAATTAAATACAAAAACTATTATAGTATCTTATTGCTGCATTTCTTCTATTTCTTCGCTGTACTGTTCCATTGTTGCTACTATTTCCTATCACAATCTGTGAAAACATCTCATGTACAATCATTTCTTATCTTGTCTTAATATTTTCATTTCTCGTTATTTTCACTACTTCCACATTAATAATTTAAGAATCCCTGGGACGCTATATCATTTGGAGATTTTGATAATTGGTAGCAACTTGAGGGATTGTAGGTACATCATAAAATGTATTGTCGTACCTTTTCTCTATCACTTTCTATTTTCATCTGTTTGGTTTCTTTTACCAAACTTACTGACATGCCGATCCTCTTATTCTCATTCCTTGCAGTGAGGTGGTAAATACAAACTGGAAGGATTCTCCAACATCAATGCTCAATACTTATCATGAACTTATTCGCATGGGATTAAAGATATGGGTGTTCAGGTTACTGTTCTTTTCTAATATCTAGATTTAACCTTTAGTTACAAAAACTTTATCTTTTAGTCTATATACTTGAAAGCAGCCCTTTTATTTCTTTCACATACCATTTTAAATCTCTGTCTCCCTATTATACATATTGTTTTTAATTCCTTTTACTCCCTACGACTAGGACTAAAAGGGATTAAAAATTATATATCTACAGACTAAAGGAAATATTTTTAAATATAGGGACTAGAAGGGAAAGATTTTGTAACAATAATTAAACGTAATATCTATATATGTGTCTACATACTGGTTTAATCGTTTGTTTGATGTCATACATACATGTAAAGTGAGCCAGGAAGATATTGAAAGTGAGTCTAAGTATATGTTACGTTGGCTAAGACAATTTGCGAATTACTTATGAACTGAAAATATTGCATAGTAAGATTATCCGTCTTGACCAAATTCATGTTCTGCTTCTTATTTTTACATGAACACAGTAAAACAAAAACTGAGAAAAAATGACACGTGATCAAGTAATCATTTTAATGTATATAATCACTTTAATGTATTCCTATTACTATTGTTAAGACAAAAATAATCCTAACTTTACAACTACTTTGTGTCTCTTTTAAATGAGTGATACTGTATTGATTAATCTTGTTGAAATAAATGGTGAAAAGTCATATAATGAAATCCTTGTATGCGTATGCACAACAGAGGAATATATATATATATATATATATATATATATATATATAGAGAGAGAGAGAGAGAGAGAGAGTGAGTCTGATGAGTTTGGGCCCATATATTATGCTAAATCTAACACCCTTCTCAAGTTGATGTATATAAATTATATGCATTAATCTTATTACAAATATAATCAATTCTAGGACCTTGATTTGGTAAAGATATTTGTTAATTGATCATTGGAGTAAACAAATTGAGTCGTAATATTTTTGGATACAATCTTATCCTCGATGAAGTGACAATCTATTTGAATATGTTTGATTTTTTTTTTTTTTTAATATTGGATTTGAGGTAATATGTAGGGCAACTTGGTTGTCATAAATGGGGTTCATTTGTGTGACCTTCACTTTTAAGCCAAAGCTCATAGATGGTAGAGGTTTATACTTGCACTAGATCTTGCCACTATATTTTACTTCTTGTTTTTCCAAGAAATCAAATTGTCACCGATGAAGACATAATATCCAGAGGTGGATCTCCTATTAAAAAGAGAGTTTGCTTAATCTGCATCACAGTAACTCAACTTGAATGTGATTATTGTGACCATATAACAATTTTTTTCCTAGAGCACCTTTAAATATATTTCAAAAATGTGAATCACTTCATTGCAATGTCTTGTCCATGAAACTCAAGAACCTAGCTTACCATAGTATCTACAAAAGAGATGTTTGAATGAGGAACTGTGAGGTAATTCAAATTTCCAACAAGTCTTTTGTAGTGGCTCCCCCAATCCTGGTAGAAGTTTGATATTTAGATTCATGAGTGAATCAATGGGCTTGGAATCATTAGTCCACTTTCTTCTAAAATATCTAATACGTACTTTCTTTGAGAAATAACAATTCCATTATTGGATTATGTACCTCAATCCCTAAGAGTAAATACACCCATTATTTGTAAGATGATAAAACTCCAAATGATAGGCTCATTTTAAGTCATGTCAAATTGTTGGACCACTACACTAAATCTACCAAATCATGTCCTTAAAGATTGCTTGAGATATAATGATTTGTGGAGGTGGTATACCAATCCAAAAGACACCCATGAGCAACAAAACTAAAAGGTTGCACTATATAAATTTCTTCTAGCAAATCACTATGAAGGAAGATATTTTTGACATCTAACTGATAAAAGGGCCAATGAAGAAAGGCTTGCACGGTGAGGATTAAACAAACAAAAGCCTCTTGACTACTGGAGAGAAAGTGTCACCATAGCCCAATCCAAATATTTGATTAAAACCTTTGATGACTAAGTGGACTTTGAGGCAATCAATGGTGTCATTAGGACCAACTTTGATGGTGAAGATCACCTGCAACTAACAACAAATTTTTCAAAGAGTAAAGGAACATAATCCCAAGTTCCACTATCTTAAAGAGCACATAGTTCAACAAGCATGGCCTAAACTCATATATTTAGTTACATCTAATAACTCTTAATTATATATAGGAGTATTTTGTTAAAAACAAATTAAAAAACTAATAGGATTATTATTTTGGAACAAAAATAAAAGATTAAAAGACTCTATTTTAGAAAGGAAGGAGTATTGATTTAATAGATCTCCTCATCTAGAAGCATATGGTAGCTGTAATATGAAAGACAAAATATTAATGCTTTTGGCAGATGTTTTTATCAGTAATTGTAGCTTGGTACGCAATGTTAACCTAGAACAAACATTATTCCTTTTTTTTTTGTCTCTTGAAACCAATGTTTTTTTCAGCATCTACGATTTTTTTACATCGAGAATGTAAGACTCAAACTAGGTAGATCAAAGCTGTCTTATTTTAGTTAGATATTTGGGAAGTTGTATGGAAACTTTTTTTATCAATTGAATTTTGTAAGTGTAGTTTTAGTTCATAGCACAAGAATTTTCATCTTTTGTCTTTAATACCATTTCAAATTTCGTTTCCTGCCTGATGGTTTTGAATTTTCACTGTTCAATGTTAACATCTTTCTCCAATATATGTATTTTGGAACTCTATGCTTGAAAAAATTACTCTTTGCTTCTCTCGAATATTTTGTTTCATCCAAACTTATTTGCTGTCCATAACTTCAGTGGTAATACGGACGCGGTAATACCTGTCACATCTACTCGCTATAGCATAAATGCTCTCAATCTCCCTACGGTTAGTCCTTGGCGTGCATGGTATGATGATGGGGAGGCAAGTGATTCTATAATGAGTGTTTTTTTGTATAGTATTTCTAGTGACTTTATTTCTTAGTTTATTTTCTGTTATTATGACTCTTGTGCACTGGTATGTGATATAAATGAAACAGGTAGGAGGATGGACCCAAGAATATGCTGGCCTTACGTTTGTGGTTGTAAGGGGTGCAGGGCATGAAGTTCCTTTGCATAAACCAAAACTTGCTCTGATAATGTTAAAATCCTTCTTAGCGGGAACATCAATGCCCAACCTTGAGCTAGTAAGCACATCTTAAAATAGAAAAATGACAGGTTGATATCTGGATGTGTAATATATAATCCGTTGACAACCAAAAATATTAATATAATAACATATTATTATATTATTATTTTGGATTGTCAATCGTATATATATTATACTATTATCAGCAATCCATCATCACCCCCTTAATGTACCTGTACTGTTACCACAGGAACTTCCTTTCCATGTAATCAAGTTCTCTATTGACTGTGTCACAAGGGAATAATATTGCGCAAGTCAGACTTGTGTTATTCACTTTATTGTTTTTAAAATTTTATATAATGGGTACCTCTTACAATGAGGATAGGCCAAAATCTTAAAATATATCAGTAAGTAAAATCAATTAATGTTTAAATTTGGGATTTAGACGGTCTCAGGTGGATGATTTTTTCTGGACAGTTTCATGTGGACGATCTCTGTCATAGTAGGGTCGCTTCGTAAAATATACACCACGTTGAACATCATAACTGTTTTTTGCATAATTCAGGGTTTTCCAAAGGATTCCAAACCTCCAAAGTCATTTCTTAAAGGTCTAGGTACAATTCCTAACACTAATAAAACCAATACAACTTAAAAACAACTAACTGATAATAGTCGGAAATTCATTTAGTTGCCCATAGGTGGTCACAAGATTGCCAAATATTGACTGCACAAAGGGGAAAATCACAACCCAGCATATAATAAAACTAAACCACAGAACCCAAGGTCTAAGGTATTCATAACTAGTACACATCACAAGAAGCGCAGAAGTATAATTGTTTTGGGTATTGGGTAATCCCCCCACCAATGGTCAATGTCATCCCATCAAAGAGAAGAAACCTACTCCGTCTATCCAGAAGTAGAAAAATAATGCAGCAATGAAAGAAAATAATAAATTGATGCTTGACAGAGTATATTGGAAACATATTTTTGTGACTTATTTGCATATAATTGACATTAGTTATGCTTAATATAAAGATATTAGGTGAGCCTCAAATTAGAGGGACTTAAGAGATATAAATTGCTCACAAATATTATATTTGGATGGTTTAGGTGTCGTCTTTAAAAAGATGATAGAAAGATCTTCAATTTGGTTTTCGTAGTCCCAATCCAATTTTGAAATTTTTACCGTAAAAAACAATGTTACTATAGTGATTGACGGACTTCCAGATTTAGTAGATTTGCAAATAAAATGATCAAGCGTTTTCATTTCCAAGTTCTTAAAAGAGCAATGTTCTAATGTTGTACATAAACATAATATCTAAGCAAACAAGTTAGGGTTTGACAGAATTTTACCGTGTTTACAACCAACCATAAGCAAAATACAGAGCGAAACAAGACAACAACATCAATGCCTAAGAATCAACTGCTGCAAGGCCAAAATAATGGCTGTCATTAGAATACATGATGCTGATAGGCAACAACTATAAAGCTGCTCTCCCTGTAGCCTCCATACCGTGCACAGCCCTCAATAATCTGCTGCTTGCGTTTCAAGCAATGGTAGCGTCAAAGAAATGTCCCCGTTCTGCAGCCAAACTTCAAGAACATTGCTGCAATCTTTTACTTTGACAGCCACGTGGAAAATATCAACAAAGGAAGCATTAAAATCAATCCATAACACACAAAAGCGTCAATGCTTTCAAAAGTATTAACATTGCTGAAAATAGCACTCCATATTTGTCCAACACTATCTCTGAGATATTCCTGCACAGAAAATCCAGTGAACATGATTTACAGCCCAAGAAACAATTTAAATTGTAAAACTAATGACTATATGTTAAATTCACCTCTACACTTAAATTATTAAATGGACCCTCCTCATCCGAGTTTCTCAAAATTATTCTGTCACTGTCAGATATTGATTGTTCCAAAGACATTTTGGTTTTGGCGGGCCCTACTTTTTTATTTGATCCGGACCTGTAGGCTGAATCGGTATGTATAGTTTTCATTACGGAACCAAAGAAGTTTGTCACAGGTACCTGGAAAGAAGTGACAAAAACGAACTCATCACTTCCAAACAGCATAAAAAGAGTGCCAGATATTACGTCAATCAATTAAATCATTAAACTTATCCAATTAAACACTAAAAATTGGGCAAAAAGAAAACCTTAGAACACTAGATTCCTCACCAAATAGTAAATTTTCTAAAAAAAGGACAAAAGATTAAAAATATGACAACAGTTTTATTACCTCATCTAAATGGCGTTGGTATAGATCCATTCTGTAATATGCTGTTGACATCAACAAATTTGGATTATATGAATTAAAAAGACTGCAAAACAAACAAACAAAAAACTGAATAAACAATTGAGCCCTCATTGGCATGATGTAAACATAATTTTAATGTTGTGTATTCCAGTTGCTCTTAAGTCTGGACTGGCTTAACAAACAAGATGGGATAATGATTTGTGCATTTTCAAATGATAGAAACAATAAAAGTTATTTTACCAAAAGGGGTCAAATAAGTTTTAATTCCCAATAGGAATTTTTAAAGACAAGTTTTTCAAAAAAAGATTAAAAAACAAAACTAAAACAAAATGTTAGGAAAGTAAAACTAAGAACATGAAAGAAAAACACAGTATATAGACACTTGATAGTAAGATAAAATACTTCTCATGAGAAAGGCTTACAATGTACCTGCTCAGCGAAGCATTGTCATACATATTTAGCCTCTCGAAGAAAGCAAGGGTGTAAAATGTAAAACGATCAACAACTGAAACGCCAACCTGTATATTTTAAAGAAAAAGAAACTAAGTTCATAAACTGCAGCAAATTACATCATATACTTGTACCAAGGACTATTAAATTCATACATCTGAGTCCAAATGATGAGAATATGAATTTTCTCCTTTCATACTACTTCCAATTGCCAAAACACCTGGTGAATGAAGCTGCCATGCCCAGAAAAAAAAAACAGTCAGCAACAAAGTTGAATTTGGATCAAAACTTCATTCCAATCAAAATTGGAAAGAATGAAACTATACCACTAAATGATTTGGACATAACAAATTTGAATGATGAAGAAGATGGAACTAGAAATGATGGAGTTGAAGATCTCTTGAGCAATTATGATTTTAACTTGCACAAGATTATTTGCTTTAAATGGATTATTGTTTCATAACAAGGATAAAATTACTATTTGGTAACTAGGATGGAGTTATTGACTTACTGCTGTGTAACTAGGATGGGGTTTATACCAAATAATTACATCTATATCATATATGACTTTGGACCAGTTTGGTTAAACTTAAAATAAGTGTTCTTGAAATAAGCAATTTTAAGAAAATCATTTATTTAAGAAGCATATAGGATTTTCTTATTAAAAAAAATAAAAAATGAAACTACTTATTTTTAAAATAAGCAGATTCGATAACATAAAAAAGTAGAAATTTGTTTAGTTTATTAAAAATAACTTTTTTTAAAAAATAAGCACAAAACAACTCTTTATATGCTTATTATATTGTTTGTGTGCTTTTGCATATCATGTTCATCTGAAGTTCAATTATATTTCAAGTGTGGTATAATGAGTTATGTAACTTTAATATGCACATATATATGATTATGTGTGCATATTTAAGAATTTCATGAATTCTATAAGAATCATATTATAAGAATTCCCTTTCTTATCTTGAATAAGATTTCAATTTTGATTTACCTTGAACAATATACAATTGAGGAACACAAGGTATGCATTAGACTTGGACAGATATCAACTCTACAGCTAACATTTGCACTTAAATGATAACTGTTAAATTCTGGTCAACGAACACTCAGGATCATTTATTGTCACTTCATAAGAATTGGCATAGGAGTTTTCAAGAACAACAAAAACATAAAATCAATTTGATACCTGGGAGAACAGAGTAGAGGCTTGGCAGGTATCCACCATTATAAGAAGCTCCTTAAACCTACCAAATCCCATTAGAATGAGTTAAACATGAGTTCTTAGTCCAAAACTGATAAGCATATGAAATCAGAGTCCTAAGTTCATTGTCTATTTGTCAAGAACAATGATAGCTTTGTTTCAATTATTTTTTCTTCCTTTTTATTGCTTTCTGTTTTGTACTTTTGTTAAGGAGAGCTCACTATCCTCTCCTCTCTTTGTAAGTAAAAATCATTGCCCCAATAAATTATACTACGTTAATAAAAAAATTCATTTCATGTAGTCAATTTACAATTCATAGGTAACAAATAAACAGTTGAATATGAAACAAAACCTCCGTTTCTCTTTCATTTGCTTCACAGCATCAGCTAAATCGTGACTTTGAAGCTCTTCTGAGTCCTGAAACTTCAAAAACTCATCACCTCCATGCCCTGTCATATACAGAAGAATATGACTTCCTTCATCACTAAGAAGTCGCTTAGATCTCGGAACAGCAGTCTCATGACGTCCTGTAAGTACCCGTAAGAAGTTTTCCACTGTCACTTCATAGCCACGATAGTCTACCTAAGAGATTGCAGGCAATTGATCATCAGCTAAAAGATACTATCTTCTAAATACAAGAGATTGATACATTTAAATGAGAGAAGAAAATAAAGATGGCTCATTTTCAAGTTATAGCCATTGAACATTACAGTACTAGTACCTTCTTCCCTAGAGAAATAGCACTGGATTGAAGATAAACATAAAAGCATTACATGAATGTAAAAGATATTTTCTGCATGTAAGCCAATTTTTCACTGAGAGACAAACTTTGGTAACAGTCAGAGAGGTTATTAGCTTATAGTTCACAATCTTAGGTAACTCCCCAATAGATGAAGTAAACTACTTTATAGATTCATACTTTGCATTCAGATTATGAACTATAAATACATAAAAGCATAACATGAAGTCTTACAAAACAAAATTATTACTTATGTCTAAGTTTGTGAATGTTTTATCTTAGAATTATGAAAACAAAGCAATTAAATAAGTAAATAGGGTAAGTTCAAAAGTGTTTACTTCAATTCCTTATTATTTAACAATTTAAACTAATATGACTTTTCAATTTTAACATGAGAAATGGCGAATAAAGATAAAATATGGTCTAAAAAATAGTGATTCTTGTTAAGGTTCCAACATAAAACTAATTGGCAATATGTGGAGTAGCCTAACATGTATTTAAACCATACCAAATGATATGAGATAGGCGATGTGGGACTTTCAACACACCTCCTCCAACGAAACCTGCCGGACCAGGCAAAGGGTACTTTTGACCCAACTAAAGGGCAACTTTTGGCCCATGACAATAACCGGAAAGATGTTAGGCTTTGGCTCTGATACCATGTTAAGGTTCCAACATAAAACCAATTGGCAATATGTGGAGTAGCCTAACATGTATTTAAACCATACCAAATGATATGAGATAGGCGATGTGGGACTTTCAACAATTCTTATCAATGATACGAAACTACAAAATTCGTTAATGTATTGTAAAATATTCAAAGTCATTTAAAATTCATCTTACCATAGATATCAATAAGTAGCCATGTAGTATCAAATTGTAAGATTCAAATAGTGAATTCAAAGATTCTGATAAGTACTATCTGTATATGTTTCAATCTATTCGTAAATTAATTTAAAGGTATCTCAAAGCTTATTTAGATGATTTTATATCGCAAGCATACAGATACTGTCAATGAAGCAAACCTAGAGAAGCCTCAGCCCAACTAACGTATATGACACAAATTAGGCAAAAGTCAAGAGGAAGAAACAAAGCTATCAATAGGCCAATAACAGAGCGCTGCCCATATCCCAGATCAGGTTTTTGAGATAGATTCAGAGACATAACAGGATTTATGTATATAGTATAAACCTCAAGCTAGAGCCCAACATGTTGACAACATTGTGTTATCGAAGACAGTCAAACCAGCTCAGAAAGGCTGGCAGAATTGATGATGTCATTTTAGATGGCTTGAGGAACTTGAATATGAGAGAGACATCAATCATGTACACAAATGATTAGTTTTGTATTAATCTTATAGCCATGATGTAGTTTCATTATAATTTGACCAACTTATTTCCTCACGTGAGGCAGACTTTTCGGTTGCAGCCTCAACCTGCCTTGCATAACATAACTACACTTCCTTATGAATTTGTCAATGGTAGGATCACTAGGATGCGTTACGTTTGGAAAGGAATATCAGTTCTACAAGAAAACAATAAACAAAAGTAAATAGCACATGCAAGAGATGACTTAAGGATAAGTTTCGTCCAGCTTACTTTTATAGCTTTGGAACCTGAAGCTATCACAGACAATGGTAAAACACATTTTGGAAATATGACAATTAAAGGAAGAAATACCGACTGTACAGATAATTTAGCTTTCATGATTCGTGAAATAAAATATCCTAGGTTTCCATTGACAACCACGAGGCAGAGTCAAGAGATGCAGACATACAAATGCATACTGGAAAAAGTAAAACCTCACCTCTACGTTATCCCCGTACAGATTAAGTCTATGGTTTTCATTATTAAAAACTTGAGCAGGGTACTTGTTTCTTGCATTACATGCCATGTCATCTGCTAGCATGAGTATAATCCTCTCATCTGGTATTCCTAGCCGCTTAACTGTCCTGAACAAGAAAGAATTTAAAGAATTTTAGATCATTGTCAAGCATAATTCAAACAATTAAAAATAAGACTAAAATGTATACTTACCTATACAAGGACAGGGTATTGGCCATATGCCGATAATTAAACCTGAACAAGAGCATCGGCATATTAGTATATTAACCATTTCAAACAACTAAACCTTGCGATAAACCATAATTCAAATTTCCTCTATAAGCCATGTAACGAGTTGCCAAGAGTCATCGTAGACAAACTTTTCCATAAGCACTTCCAAGAGAGAAAGAGAGAGAAAAGAAAAAAAAAAGAAAAAAAAAAACTGAAACAATTTCTTTATAAAATAAAATTAACTCACGATCAAGTTAAAATTCACACTTTAGAGAAGCTATATCAGAAACCTTCTAATCTTAACTTATAGAGAAGCTTATTTCACTTGTCCCATCTTATTTTTCTTTCTTAAAAATGCTTATAGAAAAGTTTGTCACCCTAAGTAAACAACTACAAAATTTCATTTTCATTAAGTATTATTTCATTCACATACATTGCTATCAAAGATACTCAATAAAGCAAAAGCTAATAGAAAAAACGCCAGGTAGATTCGTAGGAGTTTTATCATTCAAAACCAAAAAAAAAAAAAAAAAAAAAAACACTTGATGGTACCAGAAGCGAGACGTGCAGACCAAAACAGCCCAGTTATTAGTGTGCATTGTAGCGTCAGATGAAGCAGAGGAGCATGCTGCAGAGAAGCTGAGAAATATCAACATTATAATCACCGCGAGCTTTGAATGGCTTAAACCCATGCTTCTTATCCGGCTATTATTCTCGCGACAACTTTACCAAACTTGCCCTTCTTTCACTGGTGGAATTGATTGCCTGGGTCTTCTTTTCTTCGGATACCAATGAAGTGTTCCATAACTGCAAAACAATTCAACACGAATAATGCACATGAACCAATCAAATTTGAATTGAATCTTATAATACTTATACTATCAAATTACAAGTGTCTTCTGGGGAAGAAAAAAAAAATGAAAATGCTTAGACTGGTTCCTTTTGTTTTGGGCAATAGATTCAGGTCGTTTAAGGATCACGTGGATCAAACCAAACACTGACCTAAACGAGTTTGGTGTGTGTGATGGCGGGAGTGTAAATATATTAGAGTTTGTTGCGAATCGAGAACTGCATCGTCGTTAATGGAGATACGAAATACGAACTCCGGCCAGCGAGATCGGTGTCTTTGGGATGAGACAGCGTTTCTTCTGGTTTCACACGCTTAGACTCTTCCTTCAAATTTCTATTCTTTTTTTTAATTTAACTTTTTACACCCCCTTCATCTCTAATTTGGGTTGGTTTCATTATTATAACTATTCTTCGCACCTTAATAATTGATTTCTACACTTCTTATAATAATAAAAGATTTTAAAACCAGACCGTTCACCGAATTAATAAAAACATGATTCGGGATTTAAAGGTGAGTTCAACCGATACAGATTTAATAAGATAATATTTTTATAATATAATAAATATTTTTTTATAAAAAAATAATAATAAAATTACTGTTATAATTATTATAAATTATAATTATAAAATATATTAGATAATAAAAAATAAATAATTATTAAAATAAGATAATATATATATATATATATATATATATATATATATCTTTAATAAAAAAGGTTATATTAAAAAAATTTGATAATAATTTTTTTTTTACCAAGATTGATTTTACTCAGAAACTCAATTTTATCCTAAAAACTCAATTTTTTACTCAAAATTTAAGGCACAGGCGTTTTTCAAAACAATGAATAAAAGTGACTTTTTAAAATTCGTACTCTTTTCAGCATATACTATCTACAATATTAAAAAAAAAAATATATATATATATATATATATATATATATATATATATATTTGGATTACATATTACAAATACATTTTAGAAAAAACATGCAAATGAGAATTTGGAATGTATTATTTCTCCTCTGGGTGGAATTCATAAATTTATTTATAGTATTTTAAATCAATTAATAATATAATTTATGTCAAATAGTTTTTTTTCTATTTGTTTTTAAATTATTATTTTTAGTAATAATTTTATCTCATTTTTTAAGTGAATTAATATAGTTATTTTTGTCAACTTAGTTAAGTTATATAATAGAGAATTCATATAATATTAATATGGTGATGTTCATTGATGTTCCAATTTTGTAGAGTTCACGTGATATTTATATATCATGTCATGTGACATATTTTATTATAAAAAACTATTAATGATAATTATTTAAGAATAAAAATATATTATAAACAATGTTATATAATTTTAAGAAATTTATTTTTAAATGATTGTTGTAACTATCTCTTTTCGAAGATATCCGTAACATGTAGATCATCTTCATATAAATTGAATGTCAAATTGAAATATAACAAAGTCAATATTATATGATACTTTTTAAATAATAAAAACTCATGAAAGAAATTATATTAATTAATTTAAAAAAAATAATATTTAGCCTAAGATTTATTATTATATAGAATTAATTTTTCAAAAGATCTAATCCTTGTACACCCTCCTTACAACAAATGTTTAAGGAAGAGATAACAAAACTACGTGTTCTTACTCTTGGTTGAATATTTTTTTCTATCTCCAAAGTCTTTATACGTCCTAAATTCATCCAAAATTGTCACCTGTCTTTTAAATCAAAGAACTTAAGACCAACTTTGAGAGTCAAGTTTGTGTCCATCAATTAATTCCTATATGTAAGTAACAAATAGTATAATTATTATTACTATTATTAATAGTAAAACTTAATATAACTTTAAAAAAAATATGAATAAAATCACCATCTATATATTAAAGTAAAAAATTTGATAAGAATGAAATCATATTATTTCTTCTTCAAAGGATAATCTCTATGTTCAGAAAACTTATTAATTTATTTGCTAATCATATTCATCGCACTTAAGTTCTTATACCTTGTTAGGTATATGCTTATCAATTTTGCATTCTTTTAATCAATTTATATGTTAATTTCTCGCAAAACATTCTTTCACAATCAACAAATTCTACAACTTCTATAATACAAAAGAAAAACCAAGGTAAAGAATTTGTAAAGCCATAGAAACTTCAGAGACTGGTGAATAATGAGATTGCTCCTATTTTATTATTTACAGACTGAGATTGCCAAAACGATAGTATCAACTCAAGCTTAACTCTATTCCATGGAAAGACATGTACCATCCATAAATAATAGCTTGATTGATCAGGCAACACGTGATTTTACTTACAAGCAGACAACAACTGTGCATAGCACCCACAAATCAAACAGACAACAATAAACAAAATACAGAGCTAAAAATCTACATGACAATTTTTACATGGGCACTACTGGGATTCTTCATTAAAACAACTTTTCCAAATCCCAGTGGTTCCCAGGGTAGAAATTAAACTTGCAAATGTCTACAAAGACACAACATACTCCCCATGCAGCTAGACACTGCTAGGTAGCTCCGTACTTGCCAAATTTGAAAGTCCGAATAAGAGAATAACTATCTGGCATGACTGTCACCATCCTCTTCTGATATGTTAAACAAGAACTTTGGAAGAGATGCGATTCTAGGAAGGTGGAGAAGCAAATCACTAAACGAGTCCTTCCTAGACATGCCAAGTGCTTGTTTGCCACCAGAAACATCCTTTAATTCCTCCTCGGCAGGCTTGACATCTTTTCCTTCATCAGGTCTTTCAACTGTACTATCTTCAGCAAAATGAGAATTGTGCACTGTTACAGGATCCTTCTGCAGAAGACAGCAGAGAGAATTGACCCTTGACATGAGTGATTTTTCATCAGAAGTTGCTGCAACCTGATTGTCATTAAGAAGATGTTGTGCAATGTCTTCCAGGATCTCCTTGTACTCTGTTCCTCCATCAGAGAACGGTGGATTCCCAGAGGTTATTTGCTCTGACAGACAAAGTTCAATCTGGCCAATAAAATCACTAACTGACATAGAAGGTCGAAGTCCAGGAAGGTTTATCTGATCCCCATTTCTTCGGCCCTTTGAATCGGCTTCAGAGCTTGTACTCCCTTCGATTGAACTACAGTCCATGACTTGTGCGTAAAATGCAAACAAATAAAACAATTAAGCCAAAGAGCACCAGAAAAATTATGAGACTGACAAATACATTAAAATAGCCTCAGATATCTAACAGCACCCAAAACATGGACTCAAAAAATAAGCTACAGAAATGACTAATCAATCAAATTTAACTATACAGCCAAGTATACAAATTTTATGCTGAGAAAATCCTCATTTTATCCCGTTGGAGCCAGGGAAAAATAGACATGGAAAACCAAAATCAAATGTTTCCTTTCATCTCGAAAGGTCTGTTTCCTCTTGTTTTATTTTTTTGAGGGGAAGGGGGTCATGAAACAGAATGCAACATGAGCTGAGTTCTTATTATCATACCTGAACTGGGCGACGGTGCATCTTGGGGGAGACTATCCAAGATGATTCCAGGTGGATCGTTGTGTTCAATCTTAAATGATGATGACAGGGATGCCTGAGGGGATCCACTGTCTTGAAAGCAAGACGTGGTGGATCCTTTCCCACTGACTTGAAGCTGATCACGATCTTTTGAATTGTCTGGGTCCTCAAAAGCATGAGGTTGTGGGTCAAAATGTGGTGAATCCAAAATTATCTCTGGCTGTTGGCTTAAGAAATTAAGGCGCATGTCACACTGGGTAAGCTTTTCAAAATGTTTGGCCAGCAGCCCTTGTGGGCATTGCAAAAAGTGCAGCCTACAAAACCACACGATTATGTTTTCAGATATCACACGGTCCTAAAGACATACTAAAATTTCATCGAGAATTAAATTTCTGTCAAAATTAGCATCCCACCCGTGGAAAAATAAATCAAGTTAAAAATTAAAAATGGCGTCAACAAAATACAAAATAAAAAATGGCACTTGACCTCCCTTGCTCAATTACTTCAGTGCGCTTCACACTCTTACGTATTTTCCTTCTCAAATTTCCCAGCAACAAATTTTAAGAATGCTATACCTTTCCTCGTAATTATAAATGAGTAAAACCATCAAATTTTTCGAACGTCAAAAGCTGAACCCACATCACATCTCAGAGGAAAACAGTGAAAGAATGTACCTATGTTTGCTTGATTGTCCATCAGTAAAATCTGCTGTTGCCTGCCATAGTGTATGCTTTCTAGGCTGGGGATTAGTTTCCCTGAAGTAAAGAGGCTGTCTAGCAAGCTGTGACACATAAATTAAAATGATACACTTAACCCTAACCCATACATAAGCATCATAAAGAACAATTCAAGCAGCTAAAACAGAAAAATAAATTACCACAACAGTCAATGTGCTAGGCCCATTATCAGGACAATGTGCTTTAAGTGCCATGATATCTGACCATTGAATTTCTATTTTACTTTTTAGACCACCTTCAAGAACTTCCCAGACAAGCTTATGTTTAGCAAAGTAACACTTTGCCACCAAGTCACCCTCATATCTCGATTTATACTGCCACAAATAGAACCTTCAGCCAGTTAAACTCGATCAACAAAACTACAGTTTCTAAACATAACAGCGACCCAACGAATCTCAAATATACCTCCCACGAACCAATCCTCAGAAGCGAAGCCGGAAAATTTGAAGCTTTAAGCTTGTCAGCTGCAGCAGTAGCAGCTCTGCTCTCCCTTTTGACTCCAGAGCTTAAATTTTCGTTTTGCTGCTCAGTTCCCTGAGAAAGTTTCATCTGAATCAAATCCAACAGGGAAGGGCTCTTCCTCAGGCGCAAACCCAAAGGGCTTGGCTCGTCGAGAATATTCAGATTGGAAGGAGAACTGACAGAAGCATCACTGGAAGCACTCCATTGCTAAATGACAGGTGACACAAACAACAGAAAATTTCAACCTCTGTGGCATACAAAACAAAGCTCTAGCTCTATCATTTGAAGAAAAATAAAGTTAGGCAATTCAGATGGCATGCAGCTTCTGAGTCTGAGGAATAGCATTGGCAACACAAAAGGAAGATTTTAAGATGAGAGAAGAATGCAAATAGATAATTAAATTTTTTGAACGCAAGTTAGGTCACTTAACGAGTACTAAAAACGCGATCTAGCTATTGAAAGGGAGATAAATAGTAAGATGGATATGATAAGAAAATACCTGAGGCGAGGGTTTGCATCGCTTGTTGAGGGGACCATGCTCTTCTTCCAGTGGGTCCTCCACGATCTCCAACTTCACGGGGCTTTTGTTCTTGGCGTCGCCGCACGAAACCGTTTCGGCCTTCCCAGAATTCTTCATCAGCTGAACCATTAACACAACTGAATTCAAATCCAAGACGGAGAGGAAGGTGTTGGAGATTCCGGAAACCCTAATAATAGAGGATGGCTACTGATGCGCTGGGCTGGGCTTCGAAATGGTTGTTCGACGAGGAAGAAAAAGTGTCTGAATCCACGTGTAATATTTCTTTCACGTGTGTCTTCGTTCAAATAAATTTTCCAAAGAGTAAATATATGAGATTATTAAATATATAATTTATATTGTAAATTTATAATGAATAACTAATAACTAATGTTGTGATGCATAAAAAATTAATTATTGAAATTCAATTAGCTTTTTAAAAGCATTAAATTTTAAGTTTTAAGTAAAAAAAATTAAAAAAGATAGATACATCTCCAGACAGAATTTTTAGTAGATATTATTTAAGAATAAATATAAATATTTTATTATGAATCTATTTAATATTTAATTAGAATTATTTATATAAATAATTTTTTTATTTTAAATAATTTATAAAATAGGATGCGTAATACAAATTACCACTTTAAACACATAGTAAATAACACAAAACTTATTACTATGACTAAACATTTCTAACTTAAAAGATTCTATTCTCTTACATGAACCTTGAAGAGCAAATTTTTGAAGAATACTCTTAAGAAAATACTAACAAATTATTTTGTATAGAATAAAGATATTGTACTTTTCATAATTGATTACTATGTGCTTAAAATGTTTTGAAACCATGTTATTTATAAGAAAGTAAGTTTTAACAAAATGACTTTTTAATAGTTAACTAACTTAATTGACTTTTGAAAAGTGTTTCTTAAATACTAAATATTTTTTTTAAAATAACATTCACATGTTAGTCATGATGTATTTATTAATAAACATACCTCGAAAGGAGAGAAAAAGTTGATTTGCTAATATTTCCAAGCAATCGTAACAAAAATGTTATTGTGGAACTACTTGTAATTATTGGAAACATTAAATTCATAAACATAAATACTAGACTATATAAGGTGAGAGTGTAATATGTTTTCTTTAAAAGAAGAAAAATTAAAAAGAGGATGAGAAAAAACCAATTTCTCTTCTCCTTTGTAAAAAAAAATAAAAAAAAAAAAAATATATATATATATATATATATATATATATATATATATATATATATATATATATCTCCCTCTCCATAGTTCACCTCTACTTTCTCTCCGACAGATCAGAACCTTCTTCTCCTCCGATCACGAATCTGAGGCGCTCACGGTGGAGAATAGTAGAAGATCCACCGATTAGAATTTCGTTTCGGTAAGTTTGAATTTTAGGGTTTTTGCGAGTTAAAATTTGGAGTTTTGAGAATTTAAGGAATTCATTATGGAATTAAAGGTTTCATCTTACTCCGTCACTCCCCAATTTCATGTTCTCATGGTTAATTATGTTTCTTGCTTTAATTTCGTTTTTAGGGTTTTCCAAATTGGGGGAGAACAGTACCTCTTAGGTGTTTAGCCGTTTCTAAGGCTTTGTTGGAGTTAGGTTGATGTGTAACATCACCCACAGGTAAGGGAGGCTTTTTTTTTTTACTTGTGCTGAAACTTTAGGTTTTGTTAATCTTTGCATTGATGGTGAGTGGAGATTTTAGAATTGAAAATGAACCATGAAATTTAGTTGTTTTAGATATAAATTAAGAGTTGGTGTTGTTTTGATAAGCTAGTTGGATGGTGCTTAAAACTGATTTAGTGGAGTATATGGTTGAATGAATATAATAGCTGAATGAATTTGGAATCCATATGGTCATCTTGATTGAAGATTTTAAAGTATTTGATTTTCCTACTAGTTGTATTGTATTGATGAAAAGTTAAATAAAGTGAATAATGAGTATGCATGTGATATATATAAGTGTTGTATGTGATATGATATTGTGAGCACTTGTGGAAACCTTGCAGTGTAAACTGTTTTGAAATAAATTGGCTAAAATAAATATCTTTGTATCATTGAATTTCTAAACTGTATGGTTGGTCTGTGTTGGTTTAAAGGAGAAAGGATGTACCGTTTTAAGTGAATTGTGATTGTATATGAGTTGAGAATTTTAAATGTTGGGCTAGACATTGTGAACTGCATAATATTGGTTTGATTCTAGAAACCCTAAGTTATACTGGTTATGTTCTGCTGAAATACTGCATCTACATAATCTGACTCTGCAGGACGTAATCGATTACAATGATGTGGTAATCGATTACTGATGAGGGAGTTAAAAATTCAATTTCTCTCTAGTAATCGATTATCAGACCAGTTATAATTGATTACACTGACAATAGGTCACCCATAGTTTGTTTATTGATGTTCTGTTGCATCCTTTGACTATTCTATGTTGAATATGAGTTAATAATGAAATGTGAAGGACACTAAGACCTGATAATATGAGAATACAGGTTGTAAGACACAAAGGAAAACTATGATAGTTATTGAATGATAGACTTGATGTACTGTGTAGAATAGTGTGTATGAAATTATGGATAGGCGTAATAGGACATCCAGACTTTCAAGATATTCCTAGTCATATAGGCGAAGACATATGTGGTGGGAAGTCGATAGAGACACAACATTGTGTCAATCTTATGTGTGTGTTGCTCTAAAGAGAGGTTGAAAAATGATATTATAAGCGTGGGACCATAAAATTTTAAGGGTTTGGGACCCAAAATATTCCTCATCAGGTGTCTGCCTTACTGGTCTGAATTCCATATAATTTTTCGGAAAGTGTCAGTCTTATTATGTGTTGTGATTGTAAAATGTTAGACTCTACGGTGAGTCTAACTTTAGGATGTTTGTGAATGAATATGTGTCGTTTGTAATGTTACACTGTTCTACATGTTTAATCAAATGTTAGTTTATCCTTACTTTTGTTGTGTGCTTGATCTTTTGGGATCCTGCTATGATCGTGTCCTACACTTGAGCAGATTCCAAATCTTCTGCAGGTGGTAGTAAGTAGTAAGACCCAGTAATTTGAGAAATGGAGTACAAACCTCTTAAATTTGAAGGAGTTATTTTGGGTTATGTAATTATGCGTAAAACATTAGTGTAATTATGACTTTTAATGTGTGATGTTTTTTAACTATTCTGGATGACTGTAAACTAAACTATTATACCTCTCAGAAGTGAACAATTTATTTCCTTATTTTCTTTAGTGAAAAATTTAATTAGAATTTACGAATTGTTACAGAGTACATTTAATCACATTATTAACCTCTAATATCAGTTGATGATGGATCAACTAATAATCTATCAACTAATTAATGATCATCTAAATTTAGGTTATATGTTGAATTAATCCAAAGGAAACAACAACTAATATCATTTAACCATATTATCATATAAGGTGATCCAAAGAAGAAAAACAGACTCCAAACAATATATATAACTTGTTTAATGAAATAATCAACTAATTTTAGAATATTTGTTTGATCAAATTGATTATTAACTCATCTTATTAATGTGACAATAAAAAATGTAAAAGATTGTGTGAAATCCCGATTAACACTATGTGAATTATTTAATGATATCATCACACCTATACAACAAATTTTTAGTGAATAATTGGTAAACCTCTTATGAAAAATACTAAAAAAATCATCAACATATGCTAATTAACAAGGATATGAAAACAAATGATAAAAGAAAAAGAATCATAGTATCAATATCAATAATAATAATAATAATAATTATTATTATTATTATTATTATTATTATTATTATTATTGTTATTATTATTGTTATTATTATTGTTATTATTATTATTTGAATTATTATTATTATTATTTGAACTAATGTTCTTATATTTTATAAGGAAAAGGTCAACTAATAGATTTATACATGCAAGACATGTTTTTTTATGGAAGTACACAGAATGTTACCGTATAATTAATTATTATTTATTTTGAAGGCAAAACCTTGCAACAGCACACCACTCATACAAAATTGTTGTTGAATCAAATTATTATTATTATTATTTTTTTCTAAGAAAGATTATACACAGATTTAGTGAGGGAATACCATACAAAATTTCGATGGAATGATTTAATGATACTATGACAAAACTTATCTGATTATGGTAGAATAACTAAAAAAATTGATACGAGACTTTTAATATTAAATTTGTCTAAATAATATATGTTTAATTTGTCTATTACTAAATTAAAATTTGAAACTTAGATTATTATTCAAATATTCGAACCTTCATCGATAATGAAAGTAATTTTTTTAGCTAAGGCTAATGAAACAGAAAAAACCATAGATATTAATATGTTAATATTTCATGTTTTTTTATTGAATTTTAATAAAAGCAAGATAAAGATTGAGGAGGAATAGGCGAAATTTTATTTTACTATGCTTAATTTAATTGTTAATAAAAAGCCATAAACAATTGCTTTGGAAACGGCACATTGAAGTGTTTTTTTTGTTCTTTAAGTAAGTTAATTATTATTTAATTATATTTATGGGCTATTTCTTTATGAAAAAAAGGTTAATTCTTGCATATATTTAGGTCTATTTTATCCAAGAAAGTACAATTATTCATTTAAGAAGGGTAAATTTATAGTTTCCTATTTTTGTCTCTGAATACTCACTCATTATAATATGCTTTTGTTATTTTTATAGAATACATATTCTTGCATTTTCACTTAAAAAGACATTGACCATTTTTTTTTCCTATTATTTGAGTACTACTTTTTAAATTTTCAATATTATCAAATTTATTCACCCCTAGTTAAGATGGTTATAGAAAATTAAATTAACTTCGAAAAATATTTTACAATTATAGTATGCAAATATTTTGTCTTATATTTGATGTTTTTCCAAATCATGTAAAATAAATAACCAAAATTAAGTTTCTTAATATAATAAAATAGTTGATAAAAAATAATTTCTACTAGTGAATCATAATGCACAATATTCATGAATTGTTAGGAAAAGTTTTAAGTAAAATTGTAATTTAAAAAACAACAAATTCTTTTGAAAAAAAAAATAATAAAATGTTTTTCCTATTTTTGGAAACTAAATTAAAATAAGAAAATATGTGGCATGAAAAAAATCTTGTGCGGGTCCATACTCCAGTAGATTGGAAGGTTTAAGAGAGGTTTGAACCTCATCCTGGGAAACGAAGAAACAAAATCATCTTCGTCGTTGCTGTCTTCTTCTTCCTCCGAGAGTCCCTGGTAACAACAAACCAAAAACTCACCCATTCAATCCCTAAAAGACGATGACATTGGCATATTCATTTCCCACTCCTCAGGTTCACGCCTTCCACAACCGCACCAGAAGAAGAAACCATCTTCAGATTAATCGTAAGCCTAACCGAACACACCACTTTCTCTTGATACCAACTTCTTCTCCCTCCTCGTTCCTCTTCTCTTGCTCCTCCTTCCCCCTCACATATTCCGACCCAACCCTCCAGTTCCGCCACCACCACCTTCTCTCCACAGATGGTAATTATGTCGTCGAAGACCTTGGTGCCGCGGTCGAGGAGGAGGCATGCCCGACGGCGGCGAGGATCTTCTTCCAGGAGCCTCCGTGGCTCTTTCTCAAGGGGTTGCTAATGCAGGAGGAAGAGATGAGGGAGAAGGAGAAGGAAAGGGAAAAGTACAATTTGCTGCGGCGGAGGCAGATTGAGGCGGAGACGGAGGCGTGGGAGAGGATGGTGGAGGAGTACAGGGAATTGGAGAGGGAGATGCGACAGAAGATGTTGGCACCCAATTTGCCGCACGTCAAGGCTCTCCTTTTGGGCTGGTTTGAGCCGTTCAGGACCGCCGTGGAGGCTGAGCAGAAAGCTCACCGCGCGCGCCCCAAGAAGAAACAGGATTCTATTGCCCCCCATGTTGATGACTTGCCGCCCGATAAGGTGGCGGTCATTGTGATGCATAAGATGATGGCCATGATAATGGAAAATGAAGAAGGCTGTGTTCATCTTGTTCATGCTGCTATTCATATTGGCATGGCGGTAGAACAGGAGGTAATGTCAGTTTTTTGTTTTCAAATTGCAAGAATGGGTTAGTTTTTACTCTGGCATACACTACATAGCTTTGTGACTAACCTTGGACTTCCATGTAGTGGTTGGATAAAATCTTCCCTGTAGATACCTTTTGAACTATTAGTCATTTTGTAGGGGAACTCCACTTGGAGTTGGATTTTACTTCCATTTGGCCAACCACTTTTGTGTTAGATAGAGTTAGTTGACTGCATCATGACAATAGTACAACTAGATGAGGCTCTAATGTCGAAGTGGTTTAGTAATGAATTGGATTTTAGAGTCAATTTAGATGAACTTCTTAACAAACACTAGTGAGAAAAATAAATAAGCTGAATCAAGAAAGTAAAATGGATCAAATATTTTTGCATAAATTTAACTTATGCACTGCAGTATTTTTAAAATGTTTCTCATGTAACTAAAACACCAATTCTTGCTTTAGGAAAGTTCCAACATAACGGTTTACAATTGATCCTAACTGAACCTTATTCAAAGTCTGTGGAAATATTATCCCTTTGTATTTGTGGATTGACTGAATATATTATTGTATTTCAGGTTAGGATTCATAAGTTCATTGAAGCAAGAAAAAGTAGCAGGAGTAACAAGACAGACGCCGATGCCGAAGACAGTTTGCATAGTGATAAAGAAAAGCAAAGGAATTATTTAAACAGTTTAATTAAAAAAAATCGACTGAAAGAAGTGCAGATGATATTGAAAAAAGAATGTAGTTCTTGGAACCAGGACACGCAGGCTAAGGTTTTTCTTTTAGTAATAAAATATCCTGTCTCTCTTTTGGCTGTAAATGTGGAATTTAATGAGTTAACTCTGAAATTATGCAGCTGGGAAGTCGATTAATAGAATTATTAATTGATACAGCATATGTACACTCTCCAATTAACCAGTCTGCTGATACTCCACCTGATATTCGACCAGCTTTCAGGCACAATTTTAAAGCCGCTCCATGGCATCCAGGGTGAGGTTTTACTTTTTCTTTCTGGGCGGGTGAAAATTGGTAATTAAGATCTGGGGCCTTGATCCCCTAAGAATTAAGTGGCACTATCTGGTTGTAGGAAGTTAAGATTGACTGTTTCTGTGATTGAGAAATTTGACTATTATTTGTAATGTGTCTTTAGAAACTGAGAATATGTTACATTTACTGAGAAAGAGATTACAAGATAATAACATAGTTGCAATGGTTTGAGAGTCCAATGCTTACTAAGGTAAAGTAAGACTCCTCCTCAAACTGAGGCATATTAATTGTATGGTCGATATGCGCCAAGCTTGTAATAAATAACACAGTTAAAACCCCTAAGAGACTTACTAAAAATATCAACTAGTTATTGGTTAGAATTGGTCTAACTGCAGTACAACTAGAGAGAATTTTCCTTCGTTAAAATGACAATCAATTTCAATATGTGTAATCCTCATAAAAAACTGGGTTGCTTATGGATTTGGTTAACTGACCAACACATTTCTTTTTATAAGTTTAGCCTTTTTTCACTTGACTTGGATTGAGTGACATGACTCGACAACTTGATCTTCCTTTTGAAAGATTTGCAAACGTCTTCCACCAAGGCTTCTTGCGAATCCATTACCATGACATGTTTTGTGGCCACCATGGCTCATCATGAGAAATCACCTTGCCATTGGCATTATATGGTAGTTAGGGGAATTTTTGTCATTGCCTTTTGTCATGAGTGTTAAAAAAAATTGGCCATGGCGGAATCGACTGCAGATTTTTCACCAGCCGCAATAGCATGGTGATGGCAGTGCAGCAGAATATATCAAAGATAGATTTTAATTATAGTATCAAATATGTGAACACATTTTGATTAACGTTTTTATTAGGTCTAACTAGTTGTTAGATGTTATGAAAGGTTATATTAACAGTGTTCTTATTTTGTGTCATGACCAATTATTAGATAATGCATTATTTAGACACATTTTCTTTATTAACTTTTAATTTCTTCAAAACTAGACCGTCTGGGTCTTAACAACAGTTAAGAGAGTTAAAAGAAGATTTATAATTCAGTGGGATGCCACACTTCACTCTATGATCTCATATATATATATATAGGATTACAACATTTAAAATAACAACTACCAACCACCAACTACTAACCACTAACCACGACCTAATAATAATTCTAACACTCCCCCTCAAGCTGGAACATATAAATTGTATGTGCCAAGCTTGGAACAAATAAATTCAATTTGAGATCCTCTTAAAGACTTTGTCAATACATCTGCAAGTTGATCATTGGACCCAACAAATTCAGTGCAAATTTCTTTAGACAACAATTTTTCACGAATAAAATGACAATCAAGTTCTATATATTTGGTCCTTTCATGAAACACTGGATTAGAGGCAATGTGGAGAGCTACTTGATTGTCACAATACATCTTCATCTGTTGGATCTTACAAAATTTCAGTTCTTGAAGGAATTGTTTCACCCACACTAGTTCACAAGTGAGAGATGTCATTGCTCTATATTCAGCTTCAGCACTAGACTGGACCACTACATTTTGTTTCTTGCTTTTCCAAGAAATAATATTGCCTCCAATGAGAACACAATATCCTGTAGTGGAGCGTCTGTCCATAGGGGATCCAGCTCAATCAGCATCACAATACCTAGATATTTGGGTACCCCCTTTATCTTCATACAACAGACCTTGTCCTGGAGCCTTTTTGAGATATTTTAGGATGTGAACGACAACATTCCAATGATCAGTATGCGGATTTTGCATAAACTGACTGACAACTCCAACAACAAAAGATAGGTCAGGTCTGGTAATGGTGAGATAAATGAATTTTCCAACAAGTCTTCTATATCTCTGAGGATCAGAGAGCGGTTCACCTTGATCCGCCATTAATTTCTGATTTGGATCCATAGGGTTGTCTACTGGTCTACAATCAATCATGCCTGTTTCTTTCAGGATATCTAAAATATACTTTTTTTGGGAGATTACAATGCCTTCTTTTGATTGAGTCACTTCAATCCCTAGAAAGTATTTGAGACAACCAAGATCCTTAGTTGGGAAGTGGTTGCATAAATGTTTCTTTAGCTGAGAAATTTTATCAACATCATCCCCTGTGTTAAGGTTCCAACATAAAACCAATTGGCAATATGTGGAGTAGCCTAACATGTATTTAAACCATACCAAATGATATGAGGTAGGCGATGTGGGACTTTCAACACACCCCCTCCAACGAAGCCCGCCGGACCAGGCAAAGGGTACTTTTGACCCAACTAAAGGGCAACTTTTGGCCCATGATAATAACCGGAAAGATGTTAGGCTTTGGCTCTGATACCATGTTAAGGTTCCAACATAAAACCAATTGGCAATATGTGGAGTAGCCTAACATGTATTTAAACCATATCAAATGATATGAGGTAGGCGATGTGGGACTTTCAACACCCTGTAATGACTATATCATTCACATATACAATTAAATAAACACATTTTCCTAAAGCAGTATAATAAAAAATAGAATGATCTGCTTCACTTCGTTTTAGTTAAAAACTTTGAACTATGTGACTAAACTTTCCAAACCAAGCACGTGGAAATTGTTTGAGACCATAGAAAGAACGATGTAACTTACAAACCAAACTAGACTCCCCCTGAGCAACACAACCAAGAGGTTGTTCCATGTAAATTTCCTCCTCAAGATCACCATACAAGAAAGCATTCTTGATATCTAACTAATGAAGAGGCTAATGACGGATAACTGCCATAGCAAAGAAAAGTCGAACAATAGTCATTTTGGCCACAAGAGAAAAAGTATCACTGTAGTCAATGCCATATATCTAAGTGTAGCATTTTGCTACTAATCTAGCTTTGAGTCGATCAACTTCACCTTTTGGTCCAACTTTAATGGCATAAACCCAACAACAACCAACAGTCTTCTTCCCAGGTGGAAGAGGAATTAAGTTCCATGTACCATTGTGCTCAAGAGTCTGCATGTCATCAATCATGGCTTGTCGCCATCCAGGATGATCAAGTGCCTCTTTCACATTTTTTGGAATAGTAATAGTGGATACAGAAGAAACAAAAGAAAAATAAGGAGACAATCTATGGTAGCTAAGAAAATTGTAAATGGGATGTGAATTACGAGTAGAACGAGTACCTTTGCGAATGACAATGGGCCAACTTGAGTCATCATTATCAGGAATCATGATATCAGGGGATGATTGAGAAGGATCTGCTGAGGAAGACTCATCTTGGGACATGGGACTAATCATTTGGTTCCTGTATTGATAGGTAAGAAGAGGCAGTGATGAGAATTCTGGTGTATTTTGTGTGGAATTTTGGGTGTCAGGAGGAGGAGGTACAAATGACTCCACTAAGGGTATAGGTAGGACATTTTAGACCGAACTAATATCTTGCATAGAAGAAGGGAAGAAGGGAGTTGATTCAAAAAAAGTGACATTAGCAGACATGTAGTACCTCTTGGTTTTAAGAGAATAACATCGATATACTTTTTGAAGATGAGAATATCCCAAGAAGACACATTTGATGGCTCTAACTGATAGTTTATCTAAACCTGGAGACATATCATGAACAAAACATACGCAACCAAATACACTAGGAGAAACATGAAAGAGTGGCTCCTTTGGCAATCGAATAGAGTGTGAAACTTTATTGTCAAGAGAAGATGACATTATGTTAATGAGAAAACATGTAGTAAGAATAGCATCTCCCCAATGATGAACAAGCACATTTGCACCAAGTAATAAGGTACGAGCAGTTTCAACCAAATGTCTATTTTTTCGTTCTGCTATACTATTTTGTTGTGGTATGTGAGGACAAGTAAACTGATGTAAAATGTCTTGGGAACTTAAAAGAGTGGAGAAATTAGTAGAAAAATATTCTTTGGCATTATCACTTCGTAAAACTTTGATTACTTTTCCAAATTGATTTTTGATTTTGTTAAGGAAAGACTTAAAGATAGGTAATAATTCAGAACGGTCTTTCATTAGATAAATCCAAGTACACCTAGAAAACTCATCAATGAAGGTAACAAAATATCTATAGCTAAAGGATGAGACACGACTAGGACCCCAAATATCAGAATGAATAAGAGAAAAGACAAAGTCACATCTAGATTCAGAACATTTAGGAAAAGAGGACTTAGTATGTTACCCTAGTTGACATGATTCACATTAAAAATCTTGAAGAGTCTGAAGTTCAGGAACCATTTTTTTTAATCTTGACAAGTGAGGGTGTCCTAAACGTTCGTGTAATAGTTTTGGAGACAAGAATGCAACACAAGATACAAATGATTTAGTCCCAAGGTAGTATAAGCCTCCAGATTCATGTCCTTCGCCAATCTGTCGACCCGTATCACGTTTCTGTATAACAAAAGAGTTGGCATTAAATGTTACTGAACAATTCAATAATTTGGTTAATTGACTTAGGAAAATGAGACTGAAGGGACATGAACGATAAAAAAGAACAAATTTTAAGTTTAAAGACAGAGAAATGGAGACTTGACCAGTTCCTTTAGAGGCTACTTTAGATTCGTTGGCTAAGGTTATGAGATGAAGAGTTTTAGGAAATGAGAGAGAAGAGAACAAAGAGGTATTACCAGACATGTGATCAAAAGCACCTGAGTCAATAATCCATGAATTTTGACTTTCCACAGATTGTGAAATGCAAACTGTTGATGAATTTGGGATTGTTGATGACTGTGTTAGATTACTGGATTTCAACCTCAAATATTCTTGATATTCTTCGTGAGAGAACTTGGGTTCAACCATTTCAGATTTGGAAAAATTGATGGTTTTGTCAGGAAAACCGTGCAAAGAGTAGCAATTTTCTATGGTATGACTCATTCTCTTGCAATGAGTGCACTGAGGACGTCCTCTACCTCCACGTCCTCCTCTAATGCTGCGACTTCCTTTTCCATGAGTAGAAATCATAGCATAAGATTCAACAAGTTCTTGATTATTTTTTCCTTTGAGAGTTGGAACACGAAGCAATCTTGTAGTCAAACTTTCCATAGAAGGAGCTTCTTGTCCAGTTAAAATTTGATCTCTAACATGATTAAATTCTGAATTCATAGGCTGGAGAGTCATAACCATATAGAATTTATCCAACTTTTGTTTTATCTCCTCTAACAAATCCACCTTTAGGAACATCTTTAATTATTCAACTGCTAATTGAGCTTTAGCAATAAAGGTCATCATATTTTTATCCACTTGCTTGAGAGAGGCTAATCGATTAGCGGAATCATATAGAGGCGTTGAATATCATTTGCGAAGATATTCTAAGCCTTTTTCCAGAAAGAGTTACATGTTTTGAAGGATCTGAGAGTGTTTAAAATATTTGGTTCTACTGATTGCCACAATAGAGCACAAAGTTGATAATCAAACTTTTTCCATTGTTGAGCCTGATCTTCTGGTATCTTACTTTCGTTTTCTTCTAGATGATCGTGAAACCCTTGTCCAAAGAACCAAAGTTCCACCGAAGAGGACCAAGACATGTAATTTTTTTCATTTAATTTCTCAGTAGTTATAGTGGGAGTTCCGGAAAAGGAGGTTGTGGGCCCTGAAGACATGTTTTAAATAATGTAGATGTAAGATGGAGACATTGGAACCTGTAAGAAGGAGAACACCCAAGATAGAATTAGATAGAGAGGGAAATATCAATTTTCACTTTGCAAGAAAACTGACGATTGGTAGCAGCGGACAACTGTAGTGGAACGGAGGTCGGAAGGTCACTAGAAGGTGGTCGGAAAGTTGTCGGACGGCAGCAAAAAAGTGACTGGATGGGGGGATGACGGTTGTCGGAAAGTTGCTGGAAAGTAACTGGAAAGTGACTAGAAAGTGGCCGGAAAAGTGACTGGACGGTGGCCGGACGGTGACTGAACAGTGTCCAGACGGTGGTCGTACGGTGACCGGAAAAGGCAGAGCAGGACCAATCTGCTCTGATACCAAGTTAAGAGAGTTAAAAGAAGATTTATAATTCAGTGGGATGTCACACTCCACTCTATGATCTCATATATATATATATATATATATATATATATATATATATATATATATATAGGATTAGAGCATTTAAAACAACAACTACCAACCACCAACTACTAATCACTAACCACTACCTAATAATAATTCTAAAAACAACAATTAGAGCCCCAAAATGTCGCCGCACTTACTTTTGAGGGTTAGTTTCTATTAAGGGTAAAAGGATAAGTTTATACTTTAATCTATAAATCATGTTTTTCATCCTATTATTTCACTATCCTTCTTTCACAATTCACTCCCTCCCTCTTGTGCTTTGTCTCACAACTTCCTATGACAATTCCAGTAGCTTCTAGTGATGCTTTCAATGATGTTTCCTACAGGACCTACACCTTCTGGCAAGACTTACATCCTTCTTTGTTTAACTACAATGATGATTCATGTAATATACATTTACTTAGGATCAAGATAATGATTATTCCGCAACCCCTATCCTGATATGGTGTTTGTGGGTAGTGGCCAGCTTGCACCACTATCCACTATTGAGTATTATGGTTTTGTATTTTTGCATAAGTTGTTTTGTGTATTGCTAGTTAAAATTTTTACGTTGAACAACATATATCATCTATATGATATAGTTGAAGTAATTTTGTACTTGAATGTTACAGTTTAACTTGATATAAATTACCATTCACAATTTGAAAAATTGCTCGGCTATTCAAGATTCAAATCTCAATTTGATTACCTGGGTTTGACAGTTCCAGGAGGCTAGTAAAACCTTCTATGGAGAATATTTGTTGTAGCAAAGCTCCTCTTAGGTTAGGAGCTTTGATATCATGTTAGCAGAGAAACAAATATTTTCCAAATTTCCATGAGTAGTTATCTCACTCTGCAGAATGGATTTATTTATTTTCAATAGTAATATTGACAAAATATTTTACATGAGAACAAGTAAGATACCACTACTTCCTATGATGCATTAAACCAAACTATAACTCATATCTTGGGAACTTGGAAAAATAAACATTGCAGTTCTTACTCATCAAATACTTGTATTTAAAACAAGGTACATATGCTTCACATGACCAACTGTATATCTTGAAAGAGTAGGTATGCAACGGATTCATGGAAGTTCCTTTATCACACTTGTTTTTCAACTGTAATTTCAAATAACTGTTTTGTGCTTGTAGGCAAAAGTTTTCGAAGAAGTATGGTGTTATACAATGTGATCCCCTAGTCCTAGTTGGACTTGAACAATGTGTAAGTTGAGACATTGTATTTCTTTTCTTAACCAATACTATGTCATAGATGAAGTTATTCTGTTCATCGGTAACGGCTTAGTGATAGCTTCATAAATGTTAAGTAAATCCAGTATTATCTTTAGATGTGTGTGATATTCTTGTAAAGTAGAAACATTTTTTTACCTCATTCCCCTCTTTCAAAAAAGAGAAAGAACTAGCATTTGGATGTAGGGGTAGAAGGATGCTCTCCTTGGTTTTTATAAATCTGTATAAACATCTTGCTCTAAGTAAGATCACAGTTGTATTGAAATAATGATCTGAACTTCCCCATAAATGTTGTTCATTTGTTTTGTTATTCTCAAATTTGTTTGCTATTAAGTATTAAGCATGCCATTAGGCTTATGTGAAACATCAGATACTAACTCATTCAGGTTAGTTAGCATGCACTGCAAAAAGCACGTATCATAAGGTTTTCACTTACTAATCAGTGTCTTCTTCTGCAGGCTAAACATATGTTAATACCTTACATGCCTATGTTAGTACCTCCCAAAAAGTGGAAAGGGTATGACAAATGGAATGGATGGATCTCTTGTATTTTATTTGGAAATGCCTAAATTTTATTTATTGTGCTCAGTTTCAACTCTCTCAAGATCCAAGAGAAAGGAATGCAATTACTAAATGCACTTTTAGCTACTTTTAAATTAAAAAATGAACCTGAATTTGCAAAGAAATATATGAAAATAGTGAAAGATGCAAATAACTTTTAACGTTTTTTCTTAAAAAAATTATAATCCTTCAGAATTTTCTTGCTTAATTGTGTGTTTGTTTAGATAACATTTTATGACACTCTTTCCAGATATGACAAGGGCGGACACTTTTTCTTACCATCTTATATTATGCGTACTCATGGATCTAGGAAGCAACAAGATGTAATGAAGAGTGTGAATGGAGCACAAATGCAAAAAGTTTTTGAGGTAGTGTATGAAAATTTCAATTTCCTTTTTGGGGTTCTGATGAAAGTTTGTGGCATTATCATGTTAAAAAACGTGTTAAAAAATTTGATGCATTGCATGCGCTACCAAATATGTCATCAGTAACTTGCTTTCATTCAATGGTTACAAGTTTCTTATTATTAAAAACTTGATGTCACATGTAAGTATTTCTGGGCTGTTTCATTGTTATCTTCTATATTTTCTGGTTCACTGAATTGTGTCTATAGTTCTGCTAAGGGCATAATTTTTTCATTTCAAAAGGCATAACTGTTTTGTGCAGGCCTTGGATATTCTTGGAAACACCAAATGGCGAGTAAATAGAAGAGTGCTTGAAGTTGTGGAGTCAATTTGGGCAGGAGGAGGTAACATTGCAGGACTGGTTAATTGTAAAGATGTAAGCACAAATAAAAAGTTATTAGTTACTTACAAAATTCTTCTATCTGTCCAAATGAATATATTTTATTTTTGCAAAATATGGATGAACAAAATTTTCAAAATATAAAGGGGGAGGAGGCAGATTATGAAGTAAGTCTTTAAAAGGTGGATTTCATTCTCTGTATATTTTTCCCCATTTACCTATGTCTTTTACTGGCTAGACTATAAAGCTATGTATGATGGGTTTTACAAACAAACAACTTGATAGGAACCCGAGCCCTATAACCAATGATCCAATATGGAGAAGCCCATTTGGTGTACAACTGATTTTCCCTAGGGCCTTAATTCTGACCTAAGGCAAGAAGTGGAATGGGTGGGAGAAGTTAGTTTGAGGAGAGAGAAGATAGTGAAATCTATTATATGGGAAATAGAGGAATAGTGGGGACATGGGTTTTTATTTGAATGGTAATTGAATAATGTATTGAATTAGGGTTTTATCCCTTTTTCTCTTGTATTGTCTTTCACTGCATAATATACTGAATTTAATAAAAAATTTCTAATGATGCCTTTGTTGAGATGCAAACAAGAATGTTGTCACACAAGATGGATGCTTTAGGTTGATTCCTAGAAACTGGGAAGCATTGCTTTAGGGATGAGATCAATTAGTGCATTCTCATGATGCAACAAAAAGGAATGTACAACATAGTTGAGTCCCTTAATAAGAGTTTGTGAGATCACCAAGTCCCTACAACCATTGCATGCTATGATGTCAACAACACTTGGATCATCTTCATTAACTCATACCATCTCATATGAGTTTCGTCTTTCTACGAAATGAATAAACTTTCTTTCATTTACTTGGGGAGATTTTGTAGGGTGGGTTGTGAAAACTGAAACCTATTTCAGTGTTTAGAGGACATGTATTGTGGGTATACATCAATGGTTCCATGCGAAGTAAAGGAGTTCTTTAACTTTTAGTAGTAAAACAACTTTCACATTGAAAAGAAGAATAATGAATAAATTTGGAAACAAATGCTTTAAATACTGAAAGTTAGGGTACCTTAGTCTATTATGCTAGAGCATTATTTGGTACTCATATTGATACTTATATATTATAATTTAAGTCATATCTATAGTCAATGGAGGATCTCTAACACCTTATTTCACATTGAGTACTTTTGTGCATGCGAATAGATATTTATGAGTGGTTCGATAGTGAGTGGCACAATAGGCCTAACAAACCTTGCTAAGAAAATCTCTTATTCCATCTTAGAAAGTGGACTATAAACCTAACTTAACCTCACAAAATCGACTAGTAAGGTGAGATTTGTATCCACTTATATATATTATGATTTGGTTATAGTTGTAGTTGATGTGAGATCTCCAACATGAACTGTTTAAGTAGTAACTTCTATGGCCAAAGCATTTGTCTCAAGAGGTGGATCCACTTTCATTTTTCCCATGATCACATTTATGCTAGTTTCCTCAATTTTGACCTTTGCAAAGGTTCACTTGGTGAAGACAATATTACTCTCCCAATGGTCTACTAGAAACTTCATCTGCTCCTCATTGATTCTAGCTAGAAACTAAAATATTCTTCCTTTTTCCTCTATCTAGTGGTGGTGTTGGCTTCCTTGGTTGACTTCTAGCTGTAAGTGTTGAAGAGATCAAGGTTTTTCCACACCTATTTCATGTTCGATTTCTATAGCTTTTAAGGTGATTTCATAAATTTGAAATTTATTCCCAAGATTTGAATACATTCTTGTCACACTAACCTACAATTATTTGGTTGTGGAATAGCCATATAGCAACTTCCTCCACGAAGTTCACTAACCATGTAATCACCATGGAGTTTTCAGCATCCCACACAACATGTTGTGGGTATGTGGCACGATAGTCAAGATTGCGAGTTGAATCGTAAGATCATATGTTTCTACTGACTTCTACACCTTCTTTGAGTTTGCATCTCCTCTAGATCGCATTTTCATTGGATCAAGTAGGATCATTGGTGAAGTCCGAAACTCACAGTGGGGCATGATGATCTTCCACCTTCTTTATTTTTCTCTTCTGCCTTTCTTGTTTCGTTCTTCTATGTTGTCCCTCTTCTACACAACGACGCCTCTTGCTAAGCTATGCCTCTTTTGCACTTATGGCTTAAGTTTGTGGTATTAGAACATACAAACTATTTGGCCCACAAAAAACTCTAATAGTTCAACTCTTTCTTCCATAGAAGATACAAACTTATGGTCCCAAAAAAACTCTCATAGCCTAATACATTCTCCCATTCTCAGTAAATAATTTTTACTATGCCCCTTTTAATTTAAAAGGAAGGTTTGTTTTGTCTTTTCCTTACTTTAAAGCAAAATTTTACTGCACCTGTTCCTCCTATAATTCATTTAGTATTCAATTTTTACTTTAAAATAAATTTACTACCCCTCATTTTTCTTACTAACAGCTCAAACTAAACTTAAGTTATATTACCACCCAAAATAACTCTAACTCGTATGTGTTATAACTCCTTTCTACAACCATTTTTCTGCCTTTTCTTCCCATGAGTAACCTTTGAGCAAATCACAACAATCCTTGATTTTCCTCTTCTATTCTTTTAGTTTTAGTACTCCCTTATACCTTAAGTTATATTACCACCCAAAAGAACTCAAACTCTTATGTGTTATAACTCCTGTCTACAACCATTTTTCTCCCTTTTCTTCCCATTAGTAACCTTTGAGAAAATGACAACAATCCTTCATTTTCCTCTTCTATTCTTTTAGTTTCAGTACTCCCTTATTCCTACACATGTTTTTCAATCTCGACACATCGCTGTTCCCTTCTTTTTGTGTTTGAAATCAAAGTTAAAATGAGTTCAACTCCATTTCGAAACTCAATTGTACCCTTGCCTCCCTGGAATGGTTCTAGAAATAGGAGTGATATAGCTTACAAGATTATTTGCTTTATATTGATTATTGTTTGGTAACCAGGATATAATTCCTATTTGATAATTAGGACAGACCTATTGGCTTACTTGGTAAGTAGGAAGGAATTATTATTTTGTAATTGAGATGGGATGTTTTATAGGACTTGTGTTATGGTTTTTCAATTTATTATACACACCTTTCTATATGATCTTATGTAAGATCTTGATTTTGACTACCTTGGTCTACGATGTCAGGCTTGGGTAGCTTGCCAATTAGGTATTCATGCTTTCCTCTATCAATGGATATACATCTAAAGAGATTGGGATCACAATAGATAGTTCAACACATTAACTTGAAAACAAGTGTTTTGGAGGAATGGGAATCACCAAAAATAACCCTTTGCTCCTATGGAGGCTGCAAATTTTGATCATTGGTGGTGGTTGAGGAATTGTGAGCCATAATTTCCAAATTAGAGGCAAAGAGATCTTGCTCTTAGACCATGTTGAAAAAGAGGAGTACTATTTTTAATGAATATAACTAGCAGGGTTTCGTCCCTTTTATAAAGAGGAATTAATAAGTTGATATCCTAAAAATGGGGAAACTATATCCTAAATAGAGGAAAGAAAATATCACAACAATGAATTACCGAGAAAGGGCTAAACTAAAATGGAATAGAATAACTACTAGCTACTTAGCTAACAAAATTTAGGAATATTGGGGACGGGGAATTATATTTGACTGCTAATTGGAGGTCTCACTTGGGCAAAGACCTATTTTTCTTGTACTTCCTTTTACTACATGATATACTTTATTTGATATAAATTTTCTATTAGATTTAAGCCTTTTCCCACCCACTAGGTGAGTAAAAAGGGGCTTTTCATGAACTAAAAATACATTCATTTCTAGATGGCTGTGTTTGAATTATTTGATAACCTTAAATGACAAAGGTTTGTAAAGTTATAAATGAGACTAATGGATAGGAGTAATCACAGTATAAATTCCCAAATTCAGCCATATGGCCAAATATATAACGTGTTCAAAAAGATATACTTTGCAAATTGTTTTTCAATCATATAATTAATTCTCAACTTTACATATATTCTTTTTTGACTTGTAGGTTCCTATACCAGATAAGCCACATGTAGAGGATTTAAAGCTAATTCAGGAGTGGAGATCCAGTGTAAGGAAGGCGAAAAAAATTAATCTGGAAAGGCATTCTCTAAGATGTGACACCGAACTTAAGCTTTCTGTAAGCTCATCCCTCTCATTGTAGAATATCTTTCATTTGATACATTCAATTCTGTCCCATGTTTTACTAGATGAGTAATAATTAAAATCAAATAAATTCTTAAACAGGTGGCAAGAAAAATGAAGAATGAGGAAGGCTTTTATTATCCACACAATCTTGACTTCCGTGGCAGAGCATATCCTATGCATCCTCACCTGAACCATTTAGGTTCTGATCTGTGTCGAGGACTACTTGAATTTGCTGAAGGGCGGCCATTGGGAAAGTCTGGACTTAGGTGGCTGAAGATACATCTAGCAAATTTGTATGCTGGTGGAATTGAGAAACAGTCTTATGATGGGCGCTTAGAATTTGTAGAGAATCATATTAATGATATAATTGATTCTGCTGAAAATCCTATTAATGGAAATCGATGGTGGTTAACCGCTGAGGATCCTTTCCAGTGCCTTACTGCTTGTATTAGTCTATCAGAGGCCTTAAAAAGCTCTTCACCAAATTCTTTTATCTCACATCTTCCAATTCATCAGGTAAATTCTTCATTGTAAGCCTTTAAAAGAAATGTAAGAAATATCTGTGATAGGTGTTACCTTTTGGGTATTCTTTTTATATTAATCAAATTGATTCAAGTGTAGACCCTCTTGACGAGATTAGACTTTCAATTAAGTTTACTATCTAAAAGGTAACATGCAATCGAAGGTAAAGCCAAAAAAGAAAAAGGGAAGCATAATTTGGGTACCACAACTCTAAAAGTGAACACATTGTGGGTTTTTTCATGTTTCACACCTCTATGGTATGAGATCACTTTTCTATTTATAATTTTTACTGTATGTATAAAAAAATATTTGGTATGAGATCACTTTTCTATTTATAATTTTTACTGTATGTATAAAAAAATATTTGTCAGTAATGTTGTTGTTACGATGAATTTTTAGGATGGTTCCTGTAATGGCTTACAGCACTATGCAGCGCTGGGAAGAGATGAAGTAGGTTTACTTCTCATTTCTTTGTTTTGTAATCACGCTTAATAAAATCTATTCATTTTAAAGTTCTATACTTTGTAATTTGCGATGATTTTTCTGTTATATGAATTTTTATATATCTTGCTCCACTAACTTTAATGTTAATTGTCCTAGTATTTTTACAATGAAAATCTTTTATGGCAATTGACCTTACTGGAAGCTTTGCTTGACATAATATAGCCCTCATGATCAAGTGGTCAAGATTTCTTTCCATACTGCATCTGTTCTTCATAAGTTGAATTTAATAAAGTAAAGCGTGTTAATGCAATTTTCATGCTTTAAATCAAACAGTTTATGCATGGTGTGAATGTAAAATCATCAACGGGCCTCTACCTAACAGATTTTTCTTTAAAGAACCACTTTCTAGTACTCCTGTGAGTCTGTGGCATCATACCAGTACAAAGTAAAATGGCCTTAGTTTGTCATTTTTTTGCTACTACATTACCTTCATCTGGTGATACATATTAGGCAACTGCCTGAAATTTTAGAGCATGTTTGGGAAAGATGGATTTTTTATAATTTCAGCTGTTTATGGATAAAAAAACTGTTTGCAATTTAAGCTGCATGTTTGGGACAACAACAATTGTAATTTGTAAAAAGCTTTTTTTATTTATATATATATATATATATATTTTATTTTATTTTTCTGAAAAAATAAGCTGATTTCATGAATCTTAAATTTGTCTATGATTATTTTGAAACAATTTTTTTTTCTTTTTGCTTCATACATACTCTTTTTCTTATGTAAAAGCTTGTTTTTTTGTTGTATTGAAAGAAAATTAATTATCTTAAAATCACTTTTACCAAACATACCCAATCAAAAATTGTTTTGATAAGAACAATAATCAATTATCCAAACACACCCTAAGTGATCACAATCTTATCATTTATAATTTGCTAATTGCTTTCCCATTCTTTCAATCATTGGTTTTAAATTTATTTGCATCAGCATGCTTCTAGTCAAATGTTTGATTAGTTTTTCAGTTCCCTATTTGTTCAGATCTATTTAAAATTGACCTTTGTACTGATGCTCTATTTTCCTGACCTGGGTCATTGATCAGTATCGCTGGAAAAAACTCAGGATTGCAATGATTGATAATTACATTTATATGGCAATTAAGGTGTTTGTTAATAATCACACTCTAAATTGGCTACCATGATCGTCTTACATACATATATGGTCCTTTCTTTTCTTTTGATATTCTTCCTTTAATTAACAGGATGGTTAAAGTGATTAGTTATTTTCTAATATCTGAATTACTACTCTCACTTTACTGGAATATATGTACTTTCTCAGCTGGAGGCTGCTGCAGTTAACTTGGTTGCTAAGGAGAAACCTGCTGATGTTTACACGGAGATTGCTGTTAGGTATATTAAAATCATTTCAGCTACGTTTATCATTTGTTACTGTTACTACGATATATTGATCTCTGAGCCTTGCGTTTACTTCTGTACTCCATCACCCTATAAAAATGTTTACATATTTTTGTGTTTTTCAATGCGGTAGTTGCATTTTTGTTATATCCTTATTTCATGAACTACTATGCTTGAGTAAATTACCAAACTCAGAACTTTTGTGATCCATCATCCCAGTATGTCCGTCCAATTGCTTCTTATCATATAATTTGCTTTGGACAATTAATATTTAGTCACTTAATTGCAATATGAGTAGGGTTCATGATATAATGAGACGAGACAGCAAGAAGGACCCAGATGCCTTTCCAAATGCTTTGCTAGCAAAGGTGTTAATTGATCAGGTTAGTCTTTATTTAAATTTTCAAAGTTGTACTAATTGCTAAATGATAAAATTAATACTCCAGCCATTGTTTATGGTCTTTGTTCTGTTCTCCTATTCTAAACTTTTGGAAGTCTTCAGATTGATAGGAAACTGGTCAAGCAGACGGTAATGACTTCTGTTTATGGTGTTACTTTTATTGGGGCACGAGAGCAGATTAAGAGAAGATTAGAGGAGAAGGGTCTCATTACTGATGATAAACTTTTATATGCTGCAGCTTGCTATGCAGCTAAGGTGAGTATCAGCTACATTATATTCTATTCTAGGATTTTAGCCGTTTCAGATTTCAATAGCTGCCTTGATGTGCAATTATTAATCTATAATAATTGCATTTCGAAATCATTTCCACCTGGAATTGTCAATACTTGATAGAATAGAACAGCGAAGTTTTCTTTCACTAAAATCTCTTCATTTATACATAATAAAAGGAAGAAAGAAAATTCTATGTTGAATTTTTCTTGATGTATTTAAACACTCTCGTCATTCTGATTCATATTTGGAGGTCTAATCAACATTGTCAAACTTAATTTTAATAGGTGACATTGGCTGCCCTTGGTGAAGTGTTTGAAGCTGCACGTGGCATCATGAGTTGGCTTGGGGATTGTGCAAAGGTTAGCTCCCTTGTCACATAGTATGCTAGATTCCAGATAATGCTATTAGTCCTACTGGTTACTTTCTGCACTTTGCTTGTGGGTTATATACACACACACACACACACACACACACACACACACACACACATATATATATATATATATATATATATATATATATATATATATATATATATATATATATATATATATATATATATCTGTGTGGGTGGGTGGGTGTGTATTTGCATTTTTCTTTGCTTTGTCTCTTTCTCTGAAAAGGGTGGCTCTGAAACATTCTACAGGTGATTGCTAGTGAAAATCAGTCTGTTTGCTGGACCACTCCTCTTGGTCTTCCTGTGGTACAACCATACTGTAAAACTAAACGTTATCAGGTGAGCCTTTTGCATAACAATATTTCTTTTCTTTTTGGTATTTGTTGAAACAAAGAGAAAACAAGTGACATAACTAAGGCATATAAAAAGAACAGACAACTGAATCTGCGATGGTATTACACAGCTGAGTGGAATGCTGTCAAACTCGAGGATCTGAAATGGATAAAATATTGTAACTTGAGGATTACGAATCCCAAGAGTTATGCATATGTGAAAAAGTATATTCATACACATACATTAAAAATATGGATAAGAAAAGTAATGCATAATAAATCATAATGTTAAGATCCAATTCATCACACAAGTCAAAATAGGTTCATAAGTCATAAAATAACTCAATCATCCATAGGTGCAGCACCTGGATTTTCTCTTGGAATCCTCAATCTAAGCATCAATCCTAGATATCTCACCAATCTATTTAAACATTCATACATTCCACGTTTCTCTTCATAATCACCTTTAAATTCAGGATACTGCAACGTGGGATTAAGATTTTAATCTGCAGCATACAAAAGCCTATACACTTTGTTGTCCTATCTTTTACCACTGATTTTCCAAAGGGGAGTGTAGCTAAGAATCGTAAAAATAAATAAATTAATCTCCAAACAAATTCTATAATATAAAAATTGGAAATTCTACAATATGAAAGGTATCTTTTACTATCTCCTTTGAAGACATTGTATCTTCTCCTTAGAACTGTCCATTTCTCATAAACAAACCCCATGGCTGACTTGTCACCTGAATCCACATCCCCAACTTCTTAATTTGGTGGAAATCGCCCCTCATGCAATTCAAAACATTTCTCAAATATCCTTTATCCAAGATCAATTTTTCCACAAGCACTCCATCTTTTGTCTTTACAAATTCACTGGATTTCCAGTCCTTTGATTTGAACATCCTAGTAAGTGAACGCTTATTGTCATTCAAGCATCCTAAAGTCAAATAAAAAGGGGCAAAACATGGTTGGTATTATCAAATCAGTTCTTAGTATACTTGTTGCTTCAAAATTTTCACCCTAATTTGATGGTATGATGGTAGTTTAGTCCGATGTTTAGCAACCGAGTCAAGTCATGCTTCCTCCCTCTCACTCTTCTCGAAAATGATATTGAGAGTAGACTGAGTGCTCACTCCACTTTGAAAATAACATTGATTTGTTTTGCAAGATCACTATAGACTTTAATTCATTGGAAGTCAATATGTTTTTATTAAGTAATTTTTCTTTTTGAGTCTCTTGATTTCTTTTAATTAATTCATTTTTTAGTAATTACATATACAAATTAAAAATCATAAAATTTAATAAAGTAATAAATTAAAAATATAAAAGAAATATATTTATGAGCAAAATGCAATATCACTTTGATCCACTACTTCTCCATTGTTGGTCATTTGGGTCATCAAATTTCCAAGATATCATGTCAGTTTCCAAGTATATGCATATGCTTGAGTTTGACTACATTAGGCGAGCATGATACACTTCGGACAATAGATAAAGGAATAACTATGAATAATCTAACTGCCTAGTTACTGTAACTATATAGATCCTAGAATAGGCTCACAACCTGATATTTTCTTGTAAAATGTCTTGACCAGTAAGTCATGGAAGTTTTCAGCTGAGAAATGCATCTCAAATTACTGCACAAATATTGAAAAGTTCTAGTTTTATGTAAATCAGAATTGTCTATGACATTGTTAATGAATAAATATAAATTATAGAAAAAGTAAATTCATGGTCAGGTGCCAATAATGATATATTTCAATCATTTGTATGGATTTTACACTATTTGGTTGATCTCCATATGTTTTACTAACGACTTTCACCATTGACTGCAGATAAGAACATCTCTTCAGCTTTTAGCTTTGCAAAGGGAGGGGAGTGCAGTAAGTTTACACAATCTGTATATTCCACATTTCTTTTCTTTCTGAACTATTTTCATTAATAAAACTGTATTCCAGGTATCTGTCAAGAAACAGAGAAGTGCATTTCCTCCTAACTTTGTACATTCATTGGATAGTACGCACATGATGATGACTGCCCTAGCCTGCAATGATGTTGGATTATGTTTTGCAGGTTTGAGGATCACATTTTACGAAATAAAATGATAAATACATGAGAAGTTTTTCCTTTAGAGTAAAAAATAAGTAAATATTAATTTGCAGGGAATTGTTGGTTTTAGTCTTGATGTTTGTTTGACTAAATTAAGAAGTAGGGATGAAGTTAAAATCAATTACTTACACAATTGTAAAACATTCCAATTGTAAGGAAAGTGTGGTTTACTTGATGTTAGCATTTAGAGGAGTTTCTTTCTCATGGAATTCATTTTTTTTTTACTTAAGTTCATCGATATTGAAACTAATAGAAAGTGATTAATTCTTGAATTTGTTTGTTTGCTTTCTTTTTGTGGTATATAGAAAATTCAATCTTTAGTTCACTTAACATATGTTTTGAACTAGCTTCTGTATCAACACTTACAAAAAAATAAGATGAGCTTGTCTATAAGCTTATTTATAGAGACTCTCATATAACTTCTCTAAATTCTTCTTTTTTGACTTGTGCATCAACAAATTTTAACTTATGGAAAAGTTCATTTCATTTTTTATCTTCTTATTTTTTTCCTTCTAGAAATGCTTACAAAGAAGCTTGTCCAGACAAGATCTAATCACCCGAAGGGTTGACTGTATATCATTGTTAATCTGTTTTGGTCCTTTTTCTGTTTTTTTATCTAATTCCTCTCAATCTGTCATTGTTAAAAGAGTGGCACAAGAGATAAGAATAGCCTGTATATGAACATACAGCGGATATGAATTTATGTTGGCTCATTACATTTATTATGCATGAACAGAGGATATTTTTTCTCTCCAAAGTAAATATTACATGACTATAATAAACAAAATATACCACCATTTTGATTCTCAGCAGTCTCAATAAATTTGTTCTGAATAGTGAATAGACAGAAGTTCTTGAATTTGAAATGCTCAAGACATCTACTCTTTGAAATACCATGAACTTATAGAAATATATAGATTAATCCATTGTTATGAATGAAAGATCAGTTTTAGCTTCCAGGTGCTGTAAATATATATATTTACATTTATTCACTTTTCAAGCAACATCCACCAATTTGGTGGGCTTGGGGGAAATGTCTGTTGAAGAAATGTCTATTTTCTTAAATGTATCTTACTGCTTAATTTTTGTAAAACAATTGTTTGCAGGGGTTCATGATTCATTTTGGACACACCCATGCGATGTTGAGAAAATGAATCAAATTCTGAGAGAAAAATTTGTGGAGCTTTATAACATTCCTATACTTGAAAATGTAAGTTCTCGCCGTGGCTGAAGAAATATGTATGCTTATTTTCTTGGAGTGCATTGTGAAAACTAATATATTTCATCTCACTATTAAATATATGCAAAGTTGATATTGACCTTTATGGCTGTTGAAATTAAAGTTTTTCTAAATTTAAAATATAATTTGTAAAATGAATGCAAAACTGCAAAAGAAAATAATTTTTCTTAGACTTGTAAAATTTTTGAACTAATACTATGAACTTCATGAATTTTTTCTGAAATTTGCAAATATCATATGCACACGTTCATTAAAGAGGACGATTTAAATACATGATTTGTCATAGATTTAGCCTTATACTAGAGCGGTATTTGCTTGAGGACACGAGTACTGGAACTAAGAAATCTAGAAGTATTGTAAGGTTTCTACTGCCTGGAAATGTAAATTAAATTTATATTGTTGTGGAATTGAGGTTATGTCTTGGTGCAACTGTAAGGTTGCTGCCTAGGGACTTGAAGGTTATGAATTTAAATCATGGATACAGTCTTCTTTTTTCGGTGCAGTGCAATCCTACCTGACCCCCCTTTGTGCGAGTCTTGCGCACTTTACTATCTCATTATTGTTGAGTAGATTCAATAGTCATTTATTCACCTAGTTTGTATAAATTACTTTCCCTGTTGAACTAAGAGCAGTTAAAGCTCAGCTGATCCTACTGCAAACTATTATGGATGTTGCTTGAGAGAATGCTATGTTTCTTATTTGAGTATTTATCCATCGGCCAATGTTAAATTGGATAACATCTAAGTTGAAACTTAACTCATGTAAAACATATCGTCCGTGTAATTCAAAACTTTTGCCATTTTATACCACCAGACTGGAGAAAACAAAGCACAGGCTGTTTCTTTAAGCTTTTCACGATGAAACTTTTATTTGTTCGCAGTTGCTTGAGGACTTTCAGACCACATATCCAGGATTGGCTTTCCCCTCGTTGCCAAAGAGAGGTGATTTTGACTTACAGAAGGTTCTTGATTCTCCATACTTCTTCAACTGAGGAATCTCCAGTCAACAATTATAAGTTGTGGAAGTATTCTTATTTGCAATGCAAAATATGGATGGGACTTATGGGGTGCAATTCATCCTTTTTTGGAAATGGGAATGATGATCCAACATTTCTTCTTGAAAATAGGTTCTGATCATATTCTGAAAATGTTTCTCGTTCTAGAATGCTCACAACTGTTGTCGAGATCCATTCAACTTAAGGCGGCATAAGAGATAAGCTTTTATCTCCCTTGAAATTTATAATCAACAGTTTGGGGAAGGAAATTCACCATGGAATTTTAATGTTGGTGATATTCAACACGTGAATAGAGTTTGCTGCTTCGCAATAGACGTGGTTACTTCTAAATGCGTGCAGCAGAATCTTCTGTACAGTGCGGAACCTAGTGCTAGGGCTAACCTTTACAATACATTTTTTTTACTTGTAAAATATATGATAAATGTATTCTATTAGATCAGAGGAATTCTTTAGGGATAGAATCATGCTGTAATTTCTTATTTCTTATAAATTTATTTATTTAGATGAGATTCAATTTTGAAGTGTATTATTTATTATATTGAAAAGAAATAGAAAAGATCGTCCTTCTCATCTCAGGTTTAATTGGGGAAATATCCAGTTACTTTAATGCTGTGAATTAAAATGCAGTTCATTTACATATTTAGGCTGCCATGCATGCCTATATATATGCACTCATGTTAATGGGAGATTTAGCCTTTAAATACTTATATTCTATCATTGCTGTCAGAACTTCGTGCTGGGGTTAAAACAAGCAAGTGTTTTTCCAAGTGTAATGAGAAGGCTAAGTCTCTGTTAACGACAAGTTGCAAATGCTAAGTCTGAGTTTCAGAATGGCTTATATATAAACATTGTTCAAAAGTTTAGAATAACTTAAAAGAGTAGACTTCAAACAATAATTTGTATATACACATCAGGGATCAATAACATTATGTTTGTGAGTAAAATATGGTGTTAATAGTAATAATACTACACTAGAAAAAGTAATAAAATCGTTGCCAAATACATTAAAAATATATCTTGTAGGAAGTAATGATGGTTCGGAGTCTCAGAAGTAGTTTATTTAATGTGGCAAACTTTTAAGTTTATCGTTTCAGCTAATCCCATTGAAAAAACAAGATATGGTCAATTTCAATTCCGCACAAAATACATACAGCATGCACTCAAATTATGGAATAAAATATGGACCTGTAAGTTTCATAAAAAGAACTGCCTTTTCTTAAATAACCAGAATAATTCTCTTAGTTTGAGTAATAACAGAAATATTTAGGTTTCGTTCTTGTTGGATCATAAAAAGTCACGCTGTATAAAGTAATAATGTCAAAGAGGTCACCGAAATCATCAAATCAAATAAACTATAACTTAAATCTAAAAGTAAATGGATGATACTACACATGGATAATACAACCATACATGGATTATCAAGATTAATAATTAGTGATCAAATAACTATTTTAAAAAGTCATGTGGATTTATGTTTTAATCTTAGTCATTTAAATAGATCTTATTTCTCAAAATAATAAAGAATTTCTCACTTATACTCATTTTATGAGTTGGGGTGGTGAGGAAATATATTTAGTATGAGGATTATTTTTATATGAAAATAGGAAGAGTAAATCTTAACACAATAATACATAGTCAAGATTAGAGTTTTTCTTGATATCATATAACCACTTAAAAAGTTAGATGATTTTAGAAATCTCGTGTTTTAATGTTGACAATTCATGGTTTCTTAATATTGATAATTTTTGGGAAGATTCAATAGGTTAATATGTTCAACTCATTCATACAATAGCTCTCGTCTGATCTGTGTGTGATTTTGATATTTGAACACCGTCAAACAGTCAACAATCAGTGGATGAATGACTAATTCGCACACAAAATAGCAAAACTTGATAGAGCAACGTACATCTTATGTTTACTTTTGCTTTCAAGCAAAACTTGATCTTAATTATCCAAAATCAAACTTCTAAAAAGTTAGAACTTCGCTTAAGCCCAACTCATTAAATGTAAATTCAGAAACTCGGGCAAAACGAAGTGGCTCACTATCATGGTTGCTCAAACAAGCCAAATGGATTAAATAAGCAAGCATAAAGGAACCATTACAATCACACCGACACTAATAGGGAACTAAAATTACAAGTAAATCTTAAATATTGAGGTGATTTTGCGTAACATGCACAGTGAGTACAATTTATGATTAAGTGGGATTATAGTTCCAGTTTTAGCAGGCCATTCTTTACAATCCAAACAAGAGTAAAAGACAGCAGCATAAGTATGATAGAGCGCAAGATTAAGCTGAACTATCTAGCAACATAAATCTTCAAATATAAACATGAGCACATAACGATAATGATTTATGCAATGAAAAATTAAACAATTACTATGTCAACCAAATTAAGTAAAACAAAACTACTGAAATACAATTAAAAAAAAAATTGGACAACTAATGCGACACATTTCCAAAGAAACTTGGCACCGGATTAGCAAACCCATAGCTTTATGCTTTGACTTTTCCTTTTCCACAACAAACATAAAAAATCTCAATTAAAAAAAATTTACAGCTTGAGAAAAATACCAGACAAATCTCCACTTTATAACATACGTTAATACAAAAAGTTTTTACTCCAGAAGTGAGGAAGTGGAGAAATTCAAAATAGCAAAGGAAGACAAGTTTGTCCAGTTACAGAATCATTTTGATTCACTTGAGCAGACTCTGGCAGGCCTTAATATCAGATGTTTGTAAATCCAACACAGCTTGTCCTGATGCAGATTTAATGGCCCCTACCGCACTATCAAATAATGCTCTCTGAAACATGTCATCTTCCACCTTCTTAAGAATCTCTTTCACCACCTTAAAATCCAACCCCCCAGCCAAAATTAATTTCCCAATGATCATGCCAAAATCACTAGGTGCTTTAGGTAAATCAATGCCAATATCATCCAGCAGAGAACCAAACAACAAACAGCCTGTCCCTATATCTATAGCAGTAAGAATCTTCTTAACATACAGATACTCGATGAGACTGGCTACAGGTTCAACACATGGTGGACTTTTATCAAGTGCAAGGGAAATGGCTTCCTTAACAAACTCAGGGTGGTAAGAAGGAGATTTTAATTCCTCCACACGCTGTAATGCCTCTTCCAAAAGTCGAACACTGAAATATTCTTCTAGAAGAGAGAGAGTTCTGCGGCAAAGAACATCAGTATTCAATCCACCAGCTGGTGCCTGTGGCTTCTCAGAGGATACTGGAACAGGAGCAACTGTTTTAGCAGGTGATGAGAATTGAGGTTCTGTGTCAGGAGCTAAACCATAGTTTGTTGGGCGAGTAGAAAATGTACCACCTCCATGTACTAGGGCACTATTTCTTCCACTTGTAATACCACTACTTCCTTGAGGTAGCAATTTTGGATTCACGGTTGTGGAATTGGAAGGTAAAGTGTTGGTGGATGATGCAGACTGAACACCTGAGAAGTCTCCTTTAGGCAGAGATCTAGCCTTAGGAATCTTCCAATTGTTGTTATCAAATCCAGACATCCCAGGTATCTTCCTATATCCTGGCATTGCAGGCATCAAACTCCCCGTACCAGGTCGAGCAATAGCGAAGCCCCCCGGGATGACATTTCCTTGAACACTGCCACGTGTATTTTTCATACTTGCGGTGGCAACTGGTCGCAAACCAAAAAAATTTTCTGCCTTTGATTGAATTTCAGTAATGTTTTTGGCACTAATCTACATGAATTAGTATTAAAGCTTAATAAGAAGGCCACTTAACATAAGGATATCATGTCACATAATATGAAAATTATAAAAAATTACCTCTTCCCTTCTAGGAACCCAGTTACTAGCACGCAACTCTATAACATCCTGAATCATGAATCTAAGCCGGGGTACAAGTTGTAGGTTTGAGCTCAATTCTTTCAATCGAATAAAGTAAGTATCACTTTTAGACCGTGATTTAGGACTTTCATCAAGATGCTTGCCAATAGTAATGAAAAACTGACATATGGCTTCAACATTTTCCTCTACAGGACCAGACTTGCTGTCTGGGTATCCTAACAGCTTCTACTCAAAGTTAAAGGCATAGTAAGCGGATATTTATAAACCAACAAATACATTTAATCTGAAAGTAGACATCTTAAATCCTTCGAACCTGAATAATGTAATGGACAACCATTTCAGGAACCATCTTCTGCTTCCATAGCTCACCAATTAACCGGATATTTCCTAGAGCACTAAGCTTGAGCAGCCTTTCCTTGTCCATACGCTCCATCTCCTGCTCAGGGGCAGTCATCATTTTTAGTTCCTCCCTCGTATAATTTGCATCTTCAAATGCCGCCTGGCAAGTATTCAATAGTACTCTCTTAAAGGTGATTTCTTTCCCACCAGGTTCCTCAGATGGGAATGGAGGCAGATTTCCATTCAGGTAAGAACACAGCTGAGCATACATGGGGCAAAATGTTGGCTCTAAAACAGCCTTGTGAAAAATATGCGAGATGGCATCCTGCATTTACAAACCAATGGAGTAAATTTAGAACCAGAATGTGAACAAATGGATTAACAACAGCAATCTAAAGAAGTGACAACCGTCATGATGACAGCAGAGGTAATGCCATTTAACTGACCCTTCAGGACATCAAATTTCTCAGGAGTTGACTTATTCAGTATTCTGCATAAAAGACAACAGCATATAAATAGCAGGAACCATCCAATTCAATGAAGTATAAAAAGCAGCCGCTATCTTATTCCACATAAATAGCATAAGCAACATAAGTCCGAAGACCCTTAACAGAGGATCATGTGGAAAAGGCTTAAAAAGAATTTCGGAAATAGCTCATTAAACTACACAGGACAAGAATTTGGTAAAAAAATATTGCTTAAATTTTTTTACTTTTCACCTTCATATTTAATAATCAATAACTCAGACTGTCCATGGCTGTAGCCATATTACAACCAGGCAGCATCAAGGGTAACTACTACACAATGTACAAGTACAGAAGCTACGATTCAAGCATACATGGCAACCCATAATCCTTCCACATAGCACGGCTAAAAGGACTCCTATCTAGCTGTTTCTCACAAATATCCAAAAACTATTTCCTCAAAAACTCTTGATACTCTTCGTAAGAAGTCTTAAAATATGATTTTTGAGATTGAGAAATACGAATAGTTTTGTCAGGAAATCGATGTAAGAAATAACAATTTCTCTGTGTATGACCTATCTTCTTGCAATGAGAGCATTGAGGACGCCCACCACATCCCCGTGGACTATTGGATCTTCCCCCTCGTCCACGAGGCGCAGCAATAGCTGAGGTTTCGATAACTTCAGCTGAGGTTTCAATAACTTCATCCTGATTCTTGTCCTTGATCAAATTGGGTACATCAATAAGTCTAGTAACTAAAGTGTTCATTGAAGTAACCTCTTCACCAGCCAAGATTTGATCACGCAAGTTATTAAAATCAGAATGTAAACTTCTCAAAATTAAGACTATATACAGCTTGTCAAGTTTCTCATTAAGTTCTTCCAAGGTGTTTGCCGTTAAAAACCTTTTTACTTCTTCCATCGCAGCTTGGGCTTTTGCAACATGAGATACCATATCATAATTGGTCTGTTTGAGAGAAGTTATTCTTCGGATTGCATCAAAGAAAAGGTGAATATCATTTGCAAAGATTTCTTTCGCTTTCTTCCAAAAGGAAAAACATGTCGTAAAGGATTTGAGAATTTCTAGAACCTCCTGATCAACTGACCGGCATAAAATTGCCAAGAGATGAGAGTCAATCTTTTGCCACTCAAGTCTTTCTAAATCCGAAATAGAACTTGCTTCGGTCTCCAAATGATCATGATGCCCTCGCTCTAGGAACCAATTCTCTACTGAGGCAGACCAAGATAAATAATTTTTGAAGTTGAGTTTGACACTAATAATAGTAGGAGTGATTGAAAAAGAAAAAGAGCTCGCTGTAGACATCTCAAACAGATAATACAAGGGAGGAAAACCCTAGATAGTAGAGGGAAGCTTCGGGCCCAAGGACCTCAAAACAGTGACATAAAGCAGAACGCGCCGACGAGACGAACAACTGTAACGCGACTTGATTCCAGTACCTGAAATCCTGAGACCGAAGCTACGACTCTTTTGCACTTATGACTCAAGTTTGTGGTATTAGAACATACAAACTATTGGCCTACAAAAAACTCTAATAGTTCAACTCTTTCTTCCATAGAAGATACAAACTTTTAATTCTCAGTAAATAATTTTTACTATGCCCTTTTTAATTTAAAAGGAAGGTTTGTTTTGTCTTTTTCTTACTTTAAAGCAAAATTTCACTGTTCCTCCTATAATTCATTTACTGTTCAAATTTTACTTTAAAATAAATTTGTTATCCCTCATTTTCTTACAGCTCAAACTAAACTTAAGTTATATTACCACCCAAAATAACACTAACTCTTATGTGTTATAACTCCTTTCTACAACCATTTTTCTCCCTTTTATTCCATGAGTAACCTTTGAGCAAATCACAACAATCCTTGATTTTCCTCTTCTATTCTTTCCTCCCTTTTTCCTACACATGTTTTTCAATCTCGACACATAGCCCTTCTTTTTGGGTTTTAAACCAAAGTTAAAATGAGTTCAACTCCATTTCGAAACTCAATTGTACCCTTCCCTCCCTGGAATGGTTCTAGAAATAGGAGTGATATAGTAGCTTCCAAGATTATTTGCTTTATATTGATTATTGTTTGGTAACCAGGACATAATTCCTATTTGGCTTACTTCCTAAGTAGGAAGGAATTATTATTTTGTAATTGAGATGGGATGTTTTATAGGACTTGTGATACGATTTTTCAATTTACGGTACACACCTTTCTATATGATCTTATGTAAGATCTTGATTTTGACTACCTTGGTCTACGATGTCAGGCTTGGGTAGCTTGCCAATTAAGTATCCAAGCTTTCCTCTATCATGGATATACATCTAAAGAGATTGGGATCACAATAGATAGTTCAACACATTAACTTGAAAACAAGTGTTTTGGAGGAATGGGAATCACCAAAAACAACCCTTCGCTCCTATGGAGGCTGCAAATTTTGATCATTGGTGGTGGGTGGTTGAGGAATTGTGAGCCATGATTGCAAATTAGAGGCAAAGAGATCTTGCTCTTAGATCATGTTGAAAAAGAGGAGCACTATTTTCAATGAATATAACTAGCAGGGTTTCATCCCTTTTAGAAAGAGGAATTAATAAGTTGATATCCTAAGAATGGGGAAACTATATCCTAAATGGAGGAAAGAAAATATCACAACAATGAATTACCGAGAAAGGGTTAAACTAAAAATGGAATAGAATAACTACTAGCTACTTAGCCAACAAAATTTAGGAATATTGGGGATGGGAATTATATTTGAAAGCTAATTGGAGGTCTCACTTGGACAAAGACCTATTTTTCTTTTACTTCCTTTTACTACATGATATAATTTATTTGATATAAATACATATAAATTATAGAAAATATAAATCCATGGTCAGGTGCCAATAATGATATATTTCAATCATTTTATATGGACTTTACATTTTTTCATTGATCTCCATATGTTTTTACTAATGAATCTTACCATTGAGTGCACATAAGAACATTTCTTCAGCTTTTAGCCTTGCAGAGGGAGGGGAGTGCAATCCAGGCATCTGTCTAGAAACAGAGAAGTGCATTTCCTCCTACCTTTCTACATTCATTGGATTGTTCACACATGATGATGACTGCTAGAGCCTGCATCGATGTTGGGTTATGTTTTGCAGGTTTGAAGATCGAATTTTAGCAAATAAAATAATAAATATATGTGAAGTTTCCCTTTAGAGTAATAAATCAGTAAAGACCTTGGGACTTGAAGGTTATGAATTTAAATCTTGGATGCAGTATTCTCTTTTGGGTGCAGTGCAACGCTACCTGCCCCCCTTGGTGCGAGTCGTGTGCACTTTACTATCTCATATTATTGTTGATTAGATTCAATAGTCATTTATTCACCATGGAATTTTAAAGTTGGTGATATCCAACACCTGAATAGAGTTGCTGCTGCAATAGAAGTGGTTACTTCTAAATGCGTGCAGCAGAATTCTTTAGGGATAGAATCATGCTTTAATTTCTTATTTCTTATAAGTTTATTTATTTAGATTCGATTCAATTTTGAAGTGTATTATTATATTGAAAAGAAATAGAAAAGATCGTCCTTCTCATCTCAGGTTTAATTGGGGAAATATCCAATGCTATGAATTAAAATGCAGTTCATTTACATATTTAGGCTGCCATGCATGCCTGTATATCCACTCATGTTAATGGGAGATTTAGCATTTAAATACTTATATTGTATCATTGCTGTCACAACTTCACAAAAAAAAAGAGAGTCAATAATAACATCATTATTTTTATTTTTTAGAATTACTCTACTAATAAAAAAAAATCAATCCAAAACCGAAAAAAAATCAAAATCATTATCTAATAATAACCAAAAAATAACATTATGTGAAATTTTTTATAAAATATAGACAATTCTCCCATATTGTTTGATTTCAAATACACTCACATTCTCTAAAATAAGAATTTAAACTAAATTTCTCAATATTTTACTATAAGAGTATAAGAAAAGTCAAATACATGCTTAAAGTGTCTTTGACACAAATGAAAAACATCATGGACTTTAAGCCTATTATATAACTAGTATCACTCACTCCATTGTTTATCCACTCTATGATATACTCCACTATATATACTCAATTGATATTAAATCATTTCAAGAATTTCATTTCACTGCACACCTACATCAATGTTAACCAACGCCCATATATAATCACCACACATCTTGCATCAATATTAGTCAATGTTCGTGCATACTTGCATTAATGCTAACCAATATTCGTGCATACATGCATTAATGCTAACCAATGTCTATGTATATTCATCACACACCCGATATCAATATTAGTCAATACTCTTGTACAATTACCGCTAGCGAAAATTCATCCTTTTTCATGACAATACAATTATGCCATGAAGATACTTAACTCCATGTCAGAAAATCTTCTTTTCAACACCTTATGTAATCCAGATTGTATCAGTACATCTCTCTATGTCACATATGACAGCACTTGCAAATAACATTACAACTTTAACAACCAATAATGATTTTCTAACAATAAGGAATTAATCTTTTCTAGTGTGGAAGATCAAACTAATCTACAACCTCTAACAACAAGAAATTAATCTTTTTTAGTGTGAAATATCAGACTAAGCTCCAATCACATATCTTTATCCCCGAGAATTATCCTACTAATAGAGAAATAAGACAAAATTAATCAACACAAGAATATAACATGAAAACTCCAAACCGAAAGAATAAGAGAAAAACAATCAACATAAGGATATAACGTGAAAACTCCAAAACTCGAAAAAAATCACGACCGTTATCTAATGATAATCAGAAAATAACACTATGTAAAAAAATTTATAACACATACACAACTCTTTCCTACCCTTTAACCCCAAATACACTCACACTGTCCAAAGCAAGAATTTAAACTAAACTTCTCAACATTCTACTACAAAAGTATAAGAAAAGTAAAATACATGCTTAGAATATCTTTGATTGAGACGAGAAATATCATATTTTAAGTCTATTATATAATTATTATCACTTACTCCGTTATTTATTCAATGAGACGTGAAACTTTTGAAGATATATTATTTTTATCAATAGAATTAAAACAAGCAAGTGTTTCTCTAAGTGTAATGAAAAGGCTAAGTCTGTGTTAACTACAAGTTGCAAATGCTAACTAAAGCAACATGCTAATAAAGCAAGATTGACCTCTGTGTTTCAGAATGGCTATATATATATATATATATATATATATATATATATATATATATATATATATATATATATATATATATATATATATATATAAACTTTGTTCAAAAGTTTAGAATAACTTAAAAGAGTAGATTTCAAACAATAATTTATATATACACAACATGGACCAAAAACATTATGTTTCTGAGTGAAATATGGTGATAATCCTAATAATACTTACTACACTAGAAAAAGTAATAAAATCATTATCAAATACATTAAAAATATATCTTGCAGGAAGCAATGGTTCGGAGTCTCAGATGTAGTTAATTTAATGTGGCAAACTTTGAAGTCTATCTTTTCAGCTACTCCAATAAAAAACAACTGGTCAATCATTATTTCCATCATGGTACGTTCGGAACAGTCACTTTCAATACCGTACAAAATACATACAGCATACACTCAAATTATGGAAGAAAATATGGACCTGTAAGTTTTATAAAAAGAACTGTCTTTTCTTAAATAACCAGAATAGTTCTCGTAGGTTGAGTAATAACAGGAATAATTAAATAGGTTTGATTCTTGTTGGATCATACAAATTACTCTCTGAAGGTATTCGTATTTCCCTCTTTTCGAGAAAATTATAAATTATATGTATGAATAAAATAATAATGTCAAAGAGGTCACCGCAATCATAAAATCAAATAAACTAAGGCTTAAATTTAGAAGTATTATAAATGGATGATAACTACACATGGATAATACAACCATTCATGGATGATCAAGATTAATAATTAGTGATCAAATAACTATTTTAAAAAGTCATGTGGATTTATGTTTTAATCTTAGTCATTTAAATAGATCTTATTTCTCAAAATAATAAAGAATTTCTCACTTATAGTCACTTTTTATGAGTTGGGGTGGTGAGAAAATATATTTAGTATGGGGATTATTTTTATATGAAAATAGGAAGAGTAAATCTGAACACAATAATACATAGTCAAGATTAGAGTTCACTTGATGTCATATAATCACTTAAAAAGTTAGATGATTTTAGAAATCTCGTGTTTTAATGTTGACAATTCATGGTTTCTTAATATTGATAATTTTTGGGAAGATCCAATGGGTTAATATGTTCAACTCATTCGTACAATAGCTCTCGTTCTGATTTGTGTGTGATGTTGATATTTGAACACCATCAAACAGTCAACAATCAGATTGATGAATGACTAATTCTCATACACAGAATAGCAAAACTTGACACAGCAACGTACATCCTATGTTTATTTGTTTTATTTTTGCTACAAGATATACAGAAAATCTTACCAAGGGAAGCCATGGGTCAGAGGCCGTATTCATGTATGACTTTTAATGTCAAACTATTCTTCAAAGAACAAGGATTAGAAGGTCCCAAACTACTTACATAGATAATGCCATAGTTTATGAAATTCATAATTTCATCTGCTTCACCCATAATGACCATTTAACTGCTTCTAAAAATTTATCATTTCGTCGCAGTGCAGTGATAAGATTAGTGTAGGTTTTCCTGTCAGGTTCTATTCCATTTTTTCTCATTTCCTTGATCAAACCTACAGCTTCTGCAACCATTCCTGCAATCCCATATGCCTTGATCAATGTGTTATAGCTGCACAAATCAGGTCTGAGTCCACATTCTTTCAATTCTGTAAGCACGTTAGCTACTTCACTAATCCATCCTTGTTCTCCATAGATATTAATGATAGTGTTATATGTGTAGTGGTCAGAGGCACAATTTGAGTCCTTCATCCTTTTCAATACAGATCTAAATGTCTCCATTTGGCCATCTTTCCCATAAGCATCTAGCATTGAATTGTATGCTTCGAGGGAAACTGAAAACCCGTCAAATTCCATTTTCTGAACTGTCAATGACATGTTGTGGAAGTCTTTATTTTTTCCATATGCAGCTATGATTGTATTGTAAGTGATCACATCAACCAGGCCTTGTTTCTTAGCCATGCAGTATAGCCTCCAAACCTTCTTGAAAAGCTTGGCTTTGCCAAAGACATCAACCATGACATTAAAGGTAATTGTGCTTGGTGAAAATCCACGCTCTACCATCTCATCAAAAAGCCTGGAAAGCTCATCGATTGGCAGAGCCTGAGCACAGCAGTTTAGGATACAATTATATAGTTCCTGGTCAAAATCCTCTCGATTTTTTGAGATTTTGTAGTATAAATCAGTCAACTTATCCACCATGTTACATCTTTGATAAATTCGCAGCATATCACACAACAAAAACTTGTCTGGAACAATATCTGATCGCTTGTGAACAGCATCCAAAACTGCGCAGGCATCATTCAAAGATCCAGCTTTGACATACATCCTTACAACAATGCTGAAAGAAATCATATCCAAGGCAATTCCCGAAGACTTCAACTTCAGATACAATTCTTTGGCATCTTCGAACAGGCCCATGACACTGTAAATGTCAATCATCGTGCAGGCAATGTGCATGTTTGGGTTGTCATCACATTTAGGCATTTGACTATATATCTTCACAGCATCCTCCAGCAAACCTGCCTCTTTGCACGAGCAAATCAAAAGATGATACAGATTATCCTCATATCTAGGATCTTGCCACTTTTTGTCATTCAACACATTCAAGGCATCATCCACCAGCCGGTGGTTTACATAAGCCATGACCAGAGTGGAGCAAGAACTCTGGTTGACCAACACATGCTGATAAAGAACACCTTTGATCAAATGCGGCACCTTATGAACCTTCCCAGCCCTCTCATACACATGCAGCAGAGTAGCAATTATCGAAGAATACTGGCATCCACAATCCACCATATCATCAAGGATCCCGAAAACAGCCTCGTCATCTCCATATTTAGCTTCCAGCTTAATCAATGTAAACAAGTTGGAGGAATTGGGCTTGTACCCTAACAGTTTGAGTTCCTTGTAATATCTATTGGCGTATGCATAATTATCAGCTCTACCCCAACCCTCAATCATGGATCGGTAGGTAGTTTCATCCGGATCCAACTGTAAACTCTGCCGCATCCTCATAAACAACCTCTCTGCAGCATCCATTTTACCAGCCTTCCCATAACCAGTTATCATAGTATTGTAAGCAACAACATTAGCACAAAACCCTGCCTCTTGCATTGCCTCCAACACTCTCTCAGCATCCTCCAATTTACCTTGCTGGCTATAAGCATTCAACATCACCAACCAATTCTCCAAATTGGGCACCACCTCGTCCTTCCTCATCAACTCGATCACGCCTAGCGCCTTCTCATACAACCTGAAACGTGTATAAATTGTTATCATTGAAGAATACGCAGATTCACACACAATTCCAAACCCTCTCATTTGGGAAATCGTAAATTCCGCCTCCTCGAGGTTCCATCCCTTCTGGTAAAGCCCCATGAGCATCCCAATGGTCGCCACATTGGGCACAACGCCGCAATCCAACATCATTCGGAACCACTTTGTTCCCAGTCGAACAAGGTTCCGTTTGCAGCATGCATATATAAGGGTGTTGAAGACTTGGAAGCTCAATTCAGAACAGAAACTTGCCTTCATTTCAGAAATTAGCTTCTCCGCGCCTTCCCAATCTCCCCTTCTGCTCACCAACCGAAGCATGACGTTGTAAGCGGCGGCGTTGCGCTCTAGCTTTCCGGTTGCCCTCATCCTCTCGAAAAACGCCACCGTTTTGGCGTCGTCGGCGCTCTCTTCCAGCCGTTTCAGGATCGCGTTGCATTGCGCCGTGCTCCGATCGGAAGAGAAGTCCACGTCAGCATCGCATGGGTTGTTCGGTAAGTAAGTGAGTTTGGGATAGTCTCGACTATGCTTCGGCGCTCGCTTCGAACCCCGAAGCTGAGGCTTGTAATTGAGTTTGGCCTCGGGGAGCTGAACCAGCAGCTTAGGTTTGAACAGGGGGAAGTAAGTTGGAGTGAAGGAAGGAGGCCTTGGAATGGAAGGCCTCCATGGGAAGGAAGAATGTGGAGGCCATGACATGAGGGTAGGGATTGTAAGGAATGGTGTTGGAATCACTTCATTTTGCTTTCATCACATCATCATCATCATCATCATCATGTAATTGTGTGGTGTGGCTACTTCAATAGCCTCTAAACTTCAAAAAATATCACCATGTAAAATTGATATTACTAGTTTACTTATTTTATCATTTTAAAACAAAAACTTTTCTTTGAAGAGATACATGTGTACATAATGTTGCATAATTTGTTATTTTGCATTCAAAAGTTTGCATGAAATTAGTATGAATTTGATATTCTTAAGAAGTGTGATGTTTTTTTTTTCTATCTCAAAATTTACTTTTTACTTCTAATGGTTTTTTTTTCTATCTCAAAATAAATAATACTTTTTAATTTTGAAATACCAAACTCTTTTTTCTACTAATCTTTTCTATTTTCCTCATAAAATATTGAAAAATCTAATTGTTGACAAAGACAATAATTAAATAATTAAATGCATTCACCCTTTGCTTTCTTGATAAGATAAAGTAGACTTTTTATAGAGTTGCAATTAGTAACGTGGGACAAGTTAACGTGTTTGATAGTAAAAGTTGTTTGGCATATAATAAGCTATAAAAAGATTTGTTAATTCAACCTTTCCTTTGAGGGAAGCAAATAAAATTGATTAAGACTTTGATTATTAAGATCACTTAGGTGATGAAAGAAATGTAAACTTTTTTAGGACAAATTTAATGAACTAAAGATTATAATAATAATAAAAAAAAAAAAAAACAAACAAACTCATTGGAGGAATATGAGATTTTGAAAAAAATATTTGAGATCAACATATAACTTGGAGTGGACTTGGGTGAAACTTAGAAAGCAAAGGATTGACTTTTTGTCAAGCTAAAAAAAAAATACAGTGGACGTGTAATAATAAAGTTATTTCTCAATCTTTTTACAATTATTCGTTAAATTGACATTTATACTTGCAATGTCTTTAAAGATATAATGAATAGAATTTTGGTTTATAATAGAAAAGGAGATTAATTTTTTTTATAAGTAGGATTGAGTTAGATACATTTTCATTTTTAATAAAATATCAAAGTCTATCCTAACAATATTTGTTGGTTTTTATCAATCCACCCTTAATATTGTAATGTTTATTTATTTGCATCAGAAAATAAGTAGAGATTACACATCAACCAGAAATATAACTAACTAATAATATATAATTTAGATGCAAACCTTATCTTATAATTGATTTTATAGGATTAAATTAAATATTTCTCTATTTTTAATATAATATCAAAATATATCCTATCAAAATTTATGGACTTATTACTTCACTTATTACCGTTTACCCTTAATATTTAATTTCATAATCTTAAGATGTTTATTCCTTACATATGACAAGTATGTTTAAAATTTTACATCAACTAAAAATATAAATATATGATTACTTACCTAACTGATAATGTAATTTTATTTTACTTTTACTAATGTTCTAGTTCCAATCAAATCGTTTTATTGATCAAACTTGTTCTTAGGAAAAAGAAAACTTTTCCTTTTATATATTTGAAAAAAAAGGTTAAAAAATATATATTAACTAAAGTAATGCTTAAATGTACAGAGTTTTTATGTTCTTTGAACAGTTTTCATCGAAAGCTCTTCTAAGCTATATAATCCATTCCTTAGTTGTTCCATAATGCAGAAGGGTCCAAACTAATTTGCTACCTTTTTCATTCACTTGGATCCTTGCAACTTGCATCTTACAAGCTTCCTCCATTTTGGTATCTTCAAGAATTCTTATATAATAAGGTTAAAAATACTTTCAAGTTATTATTATTTCGATTTTCATTAAATAGGATGTGTCCTTGTGAAAACTCTACTTTTCAACCCAATCCAACTTAACACAAAAATATTATTTTTGAAAATTGCATTTTCTCAATAACATATAAGAGAAAAAAAAAAACAAAAATAGAGAAGGTAAAAGAAAAAGGTTGCTACATTCAATGACAGATTGATAGATCAATAAGGATCGACCTCAGATCACGGAGATCCCAGAGGAGTTCTGCTTTCAAACTTTTAACAAGGTTAGAAATTCACAAAGTTCACTTAAGCCCAACTAATGGTATTATTAATGTAAATTCAGAAACTCTGGTAAAACAAAGTGGTTTTACTATCATGTTGCTCAAACAAGCCAAATGGACTAAAGAAGCAAGCATAAAGACTTGTCCTGAACTAATTTATTTTATTTTAAAACTATTACTTCCAAAAACAACACAAAAGCCTTACAGATTTTTAGAACTCCCTTCAACCCTGCTTTTTTTTTTCACATTTCCTAAATTGTAAATGTCCTATTAATGTGAACATTAAATAATTTAAAAATTATACAGAGAAAAAAAAAATCAATTCATTAAAAATCAAGATCCATATTGAGTAATAGGGAACCAAATAGCACACACTAACACATTACAATCGCACTAAGACTACAAGGGAAACAAAATCACAAGTAAACCAAATATAATTAGGTGATTTTGCATAACAAGCACAATGAGTACAATTTATGATTTTACTGGGATTATAGTTCCGGTTTTAGCAGGCCATTCGTAACATTCCAAACAAGAGTAACAAGCAGCAGCTTGAGTATAAAAAAGTGAAAGATTAAGCTGAACTATCTAGCAACTTATATCTTAAAATATAAACATGAGCATATTACGATAATGATTTATGCACCGACAATCACTATGTCAACAAAATTAAGTAAATCGAAACTAGTGAAATACAATTAAAAAAAAAAATTTGAACCCCTAATGGGACACTTTTCCGGAGAAACTTGGCACCTGATTAGCTAACCGGAAAATAATATCCGTAGCTTTATGGTTTGACTTTCCCTCAATAAACATAAAAAATCTCAATCAAAAATAAAATTTTACACCTTGAGAAAAACACCTGACAATCTCCACTTTATAACATACTTTAATACAAAATGCTTTTACTCCAGAAATGAGGATGTAGAAAAATTTAAAGTAGCAAAGGAAGACAAGTTCGTCCAGTTACAGAATCATTTTGATTCACTTGAGCAGACTCTGGCAGGCCTTAATATCAGATGTTTGTAAATCCAACACAGCTTGTCCGGATGCAGAGTTAATGGCGCCCAACGCACTGTCAAATAATGCTCTCTGGAACATTTCATCTTCCACCTTCTTAAGAATCTCTTTCAACACCTTAAAATCCAACCCCCCGGCCAAAATTAGTTTCCCAATTATCATGCCAAAATTACTAGGTGCTTTAGGTAAATCAATGCCAATATCATCCAGCAGAGAACCAAACAACAAACAGCCGGTCCCTATATCTATAGCAGTAAGAATCTTCTTAACATACAGATACTCGATGAGACTGGCTACAGGTTCAACACATGGTGGACTTTTATCAAGTGCAAGGGAAATGGCTTCCTTAACAAACTCAGGGTGGTAAGAAGGAGATTTTAATTCCTCCACACACTGTAATGCCTCTTCCAAAAGCCGAACACTGAAATATTCTTCCAGAAGAGAGAGAGTATTGCGGCGAAGATCATCAGTATTCAATCCACCAGCTGGTGCTTGTGGCTTCTCAGAGAATACAGGAACAGGAGCAACTGTTTTAGCAGGTGATGAGAATTGAGGTGGTGTGTCAGGAGCTAAACCATAGTTTGTTGGGCGAGTAGAAAATGTACCACCTCCATGTACTAGGGCACTATTTCTTCCACTTATAATACCACTACTCCCTTGAGGTAGCAATTTTGAATTCACAGTTGTGGGCTTGGAAAGTAAAGGGTTAGTGGATGATGCAGCCTGAACACCCGAGAAGTCTCCTTTAGGCATAGATCTAGTCTTAGGAATCTCCCACTTGTTATCAAATCCAGGCATCCCAGCTATCTTCCTGTTTCCTGGCATTCCAGGCATCAAACCACCTGTACCAGGTCGAGCAATAGGGAAGCCTCCTGGGCTGGCATTTCCTTGAACACTGCCACGGGTATTTCTCATACTTGCAGTGGCACCTGGTCGCAAACCAAGATTTTTTTCTGCCTCTGAATGAATTTCAGTTATGGTTTTGGCTTTGATCTACATGAATCAGCATTAAAACTTAATAACAAGGGCACTTAACATAAGGATATCATGTCACCTAAAATAACAACTTACAAAAATTTACCTCTTCTCTTCTAGGAACCCAGTTACTAGCACGCAACTCTATCACATCACGAATCATGAACCTAAGCCGGGGTACAAGTTGTAGGTTTGAGCTCAATTCTTTCAATCGAATAAAGTAAATATCACTTATACGCCGTGATTTAGGACTTTCATCAAGCTGCTTGCCAATAGTATTGAAAAACTGACATATGGCTTCAACATTTTCCTCAACAGGACAAGACTTGCTGTCTGGGGATCCTAACAGCTCCTACTCAAAGTTAAAGGCATACTAGTAAGTGGATATTTATAAACCAACAAATACATTTTATCTGACAGTAGACATCATAAATCCTTAGAACCTGAACAATGTGATGGACAATCTTTTCAGGAACCATCTTCTGCTTCAATAGCTCACCAATTAAACGGATATTTCCAAGAGTACGAAGCTTGAGTAACCTTTCCTTGTCCATACGCTCCATCTCCTGATCAGGGGCAGTCATCCTTTTTAGTTCCTCCCTCATATTATCTGCACCTTCAAATGCCTCCTGGCAATTATTCAATAGTACTCTCTTAAAGGTGATTTCTTTCCCACCAGGTTCCTCAGATGGGAATGGAGGAAGCTTTTCATTCAGGTCAGAACACAGCTGAGCATACATGGGGCAAAATGTTGGCTCTAAAACAGCCTTGTCGAAAATAAGCGAAATAACATCCTGCATTTCAAACCAATGGATTACATTTAGAACCAGAAAGTGAACAAAATAGATTGACAACAGCAATCTAAAGAAGTGACAACCTTCAAGATGTCAGCAGAGGTAATGCCAGAATCAATTAACTGACCCTTCAGGACATCAAATTTCTCAGGAGTTAACTT